GATTGCATTAGCAAAACCACCTCCCAAGACACTGGAAGTTTACGTTAATTGAATAAATAATCGATTAAATATTTACCAGGATAGATTAATGAATCTTGGGGACAAGATCCTAGGAGAGAGGCATAGTTATAATGTGTGCAGGGATGCACGTGACTTAAGGGCATGTGACGAACCTCGGATATCGCGGGTGTTAATCAGGGAGTTCGGCAGCCCTTTAATATCCCAACTAACTACTATTTACATCATATGTATTAGGCTTATAAATTACTAATTGTATATATGCCATCGGGGCCTCCTATTTAGAGGGGGCTTCCCTGGACCTTATAGGAGGGACAGAGATTAGTTCTGTACTGAATTTAATACTGTGGTTTCACAACACACTAATTCATTCTATTGTCTTATTGCCTACTAATAAACACCTCACATTTTACTAGCTATTTATAAAAGAAATAGATATTATTTTTTCTTCGAATATATTAATTGGGCCTTTCTCTTTCTAATATACTATAAATTCAATAATTAATACTTGAATTTATTTAGTAAGCTCGGGTTTGAGATTATAAATATAAATACCGTTTTCTATTATAATTTCGGGAATATTTAATAGCTTTAAGATATTAATTATAGGGCTATTATTAGAGAAGTCCTGAGAATTAAAAACTTTCTTATATTAGGTCTTCTCTATTATCTTTAGGTTTTATACTAGGTAATAGTCTTTTTTCTCGAATTTTATTACTATTCCGAATTTAGTCTTTACTAGAATCTTTCTTGCTTTATTAAAAGAATTTATAACTATAATAAAGTTTATATACTCTATAATAGTACTATAAGTACTATTATAGGAAGCTTTAAATATATAGCTATATTTCTTTAGTAATAATATATATATTAAGGAAATAGTAATTATAGATTTCGGAAAAATAATAATTATCTTTATAATTAATACCTTATATATAATATATTTGCCCTTATAATAAATAATAATCGGGGCTATTAGATTCTTATAAATACTAATAATAATCTTATTCTTTTTTAAATTAATAATAGTACTATAAGAATATAAGAATTTATTACCTAAAAGTAGATAAGACTTAAGATTCTTAGTAATTCAAGCTCTAATAATTACTTTTCCGAGAGTATTCTAGCTATTAATTTTATTAAATATATATAATATAAATATTACTAGCTCATATAACTTTAGCCTAGATCTAATTTCTTTTACTATTATAGATTATTCTATATTAATACTAATATCCGGATATCCTATAAGCCAATTCCTATTTATAAAAGATCGGAAATATTCTATATTAGTATAGATTTTATATTTTTTCCCGTCTATAATAAACTATATATTAAATATAGAATATATATATCCGGAAATAGATATACTAGTTAATTCGATTAGTAAAGTATTAATTATATTAGGAACCTTGGGAATTAATATATTAGAATAGAAATAACCTAGAAATACTAGAAAAATAGCTTATATTCTATTCTAGGAAAAGGGTTCTATATTATAGGAACTCAAATAAGAAAGTAATTCCTAATATTAGGAATTGGATTCTTATTAGGAATCTTGGGGAATTTATTTGGATTTAATATTATATGAATTTATATAAATATATTTAAAGAGCTTATTATAAGACGGGAAAGGTTCCTAGTACTTCTAATATATAAGTTCTTTAGGAACTATATAGTTAATAGCTAGGTAAATCTCATTTTCGGATTTACTAGTTTCGAATTACTTTTCCTTAGTAAAAAGATATATTTCCTTATTAATAAAATATCTATTTTTTTCTAATTTCTTATTATATTAATTTCTATATTTCTCAGATATATTATAATAGTTATTTTCTATAAAGTTTATCCTATTATAATATTTGAAATAGCAGAATCTATTACTATTCTATAGGAAGCTATTATTAAAGAAGCTAGATCCGTAATAAGACTTGCTATTTTAGGGCCCGTTTTATTTTTCCTATTCTTATATAAAACCTATTATTAGGGCTAATCTTGGTCTTGAAACTAGTAAAGGCTTTAGCTCAGGTTTCTTATTAGTATTAAATTAAGTCTTAGGTTTAAATTAAGAAATAAAAGAATATTAAGGTCTAAAATTTATATATAAAACGAAAGATCTAAATACTAGTCTAAAGTTTAGTCTTATTATAGGGTATTAGTAGATCTTATTTCTTATAATAATATTAAAATTAGTATTACCTCTTCTATTTTCCTATTAGAATAACTACTATTAGCTTTATCTATTACCTTAGAATTATAACTAGAAACCTAGTATATTCTTCTATAATTATAACTTTACTAATACTTTTTCTATAAAGCTACTAAGGGTAATAGTAAGTCCTGGACAGGAAATATAAATATAAAGCTCTAGATTAAGGTTATTATAGGCTTGGAAAAGCTACTAGATTATCTCTAGAAACTCGGTAGCTTTTATATATCTTATAATTATAGTAATATATAATTATATATCTTTTCCGAAATATATATTTTTCTTAGTAAATTATTTCTTTTATATTTTCCTTAATATTTCGTTTAGTATATCCTTAAATCTTTTAATTAGTATTATATACTAATTTTCTATATTATTTTATAAAAACTTAAAGCCGGTTTAATAAAGCTTATCTAACTTATTTATATATTATACTAAGGCTTTATTATAAAGACAAAAAAACAGGTTCTATCTAATTATAGCTACTTATAGACCTATATTATTATCTTTAACTTAGTCTATAAATATATAAATATTTCGCTAGTATATATTTATTTCTATTATAATATAATTATTTTTCTTATATAATTTATTAAGCTTTGGATTAAAGAAGCTAATATTTTATAATTACTATCTTAAGTCTATAAAATCTTTATTAGAGTCTTATTATATATTCCTATTTCCGTTCCCGGAATATATACTATTATTATTTTATCCTGTATTTAATACTTATATAGTCTATATAATTAATTAGACTATATTTTCTCATATATCTAGTATAAGGCCATTACTATTATTTCCGTTTCCGGTACTTCCCGGATTATTAGGATTTATATCCGGTATAGTAATATATATACCGGAACTAGAAGAAATACCTTTCCTTATAATTTCCTTTATAGTACTACTCTCGGGAATCTATTACTAGCTTTATAAATTACTTATATTAGGCAGGGAAATAATAAATGGTTTTACTATAGTAATAAATTATTATAGGGCTATATTAAAGGTATATTTACTATTAAGCCACTTTATTAGAAAGAGATCGGGTTCGAGGAGTAATTAGAGTCTATTAGAATAACTAGACTATAACTCGGGAGTATATTCTCTTTCTGGATAATTATATAGGATTGCCTTAATTACTATTTGAGTCTCTGGGCTAATGAACTCTACGAGTTTGAGGTTTTTATTAATAATATTCTAAAGCTAGTATATAAGCTTAATAATATCTGTTAGAAACTGGCTTGGTATTAAAGCGTATTTAGATAATGTAATTATGGTATTAACGGGCGGGAGGTCGATCTGGATCGTATTGCAAGCTAGTATGAAGCCTGTAATAAATAGTTAACAAGGCATTACTACCATTATTGAATGCTGTGCATATAGTAAAGGATAATTCATTGAGTTCTCTGTCTGAAAACTAGCTAAGTAGGGCGAAGCCTCGCTTATCCGTGCACGTGCCATCCTGCCATGCAACACTTACTGGGGGCTGCATTCACGTACACCATAGCTTGCTTACAGGGAACTTTATTTATGTATAGGAAAATTGTTTATAGGGAACCGTATTCACGTGTACGAGCAGGCTAGGACGTGCGACTCCCGTACCTAGCTCTAATCACGTGGATGTTCAAAAGTGAGGATATACTTCAAAGCTCTTTTTTAAAACAACTGCAGACAAGCATGAGCTAAAATTGTAACAGTGAGCTGAAGGTTGACGGCGAGCCGAAAGTGAACACTAGGCGAATCGTGGTAGCAAAAGTCTGTCTCGTCTCGCATTTTGATAGTCTGTGAGCAAGAGGGGGTTTGTTTCCATTGTTCTTACTATACCTAGAATGTCAAAAGACTCAAGCTATGATTTGCGGGGTTTGAGCGACTAAACCCAGAACTTGACCCAAGGGTATATTGGCTTTACTGAGCGTTTGGGGTCGAGGAAAACTGGGTGTGGGGTGTTATATAATTATTATCAAGCTGGCATGGCCCCATGGGTCCTGAGGCTCTCATTTGAGCATCGTTGCCTAAGTATTATGGGGTATCATGAACAAATTTTCTCTTTCTTCAGTCCCGTATAGGGTTAGTAAGCTTGGTGCTCTTGCTCGGGCGCTCATCACCCTCGGCTCACCCTCGGCTCAGTCAACTCGCCTGAGTATCATGAGCACCCCAAGCACCCCAAGCACCCCAAGCACCCACCCTAAGCAGCTCATCCGAGCAAGCCTAATTATCCTAAGTAAGATCGCTAAACAAGGAAGCACGGCGACAAGACTGGTTGGGTTGCCCAATGAACATATTCCTGATGCGATCGGACTATACATTTCTCTGCAGGAAGTGCCTTGAAGTGGGCGGTAGGGTATTTTACACGTTACATTCTAGACGTAAGTATCATATAAGCGCCTGATTCCCATCGCCTCCTGTTTTACCTTCGTAGCAGGCAGTTCCTGCGCGTACAAAATTGTTCTGTTTCATGGGGTTCATCCTGCGGCGATGTATCACGCGGGGATGAATTTGATTGGTCACTGAACCAACAAGCCTCCTGGACAGGACTCGGCCGCCCGGCCTGCGTTCAAAGGCAGCTGCCAACCGCAAGCCCGCCGGGTCGGTAACCCCGGGCCCTGAAACGAATATAGTTGCAAATATGCCTAGCACCTGTTGGTTCCTGCGGAGTTGCCTAGATACTTGAGGGCAATATCACAGCCTGTTCTCTTGTCTTCTGATAGTTCTCTATTGTGCGAGTAGGTCTGAAAATCGTTTTTAGCTCTTATTTTTTGTTTTTTTTTTTCAGTTGCAATGTCGGGACCGGCTGAAGGGGAGAGCAGTGCTCAGCGAATTGTCGAGGAGATAGTTAGGAAACATGGCTTCGTTCAAGAACGTACTCTTCAGTTGATTAATTCCTTGGTCAGCCAGGAGGCACGACGGGAGGTTGAGGAAGCGCTGCTTGCAAAAGACATCCAGATCGGATCCTCGGTCCTGACGTAGGCTTTTTTTCAGCACACGAAAGATGATGTCGGAGACTGACTCCAGCAGGCTGGCAAAGAATTTATACACAAGTCAGGCGCGATTTGTCTTTGAACTTCTCCAGAACGCAGATGACAACCAATATACAAGAGGGCAAGATCCCTACGTTGTATTTCGAGTCTACCCAGATCGAATTGTCATTGAATGCAATGAAGATGGCTTCACGCAGCAGAATCTCACAGCAATTTGCGATATCGGGAAGAGCTCCAAGACCGGATCGCAAGGCTACATTGGCGAGAAAGGCATTGGGTTCAAGTCAGTCTTCATGGCGGCTTGGAGGGTGCATATCCAGTCCAGGAACTTCTCGTTCGACTTTGTGCATCGAAAGGGCGATTCTGGGATGGGCATGATCACCCCGATCTGGCAGGAAAGAAGAGACCCCGCCCTTCCGTTTGAGTTGACGAGAATCACGCTGTACTTGCATGATCAGAGCGACCCTGCTGAGCGCGAAAGAGATCGTCAGATTATCAATCAGCAGTTTCTTGAGCTACAAGATACACTCCTTCTGTTTTTGAGAAAATTGCGCAAGATCGAGGTCTCGTTCCACGATGAAGAGGGGAGTCAGACGAAAGGCATAATATTTACTCTCAGCAGGATCGAAGACTCGGAGGCTGCAGTCATCGAACGGACGTGTACTGATGCAGCGCAGAATCGGAGGCGAACATACCACATCGTCAAGAATATTGTTAGAGGACTTGCTAGGAGTGAGAACAGAGACTTGTCCGACGCTGAGGAGGCAACCAGATCCTTTGCAACATCTGAGATTGTTCTTGCTTTTCCCGTAATCGAGGATCCAGTGACCGAGGAGCAGGTTCCAGTGATTGAGCCCCAAGAGGTGTTTGCATTTCTGCCTGTCAGAAAGATGGGCTTCAATGTAAGTAGTTGCCATCTGTTGCTAGTTACACATGTTAATGCCTACGCAGTTCCTGATCCAGGCAGATTTTGTAACCCTGGCAAACCGACAAGACATTGTGATGACCTCTCGAAGGAACCAAGGGCTCATCGAGGCCATTTCGGATGCCTTTATTGCGGGCGTGTTACAGCTTTGCCAGCATCAAACCCTCGAGTACCAGTGGATGAGATACCTGCCGTTGGAAAACAGTTATCCATGGGATGGCCTATGGAAGGATCTCATTTCTAGCATCAAGTCCAAACTTGAGGGCTTGGCTGTTTTTCGATCTCTTGAACGAAGTACTTGTCGCACAATCAAAGACCTCTATTATCGAGGACCTGTGTTTAACGATCAACATGGAGCTCCACTATTTGCCGACTTACTCTCAGAAGTCTATTTGTCTGACTCTTATGCTCCTTCGGACATCGAAATCCTCGAAAACTTCGGCCTTAAAAGGTTAACGTTTGACAAGATAATCGCAATGGTAAGGCGAGATCTGCGAGCAGGACCTGAGCATTCGAGGATTAAAGGTCTAAACACCGATGACGTCTGGCACACTAGGGCTTATAAAGCATTGAATATTGCTTGGGAGAACAGATGGTCTTCAAGCATTCGAAGTCTCAAGCAATTAAACATCATCCCGCTGCAGGATGGCTCGTGGGTCTCCTCAGACTCTGGGGATATCTTCTATCCTAAATACGGCGATGTAGCTGTTCCAAATGGCTTGGGGATGAGACTGGTCCATCCGACGGCAACGAGAAACGAAGCGCGTTCTGCTTTCTTCGACAATCTGGGAGTCCATCGAATCGATGCTCCGATCGTATCTAACATTCGTGAACGCATTCTCTGCCAGCCGACGGGGCCGCCGATGATCGTCAACCTTCAATCTTCCGTCGAGCGAATGAGATTCCTGTTTCTTTCGCAGCTCCTCCATCCTGAAGAAGAGGGTGATTTATCAGACAAGTTCATGGTCTATAATCACCTTGGCGTGGCAATGTATCCCAATGTTGCCGACTTGTACATTTCAAACGACGACCCCTACGGTGCTGAGCTCTTTCTCCGGCAGAAAGGTCGTCAAGTTAACTGCGTCAACTTGAGATACTCTGAGGAGATCCCTTCAGTTGCACCTGACTCGAATCGTACGTTGCATCAATGGATGCACCAGCACCTAGGCATTCGGCAACATCTTCGGCTGGTGTCGCCTGACCGAACATCGCTCTCTGTGGAGTGCTTGAATACGGCCAGAACCCGAGCAGCAGAGTTTCTCGGCTTCCTGGGACATCTTTGGCCCTTTGAAGGGGATATTGTGCTCACATCAGCCCCATTATCATTAACTGCTTTGAAAAGGGCACGAGTTCTTTGCATAAACGGGGTGACGGAGATGCTTCGCAACACGTATCTTCCTCTACAGCCGCTGTTAGACGTGCATGGACGCTTCTTGGGTGACGAGTACTTCCCATTCATTCAATCCCCCGAGTTGTCCGGCCAGGACCAGGTTCCCCATCTGTGGTCCTTCCTCGTCAGAAACCTCGGCGTTGGCTACCAAGATAACGTCAGCTTCCGGCTGCAACTAATGAAATTCATCAAAAAGGCGAATGTTGATGCAGGGACGTTAGATAACCCGTCGCGTGTGGTTGATTTATACCAGTCACTTGATGCCTGCTTGAGGATGTCCCAGAATCCAGAGGCGAAGAAGCGAAAGATCCGGTGGGAACCCCTGGCAAATCGCCAACTTATTATTGTATTACCAATGTTTACTGACTTGATCTATAGGAATACTTTCGATACCTATAACCTCATCTTCGTTCCTCAATGGAAGTCTAGGCCAGCATCGTGGACGAAGCCAAATGAGTGTCTTTGGGATGCACCTAGTGACTTCATGACTAAGGTCCCTCTGAAAGAAATTTATACTTCTTCTTTCTATGATTTGAGTACTGAGCTAGGCCACATGACAGGAATCTTCCGTGGGGCCCTGAACATCGATGACATAGATTGGCCCGATGTGGTCGATGAACTTGAGGAGTTGAAACGCCAACAAAGTATAAAAGGCGAAGTGGTTAGGCAGCTTTTCGGTATATTATCTGAAAAATTACCAACCGAGGAGGATGACAAACAAGAGATGAGGTGATCCATCCCAGCTAGAGGACGATGCAGAATTGACTGTTAGCAGAGAATCTTTCGAGACAGGAGCTCTCATCTACTTTGACCACAACGGCACCCCAGGATGGCATAAACCATCAGAGTGTGTGTGGTCCGATACAACGCAAATTCACGGAAAGATTGCAGTCAACGCCCAGTATAGCGATCTCAAAGATCTCTTCGTGGAAAAACTCCGAGTGCCACAACTGGACTTGAAGATGGTCCTCGACCAGCTGCTAGCAGCAAGGTCCCTGAACCTTCCTGTGTCGGAAGTCAAAGAACATCTGAAAACCCTGAACTCGTTCCTCCGCACAGAATCAAGTCCACCAAGTCCAAGCCAGCTTCTCGATGCCCGGATATTTCCAGTCAGAGAACCGAGCAGCAGCAACGTCGTTCTATACACTTCGAACACACAATTCGCTCTGGTTGACCGAGAGGGTCCGCCCGGTCGATTCACAGAGGTGGTTAGAGTCCTAGATTTCACGCTGCAAGAAATCCGTCATTTAAAGCCACTTCTCGCATGGACCTGTCTCGAGTCTAGATATTTGTCCCGGTGTATGAGGGAAATTTCTCGCGTAGGTGATGGAGCACTGCGCCCAATCTCTCAACCCCATCGCGACTTGAGAAGGAAAGCCGACGCGCTTCTACGGTACGCACAACTATCCACTTGTAGATCCGGTAATTTAACATAAACAGAATTACTGCCGCCTTCAACAGCCCAAGGTATGCAGCTGACGCTGAGGGGCTCTATCATGTTCTTCGCACCGCAGTCACGCTTGAGTGTGGAGTGATCTCGTCGTGTCTATCCTTCGAGCAGGATGGCGTTATACACGAAATAGAGATCGGCCAAAGCGAGTTACACATTGATGATACCAACCCCCTAACGATCTACGTCCCGAATGATACAGAGTCCCAGGAATGTTGCTTCAAGTTTGATTTGCCTCACCGCTTTGCTTCATGGATGATGACGGACCCAACAACGGGAACGCCGGGCAAGATTGAGGACGGCACTGTTAATGTTGTCAATTCCATCTTGAACTGTCTCATTTCAACAACTGGCAGGATTTTAGAGAAAGAAGGAATCCCTGACGTTCCCGGAATTGCTGAAACTCTTGTCCCTATCTTGGAACTTGATGAGCCAGCGGAGAGCACAACTATGGCCGTTGCCGCTGATTTAGGAGGCCAGGGTGAAATTTTACCACGGACTCCGAGAAGGTCGCAAGCAAATGAAAGGTTCTCTTCCCCTGAGTCAACATTTTCACCACCAGCGACACCAGGGTTCCAAGAGGGCATGGAAAGCACTCCTGATCACCGTACGCCCTTGACAGATCCCGGAGACTACGATAGTGAGGATGATTCAGGTACACCAAATAATGGTGACTCGATACCGCCGCCCCAATTCCATATTCCAGAGCAACAGTCACCATCACAGTATCGACAACTCTTGGAGAGAGTTGTCGCCTTGGCTAGGAGAACAAGCCTACCTAACAATTTCGAGGATATTTCTACCGCATTTCAAGGTTTGTTAGTTGAAGACAACCCTTTCGAAGGAGTGTATTACGCCTACACTTCCCACGACTGGGAGCACAAAAGAAGAGTTGGCGCTGCGGGAGAATTGTTCGTAAGTAAGCCCGGATTCCGAATAGGCCATTACTAACAATTCGCACAGGTGTTTACAATTCTGTCCTGTATTCGAGATCTAGAATTTGATCTGCAACACTGGCGTAGCAGCATCCGAGGGTATGCTGAGGTTCTTCCCGAATATCGGGGGTTGAGGGCCTGGCCAGGACGCGAGACCTCGGATCTCGTGTACGATGATATAAATGGTGTCTTTACGTGCTTGATGATTTCATTGGGGTACTTGAATGCGGATTACTGGGCGGGCAAAACACCCAGATACTATATTGAGGTCAAGTGCACAATGGGAGCTTGTGAAACACCGTGCATTGTCAGCCAGCATCAGGTCGATTTGGTAAGTGCATTCAAAGAAATGCTTTAAACGCAATGACTAATTCTGATTTCTCACAGATGGAGAGCACAACTAATGGCCCGCAAGGAAACGAAAATCAGAGCACGGTTTATGCGTTGTTCCGTGTGTTCGGCCTTGGCAGAAGCTCGATGGGACTTAAGATCTATATAGACCCCGCGGAACAGAAGAGACTTGGCAAGCTTGCTTTCACGTCGGAGAAGTATTCTGTTGTTCCTACGGGACGGTAAGCTGAGTAGAAGGGACTAGAAACGGATTCCCGGGCAGAGTTCGGTAAGGAAACTGCAGCCGGGACACATAGGAAGCCAAAATGGGGCCTATATTATGGTGCGCAGGCTGAATCAGGGCGTGCTCAGGATACTCGGGTTCTGCTCAGGTTCTGCTCAGGCTTGCTTGGGCCTTCTCAGGCTCTGATCCGGCATGCTCGTCCTCAACTCAGGTTAAAGCAGGAGTTACTCACGTCCACAGACTAAAACTGAACCAGTAAAAGGGAAAATTAATCCTGAGTCTATGGGTATTCCTTCACCGTTCCTATAACCAGAAGCGCGCCTGCAATAAGAAGAGTGTGGAGTATCCCAATAACACTCTTAAACCACCTCCATCATCGCCGAGCTCCTATAAAAATGACGTAGAGCCTAAGACCTCATGCAACACAAAAGCTTCTTCCTCTGTTTAAGTTTCGGCTAACCACATTTTGCACCAAACTCTCTGCACCCATGCCTTTCGTTTTTCCGTCCGCCTTTTCCATATTCGACGTATGTCATAAAGAGTAAGGCGTTATTCTTCGCGCAGCGTTCAGCGGAAACTGGAGACAATAAGTAACACTGAAACCCTCTTGTGGGGCCAATAATGTCCGCTCATCCCACCTTGAGGAAGGCCAGAATTCCGGTACAATAATTTGATACATGCTCTCCCCCTCCCTTGTCTATCGCTGACCCAAAATCACCGCCAACCAGGATTGTTTCTGGATAACGTTGATAACCTTAAAAGTTTTAAAGTTTCAGAGCATCCAGACCCTGACCCTGAGAAAGATCTACAGAGAAGTCCGAGAAGCCGGGAGCTGGCCCAGCCACACACATGCCCCGCCGTGTGGCGCTGAAACCGCAGGCCGAGCGCCTCGTCCCGCTATCACTTTCCCTTTCGCGGCCGATCCAATCTCCCCCAACACGATTACGGGAAGAACAACAATTTTATGGCTTGCTTGGCAATTATTTGTTATCAATAGGAGGCTCCAGACATTCCAGAGCTCCAGACAACTCCAGAGTCTCCAGACATCCCCCGACTGCGAACTCATGCAGCTATTCCGGCGAACTCACCTCTTCTCGAAGCTTGCGAAATCGCCTCGCAATGGCCAGGCCAGCCCCACGGGAAAGCATGTAATCCCCATGTCTCACCGGACGAAGGGATAATCCGGTTTTCACGTACGTACAGCCCCGCCACACCACGTTGATCTCTCCCACGTCGCGGCACAGCAGCCTCAAATTAGAGTCTCGTACTTATCGGCCTGTTCCCCTCGCTGGCGCAGCGACGACTAACCTCTAACGGCCCAGATAGAAGGGCCACGGCCCACGATAGGGTCGTGTCCGGAGTGTAGCTCCTCTCAGCTCCTGCAGCTCGCCTGGGCTGGCGAATGGCGCCGTGGGCGTGGGGTAGTGTTGCAAGCGGCACAGAAGTAAGCCACAACATGCAGCTCTTGGCCGCGCCTGGGCAGTGGGCTTTCAATAAAGACGGCGACGACAGCCTCGTTCTTGCTGGGCTTGCATTTCTTGCATTTCTGCTTCGAAGTCGCGTAGTCGTGCCTTCTTCGTGTGTGGGCAGCAGATCAGACCGGTTGGAACGAAGTCTGTCTTTGCCCCTGCTATGGATTGAGAAAGCGGCTCTTCACTCGCTTCGACTTCTGTTAATTCACCAGGCCGACATCCAGCATCTTTCACAGCATCGCTTTTGCATTGATTCTACTGCATTTTAATCTCGCGCGCTTGCTTTCGTCCCATTGCTCTGCATTTCTGCTGGGAGTTCGTTCCTTTTGGATCCCGTTGCGACCTCGTCTTGCCTTCAATTCCGATATCGAGCTCTGCGAACAGCAATTGCAACATGTTTACCTCAATTTTTGGAGCTGTATTGGCAGCGTGCTTTGCTCGCACTACCCTCGCCATCCCCACCATCTCCGTCAAAGGTGCGAAGTTCTTCGCTGACGGCGAGCAATTCTTCCTCAAAGGTAGACATCTTGGCCCCCCCCCCCGCGGCGATTCAAACTGACTGTGCCCAGGTGTTGCGTATCAAGGCACTCCAGCTGATCCTCTCATCAACACCGTCCAATGTCAACTCGATGCCAAGTCCATGGAAGTAATTGGAACAAACTCGATCCGTATATACCATGTCGACCCATATTCCGACCACGATGGATGCATGAAAGCTTTCTCCGACGCAGGAATCTACGTCTGGCTTGATTTGGATACCTTCAATACCACGGTCGTGCAAACCAACCCTACATGGACGGAAGACCAATTCCTCGCTTTCACCGAAGTCATGGACGTCTTCCAGAGGTACGATAATTTGGGGGGATTTTGGATCGGAAATGAGGTCATCAACACTGCCGGTGGCTCTCTTGCTGCACCGTATGTCAAGGCTGCTACAACAGACATGAAGACATATATGGCCGCCAAGAAGTACCGACAAATCCCAATCGGATACTCAGCCGCTGATATCGCCGAATTGCGACCCATGCTGCAGAATTACCTCTCCTGTGGCTCTAAACCCGATCAAATTATCGACTTCTTCGGCCTCAATTCCTACGAATGGTGTGGCACTGCGACATACGAGTCTTCCGGATACAGCAATCTCCAAGCCATGTCGGCAGGCTACAACATCCCCATCTTCTTCTCCGAAACCGGCTGCAATGTTGGAGGTGAACGAACCTTCGATGATCAAGCCGCCATTTTCGGCGATAAGATGGTTGGTACGTGGTCAGGAAGCATTATCTACGAGTGGGTTCAAGAGGTCAACGATTACGGTCTCGTCGACTACCCCAATGGACAGATCTACAACGGTGCTCCAACTCCAATCCAGCCCGACTACGACAACCTCTCCAAACAATGGAAGACCATCACTCCATCCGGCGTCGCGCTGGCAACCTACAAGCCAAGCAACAGCCCACCAGCTTGTCCATCCGCCACCTTGGGATGGCAACTCGACGGCGACGTCCCGCTCCCAACACTCGCCCCCAGCATCATTTCCGCAGTAGCTGCGTCCATCAAGCCAATAGCCACTCACCACCCAACAACCAGCTCGGCAAACTCTGCGGTCCCTACAGGTACAACTCCGGCTTCTACTTCTCCTATCGATACAAGTTATCCAACTTTCGTCACCGCAATGTCTCTCGGTTTGCTAATCTACTCTTCATTGACGCCCGGCAATTCGAAGAAGCCGAAACCGACTTCGACTTCTTCGGCACCCGGTGTTGATTTAGGTATCGTAGCAAACTCCGAGCCCCCTTCTCCTTTCCTCTTCATCCCTTAAACTTTCCTATCGGATCCAGTTTTCTCATCTCCTTCGACCTCAGTCACTGATTCGGTTTCATCCACATCAGCTTCGACTTCGAACCTTTCAGCATCCGACTCCTCAACTAACACTCCCGCAGGCTCAAACTCCGGCACAGGCGTCACCCAAGGCGCAGGCCCCTCGTCCACCGCCACCTCCTCGTCCCCCTCGCCAAGCGCCTCGAAATCCGCAGCCAGCGCCCTGAAACCACAACCCAACTCGCTGTACAAGGTCTGGACCGCGTTCGTGACCTCCAGCGGCCACGGCGGCATCGTCGGCCTCGCCATCGTCACCGTCCTGCTCGGCACCGCGTTGGCGGTTTTTTTATAATCCTGAAGCGGAGCGTGGTGAATTGGTGGCGCGGGTGGGGAGCCGGGAAGTCTGGCTGGGGCTGGTCGGGTGGAGCTGGAGCTGGAGCCGGAGGTAGCTATTTAGATAATGCGGATGCGGATTTCGGGTTCAGGACAACGACGGATGTTGATTTAGAGCTACAGGCGCAAATGAGACGGGGTATGAGTCTATTAGATAGAGAGGTTGACGGGGTGCTTAGGAGGGCTGGTGAGCGGCGAGCGAAAGCTAGAGAGGGAGGTGGTGTTTTGAGTAGGAAAGCCGGGGGACGTGCGACGTGGTCGGGGAACGAGAAGCAGCGGCGGAGGGAGAGGGTCGAGTGGCGGAATAGGGAGGAAGAGGTGCGGGTTCTGGTTATGCGTGGGGGTCTGGTGGAGCAATAGAGTCGATTCTAGATTCGTGGTGGGTAATGGATTGTTTAGAACTAAGTTCTCGCTTTGCTTTCGCTGGTGATGTACGTGATGAGCAACGGGGCTGGGGACTGGACTGGATAAGTTGATGCCGTGGGGTGATGGAGGAGGGAGGGAGGGAGAAAGGCAGGGAGGGAAAGTCGGCAGTAATGGTGGCTGGGTTGGTGTGCGTTCTGGGTGGGTGGTGGGTGGTGAGTCCACATTTCAATGATTTGGGAAGGAGTTAAGTGCAGAAGCAGAGGAGTGGTGAGAAACTTCTGCGTACGCATCTCTTAACTCAGTGTTGTGAAGGTTTAGAGAGGGGGTGGGGGCGACTTTGGGCAGAGGCAAGGGGTGTGAGTACGGAGATACTAATCAGCAGTTTAGTGCGGTGTTGCTGGGGTGATCGAGGAGCACAGACGGATGGCGGCGGGGTTTGTGCAATTTTGGAGGGGGATTATGTTGATAGAGATCGAAAATAGGGGGTGAAAGGTAGTGGCAGAAGATTGGAGGGAAAGGAGGGAGGGAGATTTAACTTTCATCTTGAGGCACCGGGCTCGGTGGCAGCCGTTGCAAGAATTATCCGTGGGATGATAGGGGAGCGCATGTCGACTCAAGATCAGGACATCTCCGCCTTGTTTTATTCTTTGGGATGGAGTGGAAAAGGGGTTTGGATGAGGGGAAATCGAGAGAGAGTAAGTTCAAGGGTGGGCGATTGTTGTCAGTTAATTTTGCCGTCATTCTTCTCCTCGTGCTCGTTGAATGGGATTCGATGACTTATCTTGGAAATACTCCAGACCCAATACAGCTTGGGTATCTTGTCCATTAATTCTCACTACTTCAGTTCTTATAGGTATTAGGTCACGGCGTTTTCTTTCTTCAACCCGATGACTAATCGCCATCACGTCCGTTAAGTTTCTTAGTGGCCTCGAATACTGCGACTACCAATTGCCATTAAAGCACGATTAGATATCGAGTCGTCTCAAAAGGGCAGGGAACCCATTCAAGTAGTCAAGCTCTGCGAGGCGGCTTGTCCACAGTTTTGCCTCCTCGATTGCAGTTGATGTCTGGGTTGGATCATAATTGAAGATAGTGCCCGCTTGACAAAGCACGTTGATGCCCTTCTTTGTAAATTGTTCCACCATTTTCAAGCTCATGAGCTTTGCACCTTCTTCCAGCACCAGGGTCGCACTCCTAGTAAACAGTGGAAGAATCCTCAAAAGCTCTTCTGAGAGCTTGAGATCTAGGTTTTGAGGCCATCGGTCAGGCGTCGTTCCCCAATACATACTGCTTCGCTGAGGCCTGGGCGGTAGCGTCAATCCAAATCCTGCTGGAAGCATGAGCTTTAGATTTAGCGATGTCTTTGCCGTATCTAACAGGTAGCACACATGCTCAACATTGCAATTCAACATGGACTTTGATTTGCGGCCATCCCTTTGGTTCCTCCAGCGGGCGGAGTGCGAGGGGTTTCTGTTCCACGGCTCTGATCGTGCCTTGGCCATATGCATTTTAGGTTTGTTCTTCGCGTTGAAAGCATTTTTGTAGATCTCATGTCTCCATTTCCAGTGTCCTCCAGTCAGTAAGTTTATGTCGAGGCAGTTGAGATCTACCAGCGGAGCGAACAGCTCAAGTGTCTGGAGCTGGGACAAAGCTCTTGGTCCAATGGTCCCAAGAAAACGTCTTGCGCCGAACCAATAAATGTCTCCCGAGAAGCGAAAGGTGTTCTTGGACCAGAATATGCTGCTTGCTTGGTGGGAGATTTGTTTGCATGTTGTGAAAAGCCCCGTTGCCATTTCCTTTCGGACCAACTCGAGGTCTTCTTGGAGTCCAGTGTGAGAAATGAGTAGAGTAGAGTAGAGTAGTGGGCCCTACTCATATTCTACTCAAGTTTTTTTCTCACTACTCATACTCTACTCAATACTCTACTCAACTACTCTAGAATATTCTTGAGTAGTTGAGTAGTATGCACGTGATGCTACACGTGACGTTACACGTGACATGCTAACCCAATTGGGTAAGGCTCCGGGGTGGCCCGAGTCTAGCGCTACTGCACTGCCCAATCAAGTAGTGGCAAGGCTTAGTAAGCAAGGTGGAACCTTAATATATTCTTAGGCTTCCTTAGCTATTAAGGGCAAACTCTTCTCTCAAGGTACTCTTATTATTTAAATTATATAATAGACTTAATAAGAGTACTATTAAGATAATATCTTATTTAAAAAGCTGGGAGTTATTTAAAGACGAATTAGAAGAAGTAAAAGGAGAAGAAAAAAAGCAGGAAAAGAAAGATTTCGAGGAAGGAAATCTGGTTTTTATAGAAGAAAAGTAGTATTTAAGTAGCCTTATATAAGCTCAAGCTTAAATTATATAGTACTGCTTAATAGGTACCTTATTTATTTATTAATAATTAAATGAACATTAATTTTCTATATTCACGTGACTTGCACGTGACTACTCTTGAGTTACTCTTGAGTAGTACTCTACTCTACTCTACTCAAGTACCATATTACGCTACTCAAACTCTACTCTACTCTACTCAAGGCTACTCTTGAGTAGCTTGAGTAGCTTGAGTATTTTTTGCTCACACTGTTGGAGTCGGAAAACGCATCGGTTCTCTTCATCTTGGTCTCGCTCCTCATATTTCATTGGCCAAAGATCAATTGGAGTAGACCGGACGAGGGCAGCGAAGTAGATCAGCTCTCTGATCTCCGCTGGTAAGTTGAGAAACGGTGAATCTTGAATGTTCTGAATATTTCGATTCTTTCGAACCATCTTGAGCTAATATCAGAACTTTAGCTCTGAGATTTGGAATATTAACTTGAATTGAACTGATCTGAATGAAAGGAGAATCTAGATACACATCGCATTTATGTTGGAAATCAGGTGCCTTTGTATGAGCTGCATCATAGCTGTGAGTCATCCGGGGGCTAGTTGGTCTGCGTCTCCGCTAAGCGCCTAGAGCTAGCCCCCCCTAAATACGCAACATCAAAAGCTCGGCTAGAAGCGACAACCCTATCAAGCCCGCCCCAACGCCCCTTCAAACGAAAGAGATTTAGAGGGAAGCTTTGAATCTACTTTTACCAACTCCCTTCACTCCTGTCTCAAAGAACTCCTCCAAGATCCTATTCGTTTCCTCAGCACGCTGAAGCATAACCCAATGCCCACTGTCAACTTCCACAATTGCCAGCTTTCCACCTGCCAAGCCCCCCTCAACACCAGCTTGCATGCCCATTCGCGCCCTTTCAGGGCTACCAACGGGATCATTCACCGTGGCAATCATTAAAGTCTCTTTCCCAATTTTCTCTTTGATTTTCCCATTCTTGATACTATCCTTTTCCTCTTCGACACCAAGAGAACTAATCCCTCGGACGTACCAAGTACACGGTGCGCTGTAATCGGACCCAAATGCGGAATGGTGATGGACCTTGTCCTCTTCTGTGATGTAAGGCGCTAGTAGTGAAGAAGATACCAACGGAGAAGTTGTTGTGATGAAGCGCTCCATTGCGTCTGTAGGCGCGAAAGCGGTTTTCCAGATTGCGGGGTCGGCGGGGTACATCGCATTAAAGAAATTCTCCCACTAGACGTTGAATAATTAGCATCTGTCCCGGTCGTTGCACATCATACAGCAAGCTGACCCAACAGATGCCCAGGAAAGAAGCACAATAAGGAAGTGGCAACGTACATTTTCTCCAAGAACCTTTCCAGCGCGAGGTGTGGAAAAAAGCAACCAATACCCCATCATCTCATACCCGAACTTCTCTTTAGTCCTCTTATTGACCATCTCAATATCCGTTCGCCTCCCCGGTATGGTGTACGGCACACTCATAAATACGAACTTCTCAAAGCGATCTTGGTATCTACTTGCCAGCTGACTCAAAACGTAAGTCCCCCAGTCGTGCGCGATGGCTACTACCCCGCCACTTCCCTTTGCATCTTTCAGGCCAAGTCCTTCGTGATCGAGGATGGCGATAATCTCCTTCGACATTTCACTCCCCAGGTAGCACCTCACATCCGTCGGTTTATCCGTGGCTCCATATCCCAGTAAGTCGGGTGCCAAGGTCCCATAGCCCAGTGACCGGAAGTGCGGGATTTGGAAGCGCCAGTCGTGGGAGGTTGAGGGGAAGCCGTGGAGGAAGAGGAGAGTCGGTTTTGAGCCGTTGGAGGGAGGGTAGTAAATATAGGCGTATTTGTGCCCGGTTGAAGGTATGGTGTATGTCTTATTTGGGAGGAATAGAGGCATGTTGAATTGGCAGTAGAGCAGGGACGCGGGAGAGAGTAGGAGTGATCAACACCCGGGTATAAAAAGAATATGAATAATTGTTTTTAATGTCTGGAGGCGGAGAACAATATGTGTCAGAGCTGGAGGGTAGGAATAGAGCCGCCAAGGTGGTCACTAATATGGCTTTCGTTGTTCCCTGGGGTTGATAAGTGGTTGACCGAAGCTTACTTCAGCCTTAATACAAGTCGTGAGCCGAGGTTCGCACTCCGACACTTATAACCCTTCTTCCAAACACTATTCAACATTTGATATCGTGGGATAACAATTGGTGCATGGCTGGCGGCTTCAATTATTGCTTCAACATCAAAGTCCAAAGTCCATAATCATTTCCTCCTTAATTTTGGGCTGGAGTACAAGCAACCGCTTGACCTCGGCTATGATATGATATGCGGGGCAAAACACCAGAGCATGTGACTTTTCCAGCTCGAGGAGTCTGTTGAAATTAGGGGCCTGAGGCCCCTAATAGGCTTAGTAAGCCCTGGAACCGAACGCCATGGGGCTGTGCACTAGCTTAATACCCTGTCCAGCTGGAATACCCTGCATAGCTGGAATACCCTGTACGGCTGGAATACCCTGTATAGCTGGAATACCATGTACGGCTGGAATACCCTGTATAGCTGTAATACCCTGTACGGCTGGAATACCCTGTATAGCTGTAATCGGTTCAGCTGGCATAGGGATTTAGTACATGTGACTTAGGGGGTTCAGGGCTATATATACGGGCTACTTACCACTGTAGAACAGCAGTCAATTCAGTATCGTTTACTTGGTTTACATTGCAAGCACGTGACCCTAGCTATATTGCTTTAGCTAGTTCAACAGAGTCGAAGAAAGCAATCACCAGTGAGCTCTGTGTTACTGCTTCTTCCTGCTGATTCAATTTTTATTGTGTGGACGGAAGAAGCGGCCGTTTCAACCGACTTGAGTGTGAATAGAGCTGAATGGACCTTGGCTGCTGGTTTGCTGTCACGTGACGCACTTGTTTGACTTGCCCTCTGTTTTATGTGCCTTGAGTAGGCAATCAAAAATGCCCCCATCTTACATGATCAGGTGCTCACTACACCCACTATATATGTCTTCTCTTCGTGTGTATTTAGCACATCCAATCAATTACATCAATTCAGCTTGTCTCACCAAGGTTAGGCATGAAAAAAGTGACTCTTTGCCTTTGTGTTGAAAGAGGAGAGCCCGCTGGGAATTAAACTTACTACTGGACATTGAATAGGCATAACGGACATACCAACCGAAAATTTCGGGCACTTGTTCTACTAGAATCAACTCCTCTCCAAGCTAATAGGCCACGGGAAACAAGCCTGTTCGACTTCTGCAGCTCAAATCATGTTCAATTGCAAGGAAGATTCCCACTATAGTGCAATATGTGATTCAGTATGTGCGGTAAATATATCTGAGCCTAGATGCGATTCAGTGGAATTGAGATAAGAATGGGATACGATTTACATCCCTGAATCCAAGAATGGCACGAGATCAAATGGGAGGTCGATCATGCAAGATGATGTGTTTACGGCATCAGCTGCGTCTCCTTATCAGTACCCATGCCCACCCAAGCTGGCTTCTTACTCGTGTTCCTCACCGAACCATTTCCCTCGTCTATAATTATTAGTGTCGCCATTGCTCCAAATCCGTCTCTTCTTACTTCCCTGCAAATTCCCTGTACTACAATAAATTTGCCCGCGGCCAGCAATCGTCCATTAATCCTCCCCAAAGCCCGCATCATTGAGCAAAGCGCATTCCTCAACCAAATCAAAAACATAGCGGACTCAAACACATGGGTAACCCCGAGGCAAAGTATATATAATCTTTATTTTGTTCTTTAATTCATCTTCACCTCTCTCTATCCGGATCATTGCCCTTCGGTCAGCTAGCTGACATGCTGGATGACAGAACGACAGAAGACAGAGATGGCAACGTTGGAGGCGGCAATAATTCCAATTGCCGCAATTGTAAGAACTGTCGGAACTGCTCGAATTGCAAGGGTTCGCATATTCCTCTTTTTCTCTGGCCACTGTATTGCGATCATCTCCAATGGCGGGAAAAGGAGATAAAGATCTTATAAAAAGACAGCCCCACTGATGTGACCTTAGATTGTGAAGACTGCACAAACTGCTCGAATTGTGTATGTCTCCTCTTCCTCTCTAACACACAAGAATGTTGTCTTTAGCTAACATGGAGATAGCAAAATTGTATTGAGTACGTCCCTCCGTTTGTTCAAATAGGGTGGAGCCTGGAAGAACAGGGGTTGTGGCTGAAAGACTGAGAGAGGCTGATCAGTTTGGAAGATGTACAAACTGTAGTAACTGCTCCGGGTTGAAGAATCGTACTAATGTTAGTAATGAGCACGGCGATGTGGATGAGCTGTAGAAATGGAGCTGAGACGTAGTCCTGGTTTAGCACAAGGGCAGTGACAGTATACTATCTACGTTGTGTATTTGTGTTTGTGCCAATGAGTGTCAAGCGTCATTGTCGCCATTTAGTTAGCTATGAAAACTATGAGATATTTCCTTATATTAATCCTCAGGGAACTTTAGAACTGCCAAGGTAAGGGTGGACTTCAACCTTAAGAGCCACTTCGGCTCTTAGCTTTAATGACTGACGAAAGGGAAAGCATGGAAGAACGTGAGATGCCGGAAGCCCTGATCAGAAGGCTAGTTTTTCACCCGACTCCCGTCCGTCGAATCTTCTCAATGTTGCATTGATGACCAAAGGCACAAGTTAGATGGGAGGTTCTTCATTGGGTAAAAACTCCAGGCTACACCGGAAGTATGATTTAGTGTCATTTCTCTATTCCAGGCCGAGTGTTCGCCGCATGCCCTTACAGATCCTATGCAATTGATCAGTCGTATCACATGCTGCATACAAGAACCGATCCGGCCTAACTATGGCGAAGTTCTTCCCATGCAGGTCCTTCTTCATCCGGTACATGTCATAATACTGCGGTGCTGGTCTATTGCCGCAGAGAGATTCAGTTGCAGCAAACTCTTCAGCAGTTGCAATCCGGAAGACATCATTGACAACATCAACCGCATTACAGTTGACCGCTGGAGTTTGCACAATGAACGTTGCCTCTTCAGCGAGGAGGTAGTGATTCGATAGGTCGTTGATGCCAAGAAGTGATTTTCGTGTGGTTCCCAGATCTGTAAGACTCTCCAAAAGGACAACAAGCTGGAACATGCCATTCTTGCCCTTTTGGAAAATTACATCGTCGGTGAATATGACTTCGGGAGCCTTCGGAGATGAAGATACTGGCGAGCAATATACTTGGGGCAGACTTAGCCCGCCGTACGAATCGCCCAAAAATGGTAAGCCGTCCTGCCAATTGTACCGGATCATGCCATCCCCTCTTGGTCCTCTTTCGAGCTTGCGATTCAAGACGGGAATAAGCTGGAAGAGACGGAAAACCAGCTTGATAATCGTAAACCTCCAAGTGTGGCCTTGTGTGCAGAGCTTACCATTTTTAATGGTTTTCGCGAGTGAGAGTTGGAGCTGCTGTTTTCGTTCTTCGAACCAACCTGAGAAAAGGCGGTCGTAATTCTTCGTGTTCTCTCGAATTGCAAGTGCCAGGCGCCAGGCAAGGCCGGAAGCGTCTCTAAACCCGGAAGCAATCCCCTGTCCGCCAACTGTTTCTTGTCAGAAGCCTTGGAGTACAGTCAGGAGTCAGGTTGACACTTACAAGGCGGAAAGACATGAGCGGCATCTCCAGCAAGAAGAACTCTATCGACAGAGAACTTGTTGCATCTTCTTGCAGAAAAGGCGAAAGGTCTCGAACGGAGGACACTGATACAATCAACAGGAAATTGGATACTGGAATCTGAAATCCTAAACATAGTTGAGTAATTGGTATTTAGCGTCGACCCTGAAAAATCGCACCTACCTGTGCTTGGATCCAGGGTGGGTAATGTAGGGCATAAGAATCTCCATTGTTTTCGCATCGCTGGACATAAGCATTGGGTCCTCGTCTTTCTGCACGACAAACTCCAGCCGCCACAATCTGTCCGCCGCTGGCCCAAACCTGCCACAAACAGCTGGCCGCTCAGCGTTACAGATGAACCTGAAACTCGGTGGAAAGAAGAGATCGTAGACTTGCTCAGGTGTGTACCCGAGCTTCCAAAGTGGAAAACTGGGATGGCTCTCAGAGGTAGGAGGGGTGAGCTTCAGATTCATCGCAACCCAGGTTTCGTTGTATCCAAAGCTGATGAAGGGTCAGTTTTCTGGAGGTATATATTATCTATCCCCTTTGCACGACTCACGAAGATATTTTCTCCATCAGCAGACCTTTGGGCTCAAGGTATGATTTCCTGGTGAACCCAGTTTTCCCATCACATCCCACCAAGAACTTCGAACGAACCCTCTTTTGTGCTCCAGCTGCATCCGAATACTGGCAATATACCCAGTCCTTATCTTCTTCAATTTGTTTCACGGTGCAAGAAGATCTCAACTGTGAAGAAGAGTGCCTGGTTGCAGCGAGACGGACATATTTCTCAAGGATTGGCTGCCGGACTGATATGATTCCAACATGCCCTGTTCCCCCTTCGGTCTTTACTAGGACAAAGCTTAGCTCATGCCAATAAATTGATCAGAGAAGATTCTCACCGTATGCATGTTAAATTTTAAAAATGGTTTCTCGTGCAAGTCCGTCTTGCTGGTCATGAAATGCACCATTCCAAGCGCTGGAAACTTTGTTGTCAGAGAAGTATTGAGCGAATTGTTACTTTCAGAAGACGAACTCACAGGAACCCATTTCCGTGTAGACTTTATCGTAGATTCCAATCTCTTGCAGTAGCCTGATGCCATCTTCGTCAAGAGTGATTCCTCGAGGGTCGTCTGTCACACGCGCCTCCTTCTCGAGAACTATATTTTGTACTCCGAATTGACCCAGGAGCACTGTGAGAAGGGCTCCAGTGGGACCGCAGCCGACTATAAGGACATCAGTGGTCTCTATTGTGTCGTTTGCAGCCATTTTTGGGTCTGAGGAGATAAGGTGATTGACGTTATCCACTGGGGCAATGATTGAAGGGGAGTTGAAAATTTGAGAATTCACGTGTTGGGACTTGAAAGATATAGTCCAGCCGAGGGTTCCACAACAGGGCTAGCACCACTTGTAATCCAAGGGAAATTATCTCGGGTGATTTTAAAAAATCTGCAGGACTCCCGCGTAAGTCAGATCATTTCCCTTTTCGAGAGTGTCTCCAGAATGTGGAGAGAGTGGGCGTTTCTGGCTGGATGTGGGCATGTGGGCATGGGCGGCGTTGGCCAGATTGCTTAAGATTTCTCGAGGGTGCGCTAGTTGGTGACTAACATCAGCATTGAAGTTAATAATGTTCCGCCGGTAGTTGTTGCCTCAAGGCGCGGCTTCTGGATGATTGAGGGGTTGAAAGCTTATTCAATATTCCTCTCACCAGACACGTGAAAGCAAATTCGCATCCCAAACCAAGCAAAGCACTTTACCTTCCTATATTATCTTTTCAAACTCCAGTCGGCGTATTCCCAAAACAGTAATTGGAGAAATCATGCCGTCCTGGACACACCTCGTTCGGTTCACGGCCACAGAAGACAATGCTGTTTACTACACGAAGTGTGATTCTACATTGCCACAGGTTGGAGCAAAGGTTCCCTATTTCAAGTCCATCACCTCACTGGACTCTTATAACGCTACCAGCGATCTGAAAACAATCAAGGAGGTTAGTGTTCAGACAATCCAGTGGTGTAGCTCTAAGCTTCTTCACAGATACTTGCGCCGGTGGAACCAGGCTTGCCCATTGTTTGCATAGGATTGAACTATGCCAATCACGCTTCAGAAGCAAAGGTATCTCTCACTCTCTATACAGCACCTTGAAGACCTTACAAGCTGACCAACATTATAGTTGACTGTACCACAGAAATCACCCATGTGGTACAAACCTGCCGAGTCGCTCGCCAACCCTGGAATCATCCCGGTACCAAAAGTAGCCCAAGACCACTTCTTTGATTTCGAAGGCGAATTGACAATCGTCACATCCAAACCAGCCAAGGATGTCTCTGTGGAAGATGCTCCATCATACATCCTTGGATATACCATCGGCAACGACCTCACAGCACGTCACTTCCAAGCCCCTGCCGTAGCAGGTGGCCAATTCTCGTACGCGAAATCGTTCGACAAATTTGCACCATTAGGTCCTGCACTCGTCAGCCCCTCTGCATTTGGGGATGTTACAAAGAATACGATCAAGACTTCTATCAACGGGCGAATTGTTCAAGACAGCCCTTTGGATTTGATTTGGGGGCCTGCCGAGCTTGTGAGTTTCTTGAGTCAGGGAAGAACGTTGCCTGCTGGAACGGCTATCATGACGGGGACGCCAGCTGGAGTTGGTTGGTTTCAGGAACCGCAGTATAGTTTGAAAGATGGAGATGTTGTGGAGGTATCTATCTCGGGAATTGGAACTTTGAGCAATACCATGAAGTTTGAATAGATGCAGATGAAATCTGACTATCGGAAATAGATGTAATTCATTTTATCAAGTTTTGTCATGCTTTCTTTCCTCTTGCTATTTCCCACAATTCTGATTCAGGTTTGGCAACCGCAACACAGCTGGAGTCATTCAGATGTGTATTATTTTTACACGCTATTTAGGGTTCCAAGCAGAACAGTCATGTATTTGGCGCGAGTGGGTGGGTTTTTGAGATGTTTGAGTAAACAAATGTCTGATTCGAGAGTAAAGCATGCTACACTGCCACAAGAATAAATCACGAGGAATCTCCAAAGTTGGCAGGCAATGGCGGTCCCCAGATCGACAAAGTGTCTGGACCAGCTGCTTGGCGACTCGTCGGTGTCTTGTCGTTAACCACATCCCCATCCGCATAATGCTCAATCTTGAACCCACTTGGATCCTTCCAATAGTCAAAAATCTGACTTCCAAGTATATGTCTCCCAACACCCCATACTGACGTATATCCCTTATCTGCCAACCATTGATGACCGATGAGCTGGGTGTCGAAGTCTGCGACCTCGAAAGAGCAGTGATGCATTGCGGTCTTCTGTCCTGGAGCGGCTCGCTGCATGAATAGCGTGTGGTGGTCGGTAAACTCGGAGCCAAGATCAATATGTAAGAATGCGAGAACATCAAGGTCTGGCATGCTTGGTTCGAAGAGGATATCGGAGGGTGTTAAGTTGAAATTATCGAGATAGAAGGCCAGGTCTTCATCGAAGGCGCTTGAAATGTAACCATAATGACCGACTTTGTGTACCATCGCTGGCCCGGCTTGGAAGCGCTGGAACTCGCCTGCGACGCGTCAGTAAAGTCATACTACGCGCATGCATTTTGGTGAGTCACCTTTTCGGTCTTTGTGGAACGGAAGATTGTACGGTCCCAAGTGCTGAACTTGAGCCGATGGCTCCTTCGCTGGCGCGGCTCGAGGTTCCTGGCCCCAGACGAGATGCATCTTCCCTCCACTTGGGGAAGAAACACAAACGATTTCTCCGCCGCCAGGCAAATGTGACAGGTCTTTGTGTGTAGCACCTGGGAGTTTCATCGCCTTTTCCAAGTCCTCCCTTGATTTCACAGTGAATGCTCCGCCTTCAAATTGCTTCTCCCCGGTGGTGCTTGGCAGGACAACATAGCAGTATGGATCTACACCGTAGCCTCGGAGGTAGACTGCCTCCCCGTCTCGTGCTTCCTCGACGAAGCCAAAATCTTTTGCGAAGGCAAGAAACTTTTCTGGATCAATATGACGAAGGAAGACATGGGAGATGTGTTGAAGTTGAATTTTCTGGGGTGTATTTGGTGAAGGCTTGATGCGCATTGCCATAATGAGTAGTTTTGGACGTCGAGAAGTTGTGAAAGAGGATAGAATCAGTGAGCAGATTATTCATTCTGAAGATGAGTTGAACTGAAGTACGCGTTCATATACCTTTTATGCCTGGCATGTGACTTGGTGGATTGGTAAAGGGAACCCACCTTTTGAATCCTCGGACTGCAGCTCAACTCCGTTCCGATCCTGACCAGGGTTGAAGCCGTGTATCAAAACCTGTAACAATGTAATATACTTTCATCTTTACGTAATGTCAGGAGCTTTTGTTGTTATAGCACGAGCGTTGTGCAAAGGGGGGGCTTCTCAGGCCTAGAAAAGACAATCTTAGGCTTACGGGGACGTGTCTTATACTTTCCAGGCCTTCAAGGTCTAAAATCCAGGATCTCACATTAGAGAATAGCGAAGGAAGAAAGAGACTATGCCCCGTTAAGAGCTCCTAGTAATTTTTAGGCTTAGCTTCAACTTTCTTCTTACCTAAACGGGTTAGTGCGTTAAATTACTACCGCCACCCTAATATACTTTTCTTTTACTGTAAAGCACCGTCCACAGTCTTGAGAGGTCGCGCCCGGTGCTTCGGATGGCGCGAGGCTGCGAAAAAGAAGTAAGTGACCGGTTCAAATCGTGATTGTGGAATCTTGAGGGAAATTGTGGGCGTGAAGAAGAAACGTGGGTGGCACAATGTGGAGAAATGTGGGGAGATGTGGACAAATGCGGGCAAGCGAGGGATAGGGGGATATGCGGGTGCTAAGCGAGTAGTTCTGAGGAGATGGCAACACAAGCACTAATTCGCGGGGAAATGGGTATCACCCACTGCCATGGAGCACAGGCAGTGTAAGAATGTCCCGTGATCCAGGCACTACCTAAGCTGCTGGTAAAAGATTCAAAACTCGCCCAATTCTTCTCGGACACCCTGTCACTTCTTACTCGTAGGTGAGACAGTGAGATCGAACAGCGCCGCAAAACGGATACCACAGAATTGCAATCACCCACAACTTCGTCTCTTCAGCGCCTCAACAATTCTAGATGGCCATGTCAGATGTCATGCCGTGGGTCTACGTCTTACCGGTAATTGGATTTGTCTCCTTGTATTGGATTATCGGCACTCTTCGGCTTGCTTACCGCACCGATTTGTCGCCGCTCCCCGGTCCGAAATGGGCCCGATTCACGGGATTATACCGCGTGTATCGACTATGGTCGGGACAAGCGCCTGCGGTATATTTGCAGCTTCATGAACAGTATGGCCCAATCGTACGCACTGGGCCAAACACTGTGTCTATCGCCGACCCAGCTACGATACCCACCATCTATGGCATCAGCAGCAATTTCCTGAAGGTACTCTCTCTCAGTAATAGCTTCTATTCTATGGCAATGCTGACTGTTTCTAGTCTAAGTTTTACACAACATTGACTACAACCTACAATGGTGAAATCGTGGACAGCCTGTTCACAACCCGTGATCCAGCTCACCACAAGGCACTAAAGCGGCCGGTAGCTGGGAAATTCTCCATGACATCAATTCGGACCATGGAGCCGCTTGTTGACGAATGTTCTGAGATTTTTATCCGATCCATGGAAGATCTGGAAGGCCAGAAGGTGGATCTTGGCGCTTGGGTCCAGTGGTATGCATTCGATGTCATTGGAATGATCACGTTCAATCGCCGCTTTGGGTTCATGGAAGAACGTAAAGATATTTTAGACATGATTTCGAGCCTGGAGTTTGCTCTGAAGTATGCTGGACTTATTGGCCAAGTTCCGTACCTACATCCCTGGTTGGCAGGAAACCAAATCGTGATGAAGATTATGGAACGGATTTTGCATTTGCCAAATCCAGCTCGAACCATTGTGGAGGTATGATTTTGCCCAAAGCCCGGGTTTTGGAACAAACACACTTGCTAAAGCGGTCGTGTTTAGTTCACCCAAGAGTGTATCGATGCTTATGATCGAAATGAAAAGGAGAAGGAAACGTCTGATTTTCTAACCTTCCTGAGACTTGAAGAGAAAAAGAATAAGGACACAATGCCACATGGAGACTTGATCAATCACCTCAGCAATAATCTGTAAGTCAGCAATCTCTGGACAATTCTTGAGCACCTTTCCCCATGTTCGACCAATGCTGATGTGAATATTGCCATTAGGTTAGCTGGAAGTGACACAACAGCCATTTCCCTTCGAGCTATTCTTTATTATCTGATCCAAACACCAAAATCATACAAGCGCCTACAGGCAGAGATTGATGACGCCGATCGTGCCGGAAAGCTGTCCAAGTTCGTAACTTACGGCGAAGGTTTGGAACTGGAGTATTTGTAAGTTCTTGCCTCGGTTTTATTGGTTGCAGAGCTAAGCAGAGACATTACCATAGACAAGCTGTCATGAAGGAAGCAATGCGATTGCATCCTGGTGTATCATATCCGCTAGAGCGTCTTGTACCTGAGGGCGGTGTTAATCTTTGCGGACAAAAATTACGTGAAGGCACGAATGTTGGAATCAACCCTGTCGTTGTGCACCAAAACAGAGCGATTTTCGGGGATGATGCAGCGAAGTTTCGACCTGAGCGGTGGCTGGAGGCCGGTCCAGAACAATTGAAGATTATGGAGCGAACGCTTTTGACTGTGAGTCTGGAGTCACTCCCACTTTACTTTTGTTAGCTGCCATCTCTCTACAAGAGCCCTTGGTGTCTGCTCATACAAATCTGACGTGAATTCTCTCACTAGTTTGGTACTGGAACACGCTCGTGTATTGGAAAGAACATCTCGTTGATGGAGATGGGGAAGTTTGTTCCGCAGATTCTGCGTCAATTTGAGCTTTACTGGGCTTCTGAGAAGCCGGAATGGACAGTCAACACTTACTGGTTTGCGAGGCAGTCGGACTTCATCGTCAAGTTTACACGAGGAAGAAGTAAAATATCTCAGAAATTATCATTACCAATTTGACTGTAATCTGAGAAACACGAGTATGCCTCCCTGTTGAAGATCACAAGTATCGCAACGTTACCGTTTTCCTCTACTGTCTTAGCACGTGACACAAAAAGGGGGTTGGTTGTGAGAGCGATTGGTTGACTAGGCGAGATCCCGGCGAGTTAGCCAGGATAGGGGTTTATACGAGGAAAGGAAGCTAGGACTAACTCGGCGCGCTAGGGGAGCGGGGTAGGTACCTTTCCTAGGGTGCAGTTTTGTCGTCAGCAGAACGCGAAGCCTTTTTCATCACTTATGCTCAAGAGTCAAAACCTCATTCTCAACCACCTTTTCTACCGACAGCAGAATGCCGTCCCAGCAGTGTGCCTATTGCAATCGAGAATTCAATAGAGCCGAGCACCTTTTGCGTCATGTACGGTCACATACAAAGGAGAAACCTTTCAGATGTGGATCATGCGGGAAAGGTTACGCCCGCGAGTGGGATCGATTCAATTCCTGGTGTAAGCGATGGTTTCTGACTCAACCAGGGACACATTAATCCGGCATGCCAAGTCTCACTGTGTTGGGAGAACGAGGCGGATGACTCTTTCGGAAGTTTCGACAAATACCAGAGAAGTTGGAGGAATACGCCATGAAGAGCATACGAACATCAGCATTCCAGGCGATGGGATCCTTCAAAGTACTCCCGAAGCGCAGCAAGAGCAGCTCCAAACGATAGAGATCTCCCGCACAACTCCAGGCCAATCAGCTGCTGACTTTGGTACCGGGGCGAATATCTGGGATTTCCATAACCTAGAATTCATGGAAGAAACTCCTTTATGGACGATTGACAATAGCTTCGCCATGGGTGGGATTGAAGATGGAACGTCTGGACAACTGGAAGACATGCAACTCCAGGCTTTTGATTGCTCGGGTGGGCATGGTATATCGAATGGTCATGACCCATCCGACCCTTCCGGAAAGCCTGGGCTCCCAGTTGTATTAGATATGAGGAGCATATGGTTTACGAAAGTTCAAAAGAATGATGAGAGCCTCTACCATCCTTTCACTTTGGCAGAAACCACTCCTACCTCACAACCAACATCATCACCAAGAGAGCCTGAAATCGTCGACGAGGAGTGTCGTCGTGATCTCACCAGATCTTTAGTCCATCCATTCCCGCAAGAGGATTTGCTTCCTTCCTCCGCATTTCTGGTTGTATTCACCCCTCTTGTCATAATCGCAATGCTGACTCAAGGAAGAATCTCTGTGTGCGACGGTATCTCGCATGTTTCAACCCTGTTTTCCCTATAATACACGCCGGAACATTTCAACGTACCTCAGAAAATGGGCTCCTACTCATCTCCATGGCATCTGTGGGCTGCCTCTTTTTAGGTTCGCTGGCTGCCGTTCAGCGTGGACGTCGCCTTTTCGAGAGGCTGAATAAAGTAATTCTAACCTCAGTAGGTACGGCCCCGCTAGGATTAGCCACGGCCTAACCAGACTTTCAGTGGGATAAAGTAATTGGTCAATCAAATGGCGAGATTGTTGCAATGGTGCAAGCAGCTCTTATTGGCCAAACATTTGCAATGTTGTCCGGAGTAAGATACTTTACCCAACATCACAACCTTCTGATACTCGCCTGACACTTCGAGAAGGATGCCAAGCACCTCGCTATATTCGAAGCATATCACGGCTCTATGATCTCGGTAGGCATGCAATGCTTAATGAAATCTCTACCATCTAACAACTCCAGTGGGCACGGAGAGAAAGGATGTTTGTGGCTCGTCCGGACACAGATTCGCTTGAAAATCTGTCAGGAGATGAATTGGATGCAGCATGGAAGGACTGGGCGAGAAGAGAAGAGATGAGAAGGTTCGATAGGTGAACTGTTATAACACCCAGCAAAATGCTAACACGAACACTAGAATTGTCCCTGCCTTACACCTTCATGATGGTGAACTCTCTGCCTTGCTTCATCGTGGGCCATGTCTCAAAAACATCAAATCGGTCCGCTCAGCGCACGCGACCTATCGTTCATTCGAAGCCACTACGGCGTTGAACTGGATCTCTTCTACCAGACAGGAAGTTGAATCGGACACGATAATAGTTAACAGCAACAGCCAACCACATCAGTGCGACTTGTTCACTGCATACGTAAAGCTTCAACTCATCGGTGTGAAAATCGGGGAGGACCGACTACAAGAAAACTTGGACCAAGAATCCTTCAATGCCCATCAAGAGGCGTTGCTGCGGTGGCATGAATACTACGCTGGATCTGTGGAAGATGAAGATCCAGACCGCCTATGTCTGCTATCCCTTTGGCACTGGACATTCATGCACTTACTGGTTGATTTGGACCAGCTGGAATCAGCAATTGGAAGAGATGGTCCGGATGCTGCAAAAGAGGCTATATCATATGTGTCCAACTGGGTTTCGACACCAAATTCATCTCGATGCATACTACACGCCTTCCTGCTCCAGAAACAAATCCAAGCCCTTCGCTTCAACCAAATACCAGCACTTCACGTTCCAAGAATCCTATTCTCTGCCGCGATCACATGGTACTGCTATATCAACTATGGACCAGGCAATGACGCACTCGATCTGTCAAGTACGGTTTTTGACACAAACTTGCCAGAGTTCAAAGCTGTAGGACCAAAAACTCTCCAACAATTGTCTTCTATTACGAGCTTGAGCTGGAACCGAGGTGCTTTATCTTGCATAAAGGCTGCGACTTTGTGTGAACTGAGTGGACTGCTCCAGAGAATCAACGAATGGGGATCAGCAGGATCGTTTGCAAAAGTCGTGGCCCGCCTGATCGACTACGAAGCTTAAATTGCGGGACCACCTTGAATTCAAACTACGTTTATTCTGATAACCATTCTGGGACACTATTTTGCCTACCAAACTTTACTTTCTGTTTCGAACTTCGGTTTCTTCACCGGGGTGATTGTTTTCGCTTAGCACGCTGACTGCAGCCGGAACTGCCCCCAAATCTTATGGTTCAACACTTCGTGTCAAAAGCAACACCCGTACCTGCACGGTAAAAGTAACGACAAAAACAAATCATTGTTGGATCAATGGCAGCACTCCATTCTGGGATTCCAAGTGCGGTTTGCGGGCACTACTGTTATTGGTCGAAAGCAAATGTGGACGATGTGGGACCATCCTCATTGGATATAACAATCAGCCCCAACCCAGCGCTTTGGCACCACATCTCCATGGAGACCAGGCTCGACCCCGCAAATGGCACTGAGAGCTCTGTTGGTACGGATTTAAAACAATTGAGCAGTTAGGTATAAGGATGCCCCTGCTGTGTGTTGAACTCTTGGGAAGACTCAAACGAGACTTCTTTCCTAACTCATCAGACTTCTCTTGAGCCCTTCATTTACGACTGATCAATCAATTGAATTGAGATGTCTTACAAAATCACAGGAGAGAAAGTCATCAATTCGGAGATTGGACAAGTTCCTTCGCCGCTCGCTGAGAAAAAGTCGGATGACGAGCAACATCTGGAGCATGTTGAGACTTCCGGTCTCAATTTGGAATATAATGACGATGAAGAGGAGCCAAAAATTCACGCACGGACTTACGTTGCTTTGGCAGCTATGTTATTGTTGAATCTAGTTCAAGTTGTTGCCCTTCAGGGTCCTCCTGCAGTCGTACGGTTTCCAGTCAGAACAAGTCATGCAAATGAAATAAACTAATATTTCCATGTGCAGCTCGACTACATTGGTAAGGATCTCAACAACACGGCAGCTCAAGCATGGGTCCCCAACGCTCTTTCACTCGTTCAAGCTGTCGTCGCTCCCATCATTTCCTCTGCGTCGGACACATTCCAGGCCCGGAAACTCCTCCTAGTCGGCCCTGCTATATTATCTTTCATTGGAGCAGCGATTGCTCCGGGGTCAGCCAATATCTACCGGCTAATTGGTGCTCAAATCCTGATTGGATTTGGGTTTGCTACTGTCCCTTTGGCATATGTAGTTCCAAGCGAGATCTTGCCGAGAAAATGGCGACCGAGTACGTCAACCCTTAACGATATGTATAAGAGATGAATTAGAGAAACTAATATTCTATTCAGTGGCGCAAGCTTGGATGAACGTCGCTGCAGCACTTGGTGCTTGTGTTGGACCTTTGATAATTGGTGCTCTGACGAAGTCCAACTATCACACGGGCTGGCGGAAGTTCTACGTAAGCTCCCGTGATTTTACCGCTTTACCCTCTCCAACGCTAACTTTCCAAGTGGGTTCAAATGGCACTCTGGGGAGCGACTGCAATGGGCCTCTTCTTTGGCTACAGGCCGCCGAAAAGACACACCCGATATGACCATCTGTCATTTTTGCAAAAGCTCGGTCACCTTGATCTTGCTGGGTGCGGACTTCTCACGGCTGGATTGACTTTGTTACTCACTGGATTGAATCTAGGTGGAGGTCTTTTCTCCTGGACGAGCTCCAGAGTTCTAGCTACCCTTGTCGTTGGCATCGTCACCCTCCTCGCTTTCTGTGTCTACGAGTGGAAGTTTACGAAGACTGGAATATTGCATTATGATCTCTTCCGCGGTGGAAAGGACCGTGGACGAACTTTTGCACTGTGTGTTGGTCTCATTTTCGTCGAAGGTATTATTTTGTTTGCCTATGTGATCTTTTATCCAGTTTTGTAAGTTGCACCTTCATTGTTATCCCATCCTTAGTTTGGGCTAACAATGTGTAAAGGACTACCTCGCTTTTCACACAAGATCCCTTCATCCAAGTTGCTAGAGCTCAGCCTGCCTGGATCTGCGGTGGTTTGAGTACAGTAGTCTATGGCTTCGCTAGCACAAAGCTGAAAACAATCCGAGGACCCTTGTGCGTTGGGTTTCTGATCATGACCGGAGGACTTGTCGGACTAGCCCTAACCCAACCTGGCGACTCTACCAAGACAATCGTCTTTTCTGGCTTAGTCGGACTTGGATTCGGAGCCCCACTCGCCCTCATCATAGCTGGTGTCCAACTCTCCACTCCCTACCACCTCATCGCTACAGCCACTGCACTCACCACAAGTACTCGAGCCGTTGCGGCAGCCATGTTCACAGCCATTTACTCAGCGGTCGTGAACAATCGTCTTGACAAGTACATTCCCAGCTATGTCGCTAAAGCTGCCGTTCGTGCTGGCCTCCCCATAACCTCTGTTCCTGCTTTCGTCGGGGCACTGGCTTCGAACAATGCCACTGCTCTGCCACATATTCCGGGTGTAACTCCTCTTGTTATTGGGTCGGGTGTAAATGCTCTGAAGCATGCGTTTGCGGATGGGTTACGGGCTGTGTTCATGATTGCTGCCCCCTTTGGTGCTTTGGCTTGTATTGCTTGTTTCTTTCTGGGTGATATGAAGGCGGTTATGAATTATCATGTGGATGCGCCGATGGAGGATTTGCATGCTAAAAATCATCATGAGGGGCAGGCTTTGAAAATTTGAAGAGTGAATTGTTGCATCCAGTACATAGTGCGCTTTATACCAATTTAATTGGTCCTAATAATATTCTCGCCGAGACTTCAATTGGTTTCTGTTCGAGCGACACGTGAATACTTGAATACTCTGGTGGAAATTCGCTGCTTATCATTTTCACACCCCATTCTATTCTTCTACTGGCTCTCACCTGAAATGTATCTCAATTTCACACTTTCACAACCTTTTTGTCTGATAGCTCATATATCCATTGGAAACGTAATCTGTTCTCGGATCACATTTCCGCACCCAACAACTTCCTCGCATTCCCACTATAAATCCCCTCTCTCACCGCCTCATCCTCAAATATCTCTTCCAACCCTTCCCTCATATCATCAGCCAACACCTTCACTCTCTGCGTCGGCGTGAACGGATAATCACTCCCATAAAGCAGCCTATCTGGTCCGACAATTCTAAGCAATCCATGAATCTGATCCGGAAACGGGAAGCCAGCAAGATCGAAAAAGAATTGCCGTCTGAACGTCTCCTTCAGGGTTTTGGAGCTCAAGTCAAGCTCGGAGCGCATGAGCATGTTGCTTATGCTGCTAAATCGCTGGAGAATGGGAGGTAAGGCGCCAGCCGCGTGGGGTATGACGAAGGTTATGTTTGGACATCGGGATATTGTGCCGGATGAAAAGAGGTTGATTAGTGCGCGTGTGGTGTCGAACATGAATTCAAACATTGGGTTCGGGAATTTGGGCAGGAATGTTATGGCTGTATGCTCGTGGCCGTTGGCATCTCCGGTGTGTTTACAGCAGGGTGTGGTTGGGTGGATGAAAACGGTTGCTTTGATCCGGTTCAGCTCGTTGAAGACGGTATCTAGCGAGGGATCACCGAGGTAGGTCCCATGGTGGTTGGTCTCCAGTACGAAGCCGACAGGATTGAGGTCACCGATCGAACGGGCGATCTCGCAAAGGCTGCCTTCAACGTCTGGCAGTGGAAGTGACGCCCAGAATCCAAACTCCTCTGGGTGTCTTCCGACAAGGGAATTCGCGAAGTCATTGCATTGCCGTGCAAGGTTGCCGTTATAAATCTTATCCCCGGGGACGAGGTGGGTTCCGGGTGAGCTGATGCTAATGATGGATTTTGAGATGGAATTATCTCTCATGGACTCGAGATGCGTCTCTTCGCTCCATTCCTGTTCTCTCTGTTAGCTTGTTTACGGATGACCATGACTTGATGGAAGGACATACTGGGAGAGCTGGCATTCCATCTGGCATTCCATGTCCCTTCTCCAGACATGCTTTGCGGTAAAATGGTGGAAGGAAATGGGAATGGACGTCGATTTTCCCCGAATGGGCCATTTTGAGTGAATTTAAGGGTTGATTGACCAACAACTCTTTCGTTGGTCACTCGGGGAAAATTTCGGGTTCCGCAAAGTATAGGTCAGCGGAGTGTAACTGAGAGGTGAAATTTGGGTCTGTTACCAAAAACATGTGTGCTGCAAATCACACCCCTAGTCCACCTTTCAACACAAATACCGAACGGAACTCCCGTACGGAAAGCCGTAAGGACCACATGTGCCAGCGCAACTTCGCACTTGCATGCCTCACCCCACCAGAAATCGCCCATGCCCATATACCAGGGCCCCCCTCTCCGTACACGACGACCCAATGACACGACGGATTACATCACGGCATCAGGAACTCAGGACCGTACGTGGTGCTTGACGAACTTCGTGCTAGTAGATAGAGTCGTTGGCTGAGGTTTGAAGGCGTGGAAGCGATTCGGACGAGAGACTAAGACTGGGTTCGCAATGCCATAGGGGCATGCATCGATTAGTGCAGCAGCAGCTAGAGCTGATTCGAAGACCCAGTGTGCGTCATTAACGCAGTGTTTGTGAAAAAACAGAGAGGTTGGCACCCCAAGGCAGCTTGTCAACACTCTTGCTAATACCCCCAACGTCGTATTCTTCTTTCTCATAATGGATATGGTGGTCATCTGAGGAGAGGTAGTCAGTGCCGTAACCTTCGTAGAGATGACTTATCCCTAACCTATTGCCTGCAAACGTAGTGTTGTTCACTCACAAGGTACGCCCGGTCCCGTACTACATTAACCATAAAGATAGAACCCGGCACCGACAGCATCTGCAGCTTTGCGAACTCGGCGGCATCAACCAGGTTCTCCACATACAGCCCCGGCAAATCGGGCGCTGTTATAAATGCCATCTCCAGTTCCCCCAGGCCTGAAGCTTGCAGGAAAGTATTTGTTTGTGATTGGAGATCAGAGATGACAGATGCCAGAGCGGCGACGTCACATGATGCTGGACGGCCCCGAAGTCTGCGGAAATAGCGAAACCATTGGCGTCCCAGATCGTTGGTCTGAGCTGTGCAGTTCTAGTATGGCGGCCTAAGAAAAGGGCTTGTGAGCATAAAAGCCTGAACACAAGAATGAAAGGGTTTGCGTACAGACTCCCCAAGAGACAATCGAGCCAGGACATTGTTGTCAGATTACCTATCCGTGCCTTCCGCTCTTCCTATATCAATAACCGTCCCGTTCCCGAACATTACCGCTGCCGTTCTGTGTTGTCGTTCACATCAGAATTCCCAGCATTCTTGGATAGTAATGGATTGGATTATACATACCTATAGCTGGTGATCAAGTTAAAACCCACAGCAAACGTCTGGTTTTTGAAGTCCCTCTAGTCTTAGGAGCCCTGGGTGGGGAAAAAGTAGTGCCACATTCGAAATAAAATACCAAATGGGTTGAGTACTTGCTAGAAAACTGAGGACGACAAACCACAATGCACAGATTGGAAATGCACAGAAAGCGAAGCATGCCCCAGTTATAGGGGCTTTCGAAAGAGGCGAAGACATTCAAAGGGCGAATAATTAGGAATTTAGGGATGAGGAAGTTGCTGGGCGCTACGGGGCCGGGATTGTAAAGGTGCGAATAACGTTGGCAGCAGGTGGAGATGGAGCATCCCACACATTCTCAAGAAGGTCAAAGGAAGAAACACTAAAAATAATAATCAAGATGTTGACCACGCATTGTTTTCTTGGCCAAACAATGGCCTTTTAGTGGAAAGCGAAGTCTTGGGTCATCGAAGATGGTTGCTGAATTGCTGCCTAATAATGAAACACGCGGTGACCGAATGCGGACCGAAGGAGAACCCATTGCTCGAGTGCTTTGCTTAAAGTATGGGTTTACTCGAAGAACTTTGCTTATACAGAATAGGAATTGCTCGAAAGTAAAATCTGCTATATATTGAGTTGCGAACAAGAAAAAAGGATCTCGAAAACCTGGTCAACGCCCAGGAAAGTGCTTTGCTCAACCCCTAGTCTTCACTCTCCCGACAGCTGGTCCTGCACCTTCATTCAAATCTCCCTTCTCGCAAAGGCCTGGTAAAGAAGTACTAACTCTATTCCATTGTGCTCGCAGAATTGTTAAAATACCGGGACCTTGTGCCTTCGTTCGCTGAGTGGAAAGTCATGGTTTCGGTGCCTCGCTTGCTGCCAAGAGTCTCGGGCAGCACCTTCAGGTAGCTATAGGCCATAGCTTGATTTCTGTATCGAAAAGCAGTATATCTTCCTCATTCGAGCTACCAGCTGGGCCTTCCGGTCCACGATCTTCCAGAGAACTTCGTAATCACTCGACCGTGGTGAGATCTTCAGGACTTCTAGGTTCGAGGGGAGAAGGCATTCGGGTGGGCACTGAATATCAGGTGGTATCTAATCATCAGGATGCCGTGGTGGAATGTTTTGATCTGAGCTTATCTCAACATGCGACATACCAGGCAGACGGTGCAGCCCGGGTTCTTGGATAATCATCCAGGCACAGTACCTCATATCGAACCTGAGTCCCCTGAGATTTCCCCCCGCCCGTGCCTTTCGGATCGTTTTGAAGAGATCTCCGTGGTTGACCTCATCGTTTCTCCAGGTTTCGACGAATCCCATATCGGAGACGATTATCAAGTACTGCAAATCCCAAGGGAATCGAAGCATCCGGTACAGATCCTGTAGTGCAATGAGAGGGTGCTCTGCCAGGTTGTTGATGCATTTGCCAGCCCGGTAAATGGACCGTTACGTCGTAATACTTCCCAAAGGAATTCTGCCCACCCAGACAGACAAGAGGTTTGATTTAGAGGGGAGCGTTCCTCACAATAAGGGTTGAGAGTGACTAATTCTGTCAGTCAATGAATTGAACCAAGTGAATTTGTACTCACAACTCGTATGGTTATCTGTTAATCGGAGGGCACGTGTAAAGTTGGACCTTCACATTCGTACACAATAGATAAATGCCGAGAGTTCTCCATCCTCCCAACCAACTTATGCAATCCCACCTGCACAAATCGCCACCAGGCAAGGGGGGTCGAATGGGATGCGGACATCCAGATTCCGAACGCGGTGCACAGAATTCTGGTGGCGAGGGATGCGCAGGTTCCACTTTCTTGCGCCTTGGACTCCTCCAGCATACGCCATACTCAAATGATTCACAGCCAAGAAGTTGCGGACTGTTCATTTCCGGATGAAGTTTGATGTGCACAATGAGGAATGATATAGCGTCATGTGGCGGAGCGTAGCCCTCATCCCTCACTCCTCTACCCCTGTTTTGGATCTCTTCCCACCATTCGTAAGAGCGATAGTTGCAAAAATTCGCCACGATGCTCTTTTCCTCTTCCGGGTGGAGTTCTACCTTGCTGTGTGGCAGATGAGGAATGGACCGGGGATGCGGAACTGAGAAAAGAGAGAAGAACCTGTTGAGCAAGCAAAGAATTTGATTGGTTTCTGGAAGGATTATATGACGGAGACTTGTTTTAGAGATAGAAGCGAGTCCAGACCCTCGTAGAGCTCGGTTCATCTGTCCAATGTCTGTATGCCATTCGGAACAATGGCGGGGAGTGACAGCGCTGCAGCTGCAGTCGTGGGACGTCGGTTTCATTGGCTTTCGATTGTTTCGCTATCGCCGGCCTTGATCGTCTATCTCCCACACTGATGGTCCTGCGCCTTCTTCAAATACTTCCCTCCGCTTGGAGTCCTCATGTAGGAGCATCAATTCCACCCCCTGTTTCTCGCAACAGCCTCTGAATGCCCGAAGCACTCTCTTCCTTGCGCAAGGATATATTTTCTCGAGATCCTCCTCATCAGGCTCGAAGAGCTCGGGATCATTTTCGTAATCGTCACGCTCTCGCAAAGCAGCAATGAGTTCCTTTTTCATAACCCTATTTCGATAGTGAAGGGTCAAGATGATCTTCCTGAGATGAGGAACGATTTCCGACTTTCGATCCAGAATACTCCACAGAGTAGGAAGGTCTGAGGCCGCGGGAGTGATTTTGAGGACTTCAAGGTTCGGCGGGAGGAGTTGTTCCAGTGGGCAGTCGATGTCTGGTATCGGGTTTTGGAAGTTTAAGACCCGTTTGTCAACCTCAATGTGATCCGGAGCTACTTCCAGGTAAAGCACATCGCGTAGCTCGTGCATACCAGGCGCTGGCACGATTATGTTTCCCCAATGGGTCACATCGAATCTGAGACCCTGTAGCGACTTTCCAGAAGCCCTTCGAATGGCAGAAAAGTAATCGGCGCAGTTGACTTGCTCATCGTCATACATGTCTTTATCGTTGAAGTCGGTTGCAAGTGTGAGGTACTGTAAAGCGCGAGGGTAACGCAATACTTGATAAAGATCGTCGGGAGTGATGAGGCAGTCAATGAGGGCCAATGACTCAAGTCTCGTCGAACCACAACCCACATCAACGACAGCGTCATTCACCGCGGAAGCAGCCCAGTGGAGCTCGAGTTGGCGTAGAGATGGATGCTTGAAGAGGCAAGTTGCCTTCCAAATAGACCAGTTGGCCCAGTCTTTGAACCCAACAGTGCCTATTCTGATCAGCAATGGATCCCAGATTCTGGGATTAATAACCTACAAGTGGTCAGTGTTTCCGCCAGCACCGATGGGAGAGGCAGGTCATGACCGTTCATGTACTCTTCCTCTTCAATGTAGATAAGAGACATATGGCGTAGATTCACCATATCGTTGATTACGTCGATGATTCTCCTCGTTTGCCAAAAGTCAGGCTCATACCAGTGGAGGGAAATGTCGAGGCTTCGAGTCTGCCTCAACAATTCCCTGAGGCGAGGTTCTTCCAGCGGATGACGTTCCCCATCATCGGTTTCGAACATAACACGCCCGAGATCGCACATTATATATTCCGCAGTTCCATTCTTGACGACAATATGTCGATACAAAGCTGGTGACGCGTGACTGTAGAGTAGCTTGCAGCTCCGAGACAGTGCGCAAAGATCCGCAGGTTGACAGAAGCTGGCGATAATGGCAATGGCTTCGTTCGGGAGGTCGCAAAGCATCTTCGATTTGGTTAAATGACACTGCTTGATAGCACGAAGTGGTGTTTTTGTGCGATGGAGATGGGAGGATAACGTTGAAGGATTGAGGTGACGCGGTGAATAACGCGCCAACGAATCTCTCCACGTGACGTAGGATAATTCACGCTAACCATTTCAAGAACAGCTTCCTCCCTCACGTCTTTTCAGTTCGCTCACAACCTTTCATACTTTGTCATGTCGTATTTGTTGCTGTTCGAGAGATGAAAGAGAATAAGCACCTTCTTATTGAAACTTCATATTCAACTGATAGTCTACTAAAAACCAAGAATTGGATTACCATATTGGAATTGTTTCCGAGTGGGCTACAATAGCCGTGCGCGCCATAATCCACTGCTTACCCCAAACTTTAGCTGGACCATCACCGCCGCACTTGCAGATAGCATGCATTCGGAGAATCGATGGAATGCTCATACGGAGATGCGTTGAAGTCGCATGTTTCGAAAGGGGAAAGGTCCACTCCGTTCGGAGGTTTTTCCGAAGTGAGCCACTCTGCCCCATTTCCATACCCACCCCCAGACGACACACCTGCTTTTGCTTCGTCCACGTTCCCTTCCCGAAAGGCTGGCCTTTATACTGTGCCACATTTGCCCTCCAAAAGGTGTGGCTGAAATTGAGTTGGTGCGCCAAGACCGGATTTCTACAGAGTGCATTGTATTGTATGCTTCATCACGCGTCATTCTTTTTTTTTGTCAAGGATCTCACCTCACTATTTGCAGCCGCGTGGGGAAGGTATAAACTAAGGTCCTCCTTCTCTCTCCCAAGATCGTTTACACTACTTCTACCATATGTCCTTCCGGTAGACAGTTCTACGCGGCAGAGATATCAAGGTCTAGGGTCTGGGCCCTCTCTACTAGTACGTGTCACATTCGCCAAGTCCTCAAACCCTACTCGCAGGCATTTCCGCAACCAGCTGGGGCCGAATTGGCCCAAGCTTAGCGAGGAAAGCTGATGACTACTTCTCCTTGTTTTGCTTTTGCTAGTTTAAAATGCAGCCTCTAAAATCAGTTTACAGTGCGTCCGACACCGCAGCGACAAGATGGTCCGCGTTTTACGCCTATAACAACTTTTTGACCACAAGTGGAATTAATTAATACTAAGTAAGCAATTATAGACTAGAATTAAGCGAATAAAGTACATTATCTTGAATTTTAAAAGGATTTTTAATTAATTAGTAATCGAAGTCTAAAGTACTTTGTCACGTGTATGCCTCACGTGACCATTAGCTTACTCATTTTACAGCCCTCAATTATATTATATACAACCGTATTTACTGCAACATATATAAACTATTCATATTTTTTAATTTTAACTAAACAACGCGCGAAAATTTCCATGAGCTCATGTAAAAATAATCACGTGCTTTATAACTCCTGCGATAAAGTATGAAAGATGTGACGGCGGGATTAATGCAATGGTCGGGGCTCAAAGTTCAGAGAATCTCACGTATTGAAAAGACTCAGCTAGAGAGTAAAGGAGAGGGGAATGCCTCGACCTTTAGTAGTGTTTTGCCAACCTCTAGCTTACTTGCCCGTTTCAGGCGTGTTTCCTCTCCGTGATATTCACGGCAGATCATGCAGTTATGCCAGCCGTCACAAAAGATATCAAAAATCAGAGAATAAGGAATTATTTATTACAAGGCGCATAATAACTCTGATTAATACGACTTAGTATTATAGTAAACTTTCTTTTTTTCTGTTATTTTTCTATCGGACCGACTGTAGTCTAGAGTTTCAGGGGGGTTACCGGTACTCACTTTAGGCTTTTCATTTGGATGATCTCCCACGTGACCGTCGCGAGTCAGTTCTTACCTCAACTGCGATCTGCAGTGCATCATGATTTCCTGGGGTTGAAACGTACGAGCCTCTCGGATGCAACTTTTCATTTGTCCGACCTGTCAATCCTGTCTATTGACGCTGTCCGACATCAAATCAATCCCGAGACACTCCAAGGACAGAATTTACAATTGGTTTTTTGTAATCTCTTCTTCCAAGACAGCAGATGGAGCTCAGCCGTACGGAGTATGACTTGCGGCATCTCGTCAGCTCCGCGAGCTTATCGTTGATGTCAAATAAAGCTTTCGCCAACACCACCACGCAAGCCAAGCTGACACTCGGCGATGCAACTCGATTCGTCGCTTCTCGTGGCGAACGCCGCGCCTCGGGTCCCACGTTTGGGCTGTGGCCACACGGCATCGCCGTCCTATGGCAGCAACTGGTCACCGCCCGCATCCCACAATTTCCGCCGCTAGATGGACATAGACCTTCCCTATCAAGCTCTGCCAAGGAGCTCTTATCATTTACCATTTACGACCAGTGAACCTTTTCTGCCTTTCCGTGCCTACACTCCGGCACAGACGTCGTTATCTGGTGGCAGGGCGCTTCCGCAACGCTCCTCCATGCGGAGAACATGATAGGTCGAAGCTCCGTGGTTCATCCTGCCTTCTAGAAGGAGGGTAATCAACGGGTGCAGTACAAAGGGAGAGGCAGGTCCGATGCAGATCCCCCCCAGCTGAAGTGTGCCGCTGTTTCTGTCCCTTTCTCCTCCAATTCTCTCTCTCTTTCTCTCTCTCTCTCACTCTCTCTCTCAATTGTATCTCGGTTTCACAGCAATGTCTGACTTCGTTCATGGCGACCAAGCCGATGTGAGACACTCTCACGATGTCAAGCGCTCCCATGATGTCGAGGCGCAAAGTGACGATGTCAAAGGGGAGGCCGCCCCCGCATACGAGACCACTGCGAATGCCGATTCCGAGGAGGTGATCAGGGCACGAGAGCTCCAGCAGAAGTTGGGATTTCTGCGGAGCATGCGCAGAGGAGAGGAGTGGCTTGACGAGAAAATGGGCATCGAAACCCAGGGCATTGATCGCATCCACGAGGAGGACAAGAAACCCCCTTCCATTCTCAACGTCTTCTTCCTCTGGTGGTCCCTGACCTGCCATGTTGGGACACTCCCAATTGGTGTGCTTGGCCCTGAATTTGGCCTGTCGTTGAATCAATCTGTTGCTGCTATTGTTGTTGGTACACTTCTGGGCGCTCTCTGCACTTCATATACAGGAACTCTTGGCCCCAAGGTAGGTTTATGATATCCAATTTTGATACCCAATTGTCATTGAGGGATAGGACTAACAACGAAACAGCTTGGAATGCGTGCCATTGCAACATCTCGTTACTCTTTCGGTTTTTATGGCGCAAAGCTCTGTTCGGTCCTTAACGTTATAATCGGCGGCGGTTTCGCAGTCGTGAATGTTGTCGTCGTTGGTCAAATCCTCTCCGCGGTCTCAGACTACACAATGACCATCGCAGTTGGTTGCGTGATTATCGCGGTGATCGGCTACGTGATCTCAATTTTCGGCTTTGCGCTCATCCACACATACGAGAAATACTCGTGGATCGCGATCTTCATTATCTTATGTGTCCTGATTGGGCAAGTTGCACCTGCAGTTGACCCCAGCATTCCCGCCTTGGACACGGGATTAGGTCTGGCTGGTTCCTTCCTCAGCTTCCTCGCCATCAACTTCTCGAATGCATCCGGCTGGTGCTCTATTGCCTCCGATTATTATTGTAACTACCCAGCCGACACCAAGTCCTGGAAGATCTTCTTCCTGACCCTGGCCGGAATCTCGATCCCCACGATCTTCGTGACCGTCATCGGTGCCTGCCTCGGAAACGCAGCAATTAGCTCCTCGGTGAATCCAATCCTGTCGGATGCGTACAAATTCCATGGCTTGGGCGGTCTCCTCAGGGAATCCTTCCACCCCCTCCCGTTCTCGAAGTTCTGCCTGGTTCTCCTCGTCTTCTCCGTGCTCGGGAACAATATTGCCATCAACTACTCCTCCGGCCTCAGCATGCAGCTTCTCGGTCACTACTTCCACGCTGTTCCCAGATTCATCTGGTCGTTTATCAACGCGCTCGTTATTGCAATCCTGGCTATTGCCGGCCGAGAACATCTCTCGCTTATTGTTAGCAACTTTGTGTCCTTGCTCGGTTATTGGACTGTGTCGTTTACGATCATTCTTCTGATTGAAGATCAGTGGTTCCGCAGAAAGGAGGGATATAATCTCATCGTGTGGGATGTGCCATCCAAGTTGCCTTGGGGACTGGCAGCTGTTATGGCGCTGTTGACGGGTTACCTGGCCGGTGGTGTGACGGGAATGTCGCAGACGTGGTATATTGGTAAGCCTTTCCAATCTCCCCCAATCCTCTAGCCCCACCATTCCCCAAAACATCGACTAATTACAGAACAGGTCCCATTGCGGCCAAGTTCGGCGGCTTCGGAGGCGATGTCGGTATCTATCTTTCCGGCGTCTTCACCCTTATCGTATACCCACCAGCACGCTGGTACGAACGCAAGAAGACTGGGAGATAAGCGTCTCCCGTCCAGCCTTTTCATTTTAATGATGGATAATATAGAGTGCCTCGAACATTTTGGCTACCCCTTCTTTTAATAGATATCAAAATATGGAGAGTCGGACATCTTGGAAAGAGAATATCATGTTGATCATGTCCTATCATTTCCTATTGCCGCATTCCCCCCCCCCCAAAAGTGAGTCTTTTGCCAATGTTTGATCAAGCTCAGATTCCAAATACGCGCGGGCGAGAAATGTATCACGTGATATAAATCCTGCTTGTCTTCTGGACGGGATGGGAATGGGAGGAAGAGTTTCCAACCAGGGGCCGCATGAGCAGGTGCAAATGCAAAGAGTTAAACGCCAGATTTTCTCACTTTAAGAGAGTATATTATAATCTTGAGGGGGACACGGCCCCGGACCCCTTCCGGGTAGTAAAGCTGCGCAGGAGAAAGTATTCTTTTAGGAGATGACTTAGTTAGAAGAGGAGGGTATTTATTCTTGGGGAAAGGCCTCCCAAAGCCCTTCCCCTAAGGAAAGAAAGAAGTAAAAAAGGTAAGAGGAGTATTTAGTCCCAGTTGTTACGTGATTCTAGTCACGCATCATCACTGCACGTGACTTAGCGTGTAGCTAGTGCTTTTAGCCTAGCAGACAGCCTTCAGCTCAATGCAAGCTCTTTACTACTGCTGCAACTCTCACCCTATCGTTACATTAGTGGGAGGCCTCCTAACCCCGCCCCCTTACGCCTCCGGCGGTCGGTCAAATATTTCTCTAAGTCATGTGACAGGAGATCTCTCCTGTCACGTCAACATTTTGCCATACCAGCCCACCTCGCTTTTAATCACGCGTCATATCCGTCGAGCTTTAGGCCGTTTCCGTCAACAACCCTTGCCGCGAACCCTTCTTCTTCTCCGCCATACTATCCGCGGACCGATGTCTCAACCCCATATCTCCAAGCTCAATATCAACAGGGAGTCCGACGTCGTCAAGTGACGACCCCGCAGCTAGAGTTATCGGAGACGCAGTGGAAGTCTGTAGCATGTCGATGTCGGTTTTGTCATCGTCGATACCGAGAACAGATTGTATTATGTCTTCGATGTGTGCTGAGATGACATCGCGGATGGTAGGGGGATGCCGCGTTTGAGTGGGATGAGTTCGTTGTGAGGGGTCGTTCGTGGAGCGTGTACGTCGGATGGAAGTGTTGTATCCAGGGAGGATCACGCCGATGAGTTGTTCTTCTGTTGGGGAGTCAATGTTTTGAAGAGAGGTCATCGGGAAAAGATGAGGGGGGGTGAGGGGTGCGACGTACCATCGATTGGTCTTGCGGGTCGACGATACTTCCTCCAGATGAAGGCAATGCTCACAATGATCATGACGGCTCGGTACACGATAGAGGATATGGACTCGGGAGTCCAGTTGCTAGGTTGGTCAGGGGTTGGCATGATGTGGCCGAATGAGTAGATCAATGTAGAGAAGGGACAATCGAAGCAAGAAGCAATAGACTGGTGCAGGTTGATATGAGAGGAGAATATGGGTAACAAGAAATCAAAGAAAGGAAAGACCGGTTCACAGAGATCAACGGGTCTCTTATAACTCGCGTGGGATCAATCATGGCGACGTTCATTCTGGCGACGTTCATTCTGGCGGCGTTCGCTCTGGCAGCGTTCGCTTGGCGACTTGCCTGGAGGCTGTACTCACTCGACGCTGAGCGAATAGCGTCGCCGAGTTTTGGACCGCCACGGACCAGATCCTTATCACCAGGAGACGGGCAGGAGAAATCTGGGCGATGCTGTTGGCCATGCAGGCTCGCCGTGTCGCCGTGAACCTGCAACTGAGTATGAGGTGTGGGCCGGAGCGACGAGCGTCGCCTTGAAGACCTTGACCCGGTGCCCAACCAGCTGACAGCACGAGAGACAGGACGCCGTATGGGGGACTTCTGTAGAATTCTGCTGGACGGCGAGAAGCCAGGCCCTGCTTGCCGTTTGCTGTCGGGACTCGGGATTAAAAGACTCGTCGTGCCGTGCGTCCGTGCCGATCAAGCCAACCTGGCTGGCCTTGCTCGATGCGGTATAGCGCACCCAGATGCGAGGCAATGGAGTTCAGAGCCGCTGAGGTTTTGTCAGCCAAAAAAAGAGCGAGCTGTCGAGGGCACAGCCACAACAGAAAACCTGGCACTCGCCAGGGAGGCTCTCTTATCGGATGAGACCAATCGAGCTCTCCAAGAATAGCTGAGTGACGGCACATATTCTTGCTCCACTTCTGCCCTCTACGATTGAATATGAAGTATGCATACCTTTATTAGAGGGGTGAAGTAGTGCTTGAGGCACCCTTGTAATGCCAGACGAGAAGCTAGCATGAAAAGGCAATATCACTCAAATATCAACTCGCGCCAGGGTCGGGAGAGGGAGCATCTTGCATGCGCTACTCGATATCCCGCTTAAATGCACGCCCCGCATAAATGCACGCACACCACACCAAATTCTTTCCTCACTTTCTCCTACTTCTAAATTAAATTATCAATTAACCACAAGACTAATCAGCTTGAAATCAAAAATGGAGATAGATTAATAGCTAATAAATAATATCCCAAATTAATTAGATCCCTTCTCAAAAATTACACGTGGTTTTATCATACGCCCCCGGGAGCTCTGTTTTACTAGTATTTCTGGCCCCCCCTCATTAATATTACTACTAACAAAGGAAATAACCTTCTTTTTAATAGCTAGTACCTTTCTAGGTTTCGCAGGAGTCTTAGTTCTCACTAGAAGAGCCTTTGAAATCTTCTTTTCCCCTACTTTCTTCTTTTTTTAAGCTTGTAATTAAGCCTTCTCCTCAATTCTCACTTCGTCGATATTTCCCGCCCTTATAGCCGCCTGTAAAGCATTCGCTGCCTTCTTAGTATTCTCCTTTTACTTTTTAAGAGCTTGAGTAGCCTTTTTAGCATTAATTCGTTCTCATTCTGACTTTACAAAAGCTTCTTTTTCAGTAAAAAGCTCCTATACTCGTCGAACGTTCTCTACTAAGAAAAGTATAGGCTTTATATACTTCTCTCCCAAGACATTTAGCCGCTTCCTATAAGACTTGCTCTTTTTTTTATCCTTTAATACCTTAATTAACCCTTCCTTTATATATCTATCGAGTATAGCTTATATAGTAAGCTCTTTATTAGCTCTAAAAAGCTTTTCAAGTTTCGCTTAAGACGGATTTTTGCGAAAATTGGCTTAGAAGTATCGAATTAATTTTGCAGATTATAGAGTCTTTAATTATTAAATTAATAAAAAAGCAGGTTAAATAGCTACTAGAAAAGTAATTAGACAGGTAATAACCTTGAGAATAAGTACAGAATTATATAGCTAAATACCAGGCTTTGCAAATGCCTTCTGGATATTTTCTATTATAAAAGCAGTATTTCAAGCAGGACGAAATAGCTTCAGAAATTATTTCTTCTTTATTAATATATAGCTAAGGTTCTAGGCTTATTATTTATTTAGTTTTTTCGAGTATATAAGTAATAAAAAGCTAAAAAGAATTATATTAAGAGATTAAAGTTAATATATTAAATAAGGAAGTAAAATAAGAAGAATAATATAAAGATTCTAGTATTTATTAATAAATACTATATTAATATAGCTTAAATAGCTATTAATAATTAAAAGATACTTTATATAAAAAGAAAAGAATTATATAGCTAGTTTAAAGACTTTAGTAAGCTATTAAAGCCCTTATATATTACTACTCTATCTATTACTTAATATATTAAAAAAGAAGTTATCTTACTCTTATAAATCTTATATTCAGGTATTTCATAAGTTAAATAATTCGCTAGTATATAATAAAATTATAGGAACCCTTTTACTAATTATAGAGATATATACTAAATAAGTAATAAATTCTCGATTTCTATTATAAGTAGCTTATATAACTTTTCTTGATTTATATATTTCCTTAGATATAATTCTCTTTATTACCTATATTATCCCAATTAAGAAGCCCTTTTTGTCCCAATTATATATATTATTAGTAGTAATATTATTATATTCGATTATCTAAAATAACTAGAGTAAAATATATATTAGTAAGTAATTCTCGTAAAATATAAAAAAAGAATATAAAAGGGTACTTAATCAAGTCAAAGAATAGTTTATAAGTAGGGCTATATTCGCTCTTAATATATTAATTCTCGATATTACGTAAATATAAGCTTTTTAGCTTGCTTTGGTATTACCGGCAAAATTAAGAGACCTAGTTCTTCCCTATAGCATATCTAATTATTTCCTCTGCAAAGTTCTTGACTATTTGACTAGTTAGAGGAATCGCACGCTCGGTAAGACGATTGATTTAATTAATTAGAATACGTTCTTGGGCATTAGTAAGGTATTAGCGGAGCTGGGACTAGAATTCCGCTCGCGAGGTGGTTAGCCCTCTGGCACGCCGAGAGAGCGTAGATCGCGTTAATCCATACTTTCTGGCTATTACAGCGTAATCAGGAGCTTCAGAGCTTTCGATTTCGGCCAGAGCCTTCCGCATATCTTCTTCGTTGACCATTTTGTGGGTGTTTAAAGAGAGGGGGTGATTTTTTTGGGAGGCGTGCATTTGGGTGGGGCGTGCATTTAAGCGGGAAATCGAGTACCCGCTCTGATCAGCTGTGAAGATCTTCTAGGCGATGTTCCCTTGTCTGCGGCCCAAACCGAGCATCGCCCAGAAGTTCTTTGGGTTCGCAAATCTGGGCGATGCGTTGACAAGCTCAATGATTGGACTTTGTGGCATGCGCAACCAACCCTCAGCCACGATCAGGACCTGGCTACGCCCGAGAAAATCGTTCAGCGGTGTGTCATCTTGGCCCTGCCTCAAGGCCCTGCCTTAAGATCCTCATGAGCTTCAACCATTTCCAGCAAACACTGCTTGTCTACAATTCGCGCCTTCCCCTCCAAATTCGTCTTTAGATCAAAGCGAATGGCTTGAAGTTCGAGACTCTGATCTTAATTGCCATGATATGATTGCAAGATTCATTTGATCAGCTTTGTCGCAATCAGTACTTACACAGCCGCCTCAGTTTTCAGCAAACAGCACCATCGGTCAAGAGAAATTAATTGAGACATGGATCATCAGTAAGAAGCACCTCTGCACTTGACGAGAGTGAAGTAACTTAGTTTCCTGACGAGGCCGTAGAGTTAACCTGCCCCCTTCGTGGAACCTGGTTAGTCAATTACTCTGGACTTTGGAGCCCTCAGCCTTCCCATATGTCAAAGCCTTGTTTAATCCTACTCATTTGGGGAACGAGTCCCGATGTGTCGAAGTGGAACAAGCAATAACGAAAGTAATAGCCTCGTGCGACTTATCGCAGAGCGAGGTAATTACGTTTCTTCATCTTGTTGAAGCGCTGGAGAAAGAGAGGGAAGAAATGGTTCTCCACCACCAAGGACGTATTGCGAATCTGGAGGCTGAACTGAAATCGACAAAAGCGAACGACTCTTCTCGCGACGCGCCACAGAAGGGTTCTCTTGGCAAGGGACAAATCGTGGAATCACCCAGGAACGAGATACAATCCTGGACCAGAAGTATACCGGGACAATTAACCTTAGTTTCATCCAACCTTCTTGCATCGCAGCCTACAAGAGCAAGTGACTCGCCAGCCAGGAGCCAATTGGCCCAAACCGAGGGAGAGACAGGCGAAGGACTCTCAACAGGGTCGAAACATAAACACAAAGATCCCTCGAAATTCAGATTCAAATGCGACATATGCGATAAGAGCTTTACACGATCCACTACTCTCCAAGAGCACCGAAGATCTCACAACAACGAAAGACGTTGGGCTTGTCAACTTTGTCCAACACGTTTCGTGCGTTTGAAGGACCGCAACCGACACGAAGCACTTCAACATGCACAAAAGAAGATTGAATGTGGTATATCTATTCAGACCCCGGCGGGGGTAGTATGGGAGTGGGGTTGCCATCAACGATTTGCCAGAGAAGATGGCCTCATCTCACATCTTCGTACCGAGAAGGGTCGGAGATGTCTCGAGCCTCTTCTGACTAGCGAAGGACATTCGTTGTTTCAGATGGCTGACGAAGCGCGGGATGGACAAAAGTTCCGCTGCTCTCAGGCGAGCAATTCATGCCAAAAAGAATTTGATGGGCCTGAGCAGTTCACGAAACATCTCAGTGCGCAAGCTGGGAAGAGATGTGCTACGGAGTGGATCGTGCATCACGTCATGAAAATATATAGGGGCAAATCAGGGGATCCTTTGCTCCCTGTGCCTTCTGATGTAGGAGAGGAACAACGGCTTTGGCCAAGTCGAATTGACAATCGAGTTCCCGGAAGAAACGCCAACGACGCAGGAGAGAGAGTCCCAAAAGCTCCTGCTCCTATTCCTATGGGTTCATGGATGTCGTCCATCAATGCGCCGCTCACTGCCGAAGCAAGAGACAAACGACCACTTGGCAATACTGCGAAGAATGGAGGCGTTAGACTCGGACCGGTTTCAGAAAGCGTGGGCCAATCGAAGGGTCTAGTGCCTAGTGAAACGATGGCCGATGAGCCATCGTCATCACCGAATGTCTCCTGCGATACGGAATCACCTCAACCACACGGTATGTTTACTAGCTGGGTTCTGGTAGGGCAGAGGGAAAAACTTTCGTGGCTCCCTGGAGATCGATTCTGGGTTATGATCAAGTGCTCGGCGCGACTGGAAGGAAAGTTTGTCTTCACCTTTGAAACACATTTTGGAACATACGACTCCGACGCCGCCGTGGTATTTCCAGGTTCAGATGCCATTGAAAGGTCTCAACTATATTTACATAAACTCATCTGCAATATTCCCGCGCCACAGGGAATAAGCTATCTCCGGAGGGACGTGACTGTCAAAGTACGCCCTGCTCTTGGTAAAGGGCAAGGGCAAGTGTTTCCTTGTATGGACATATGGATTTCCGACACAGATAGGTCCCTTGGGCATTGATGACAAAAGAAAGGGGATTGTATCCGGTCGCTAACCGGCACACCTGTGGTGAGATGTAAAAGCCGAGCAGACTTTCTGGAGGAAAGATGAAGGAATTTATGCAGAGTACAAATAATGGACAATTGACATCTTCTCCTTGAAGATATGGAGAATTTGATATCCAAGTTTTGTAAGGTTAGGACCGAAAGTCGAGAGCAATTGCTCAAAAACTCATTTATTGTCTATAAAGGAGATGTTAGACGGTTATTTTAAAACGCTCTCCAAACTTTAACTTTTAAACCCTCCTCCACCCAAACTGGCTTCAGCGTTAGAGCGGGATTAAGCATCTTCGGGCTTCTATCCACCGTCTCAAAGACAAATTTGATGAGCAATTCCGCTAAAATGGCCTTCATCTCCAGATACGCGAACAATCTGCCAACACAACCCCTTGGCCCACCACTGGAAGCGGTAATTGCCTATGGACTAGCAGCATCTGCGCTTAAGCTGTACTATCGATCTGTATCAAACTCATCAACATCCTCGCCCAATATCGACGGATTCCTCTACACCATGGCAGGAACCATCGTCAGTGTAGTACCCTTGGGTATGTGCACAGCGCCAATCACCAGATCTTACACCGCCTCTCGAGGCAATGTCAGATCCAGCGAATAGAGAAGTATTGATTCTTGCAGAACATCGTTGAGAATGTAAGATTACATACTGTCGATCGTGGTATAATCTATTTCCCCTTTGCCATTTGTCACGTGCTGCGCACAGGCGGCGCACATATAGCTTCTTCACCGCCCTTAGGGCACCATCATTCATTTACAAACATACCAATATACACCCATTTCCACCCCCACAGCTTGTCCAGGCCGTGACACCATTCTTCGTGGCGCTGAGGATGTCCTCCAGGAACCGACCCAGCATCGATGGATTCATTGCAAGTGCATATCTTGTCCACGTCAACGGTCCTGTCGATGTTTCATGTCCAGAGATGATAAATTGAAGGATCTATCGCCATTAGCTTGGTACAAAAAGCCACTTTGAGTTAGTGAACCCACATCTTCGATAATCTGCTCGTGGCTGAGAGCCTCCTCCGGTGAAGTCAGATTTGCTTCAATCATATAAGTGACAAGATACCTGCTTTGATATTCTTCTCCACTCCGATGTAGAGCAAAATGTGCTTCCACTTCTGAGAATCTCTTCTGCACGAGTTCTCTCACTGTGATTGTGACGGCGGGGTCAAGGCAATGGGCAAGGCTCAAAGATCCGAGGATTCCATGTACTGAGAATACTAAGCTAAAGAGAAGAAGGAGAGAGGGGGGGAAGGAGAGAGAGGGGGAAGGAGAGAGAGGGGGAAGGAGAGAGAGGGGGAAGGAGAGGGAAGGAGAGGGGTTAGAAGGAGGGAGATACTAGCTAAAACCACTGAAACGCTGGCTAGCCAGGTAAACCAGTCATGTGACAGCCACCCCCTTATGACCCTAGCCAGCGCCGTCACAGTGATCCAGAGGGCTGCTTTTGCGCGGAGGAAGCTCCTGTCTGTAGGAAGGGGAAACTATGGTAGAGGTACGAAAGTATTAACGAATATGATTAGAAATTCAAGAATGCTCTGCTCCAGAATATTATAATAGCAGTCTTCTAAATTTAGAGAAGACCATTGTGGGAAAAGAGTAGAGTAGAGTAGAGTAGTGGATTCTACTTGTGACGGCTGGTGTCACATGGTTGGTTTCAGCCAAAGGGGTTGGTTTCAGCTAAGGTTCCAAGCTATGGTTCAAACCAAGCTCGCTTCCAAAGCTCGGCGTTTCAGTGGTCTTGGCCATACCTACTTATCCACTGCCACACCTCACTTCTCTCCTTCTCTCCTTAGCTTTAGATTCTGTAGGACATTGGAATCATAGATCTTTGCGCATCGTTCTATTGCTTTGTTCCTGCCGTCACAGTACTTCCCTTCTTTTATTCCCTTTCCTTCTCTCTCTCTCCTTCTTCTCTTTAGCTTAGTATTCTCAATCATGGGATTTTCCTGGATCTTTGAGCCCTGGCCATTGCCTCGATCCCGCCGTCACAGGTGTACTTTATGTGGGTTTTTGCCTTGTCGCAGTTTCCCTCCCACATTATACTTAATTATAATTAATACTAATTAATACTAATTAATTAGATTTGATTATTTTTTAATATACTGCATTAGTATAGTTCGTTACGACTTTTTATCGGATTGGAAAGTATAGACTTATCTAGTTTAACAATCTGCAATCGTCTATTACAAGTAACTCTTGCATAGCAACTGCAGGCTACCTAGTCATGTGTGTATGGCTCACGTGACCACACACCCTATATTTAGCTCTGGCCATCCGTACCACACCTCTCTTCCTTCCATATCTGAATATATTACAATACAACCGCATTTAATGCAACAGTAACTCTGGCAAGATGCAGACCGGGGTAATAGCTACCAATGCATAGCAGACAATTCGCGATGAAATTTTGAAATTTTGAATTGCAAGTAGTCTTGTAGAAATCCTACTCCCTGCTTAGTTTTGCATTCAGACCTAGACTCAAGACATGGTTCAGACAAAGCTTGGAGGAAATTCATGATCGAAGCCTCCGGTTGGGCTCTCAATTTAGTATGTAATCCTCCGGAATCAAATCCATAATCGTTTCGCAACCCCGCTGCGACGACTGAGTAGGAACCGCCCTATCCCAAAGACCAGTGTTCGAAATATTAGTACCCGCTTGAAATCTCTGGCTTAGAATGATCGCTGGGCTAACCAGCCTCGCCGAATTAGCATCTCCGCGGACCAGAAACAGAGAGCAGCCCCCAGAAACGTGTAACAGTTTATCGCCGGCCTCGACATTATTGGTACATACTCCTACGTAGTAATACGACTCCCCTGTTTCGACTCGCACCAGACTCAGTCTGTTTTTAGCTAAATAATTACACAACCAGATATGAGTGTGTATAAAATTGAATGTTTTCCACCTAAAGAAAACAAGGGGAAAGACTGCGGGCGGCCAAGATGGACGCCGTGGCAGGAATATACGCAGATTCAAGCGTTCCGAGCGGAATCGGAGATAACGAAGGATGTACGATGGAGTATGTCTGCGCCGTTTATAGATGAATCTGGCCCACTCCCTAAGGCAATCTCCTTGAATACGAAAATCTCCGGTGTTCCAGAGTGCTTGCTGAAGAAAGGTATGGACCGACCGTGACGAATTGAATGTGCCAATGAAGTCAACCAGAGCCTCGACGTTTCTGAGGTGAATGGTGCTTTCACTCGTAGTATAGAACTCTTTTGTACTCTGGAACTTGTAGCAAGAGCGCACAATGCCGAGTTGACGTGCCTGGACAATGAGTTTGTTGCTATTCTCAGCATCCCATCTCCACACACTGTCACTTCGCGACTGAGAATCAAGCTGGGAGTCTCGCCATGCTTTGGGTTGGCTTAGGGACCAATTCGGTACCCATGACGGTTGGCCAGGGTAGCTGTTGATGGCTGCTGGAACTAGTAAATGTAGCAAGCCGGTCGCTTTGATAAGATATACAGTTAGATCCTTATAGATTTGTCCTGTCGATAGGTTGTAATCTGGACGAGGAATGATACATTTCATACGGTATTGCAAGACATTGTGAAGGCCGAATGCCTTATCTTTGTCGTTGGTAGCCTTTCGGTCAAGAATGACATCAACCAATTCTTCTGGAACTGAAGCTTGCGGAGGCAAACGTAAGTCGGGGGGGAGTTTGTAAAGCAACACTGGCACCAAGGGGCCGCAGAACAGAGACACAATTTCGTGTAACTCCCGTAAATGCTTCCGAGTATTGACGTGTTTCAATGCAATGGAGCGAGCAAAAGACCTGTAATTTTCCAATTGAGGAAGCTTCCAGTCTCCGGTATTCCAGCTTGTGCTCTCGGAAGTGAAGCGAGCCTTGCTGTACGCAAGTGTTTTCCAGACATCTAGGATATCTTCAAACTCTTTGTCATAGTTTGTAAGAGGTGCGAATTGTTCCAGAAATATGATGCTGCAAACTAGCTGAACCCACTGGAGGTGGTGATGGCCACAAACTATAATAGGGTTGGAGGCCAGTATTAGCTCCTGGTACGTCCATATGCGTCGAATCCAGTCTCGATCGAAAAGGTTTCTTAAATCTTCAAAACTGGTGCGCACCTTTCGGTGTGCTTCCTTACGTCGGCGAAGCAGGAATTTGGGTTCTGATTCTATCAATTTGAACTTTTAGCCACAGTTTAGCCAGCCCAAACTGATATCATAGTATGAGATTAGACCGCTTACTAGTACTTGGCAAAAGCTCTCCAGAACCATCTCGGAAGCAAGGATTATATAAAGACCAGAGGGGGGCCCACTTTCTCGGTTTCGATGCACTACCTTCCGCTGCGGCTTTGATAGGAAAGTATTCCAACAAACCAGTCCTAGCTAGAAAGTCCATAGCCCTATCGGATTTCTCGCTGCCTTCGCCGAGCCACATGTACGCGTTTTCGGCGCGAGAGAAGATGTCTCCCATCAACGGTATCTGCTGTACTTTCTCAAGTTCATCCTTCTGGTTGATGCAGATAGCATCAATCCAGATCGTAAACTTCCCGAGTTTCCCGCGCAAGTGTTGTAATGCAGTATGACCATTCTCAGTTAAGTTAAGAACCGAAGCTCCGCAACTGATTGTTTGAAACTTTGGGTTTTCTCCCCACACGTACGATAGGGCGGAGAATGAGGTCTGCTCTTCCAGATCCACAATACGAAGATTGCCAATAATTGGCCAAACCCCTTCTGTTGCTGGTGCAGCCTCAACATCTAGTACGCGGATACACTTCGAGTTTGGTGGAAGAGGTAATGATTCATAGAGATATGGTATTTTTCCATCACTCTCCCTCGATATCGCGCTGTTCTGGACTGCTGTACTATCACCCTCCATTGAAAACTTCTTCTGAACTGCCATAAAACCCGCTGCGGAATTTAGTGGGTAATAACGCGTGATGTATGGTTGTGATGCTGTCCCGAAAATTTCTGCACTCGGCCTCATCTGTTGCAAAGTCTTGGACAGTTGTTGGGATATCAACGCATGGCACCGAGGGTGAAGATGTAAGGGAAAGTGGCGAGGCCAGAAGGTTTGTTGGGCAAGCGAAATGATCAGGTCGAGATCTCAGTGTGAGGCTGTGCTAAAGGTAGCACCCTACTTTCCACTGCGATATGCATCAGTAAACAAAGCGCGACGGAAGGCAGGAAATAATTCCAAGCACAAATGTGTTTCATTGTGAATGGTCCTGTTTTGAGGGCTTAATCAGGATGGCGAAGGAAGGCTCCGCCACCGCCTCTACGAAGGCACAGCCCATAAGTATTCACATAGCGCTAGCAGGGGTCTGATTTTCAAACCCTTACAACGCAACTACAAAATGGTATAAAAAATAGATGAATAAGATAGAATAATAGCATACGTATATGAAATAAGAATCGAGTTTACTAAGCTTTTTTATATTTCGTTTTAAAAAAGTTATAAGAATTTAAATTTTTTATAAACCTTTATTAATTCAATTATTATATAAAAACTTTTAAGTTATACTTTTATAAAAAGCTATTTTAGAGTACTTAAATAATAAGAATAAAAATATATTCTTTATAATTTTATGCCTTTTATAACTATTACTTATAAAGCTTTCTTAATTAGTTTTTTTTAATAAATTATATATATTATTAAAATAAAATATAATAATAAAGTTCGAAATCGGCTTTAGTTATTATAATTTTTTTGTTTTAATTTAGTTATTTAACTAGCTTATATATATATTACTTCTTATTACTTCTAATTATTATTAATTATTTAATAAATATATATAATTATATTATATTATTAAAGAAATAAATATAAAAATATATAAGAAATTTAAGATATTATTATAATTATATACTTTATAGCTATTATATACTCTCTATATATAAAATATAAGGCTATATTAGACTAGGCCAATTCGTATATTTATTTAATATTTATATATACTTCTTTTCTTATTTTAGTATTATTAGAATAAGAGCTATTTTATTTTACTTTTTAAGCCTAGAGCCAGGCTTTATAATAAATATTAAGCTTTATATAAGCTAATATATTATAAAATATATATTTATAATAATTTTAATTTTAATTTTTTTAATTTTATAAAGAATTTTAAATAAACTAATTTAAAACTTTAAAACTTAAAATAAAAGAGCTTTATTTATAATAATACTTTAAAAGTCAAATCTTTAAAAAAAAAAATATTATTAAAGTATTAAAATTGAAACTTAAAACGCAAAATATTAAAAATTAAAGAATTTTTCTTTAAAAGCTTTTTTTTAATTAAAATTTAAAATACTAAATACTTATAAGCTAATAACTTAATTATTAAATAATCTAATATATACTTTACTAATATAATACTTCCTTAATTTATAATTACTTCTAATTAATTTCCTATTATATATTATATTTCTATTTATTTCTATTTAATATTATAAGCTATATATATCTTATATATAACTTAAAAAATATTAACTTTTAAATAAATTTTTATTAAATTATTTTATTTTATTTAATTCAAATACATTATTAATAATTTTTAAAAAGTTTTAGAAATAAATTATTAAAAGTAAAAGCTTTTCTTTTTATTAAAAAGATTATAAACTTTAAAAACTTTTTAATAGCCTTAATATAAGAATATAAGCTAATAACTTTAATAGCTTCTTGTGACGGCACTGGCTGGGGGCCAAAGGGGGGTGGCTATCACATGACTGGTTTCACCTAGCTAGCCGGCGTTTCAGTGGTTTTAGCTAGTATTTCCCTCCTTTTATCCCCTTTCCTTCTCTCTCTCCTTCTTCTCCTTAGCTTAGTATTTTCAATACATGAGATTCTTGGATCTTTGAGCCCTGGCCATTGCCTCGATCCCGCCGTCACAGCTAGAACTTATTAGCCTTACTAATACCGAATCTCGATTATAAGAAAAAAGTATATTAAATTAGTAATATATTATCTTAGCTAGCTTACTCGTTCTTCTAGTACTAGATTTAATTACTAATTTAGTACTCTTTACTTTTATTTATAATATTTTATTTGCAAAGCTTATTAAGTTTATTAATATATTATTATTTTAATTATTTGCTTTATTAGCTAATTTATAATATATTAGAGAAAGCAGGCTTGGCATTATTAATACTGCCGATGGATAATAGGAATAAAGACCCTTACTTTAGGCACTTTCTCCTCTATTTTCAGATTTCACTCTGCTGTATCTACTAGGTAGTCATTCTATGCACTGTCAACTCTCAATATATCGCTTTTGTACCAATATTTTGATCCCATTTCAATGGGTTCCCTTGCCAGTCACGATGTCGACTGTTAATCCCGGGCTTAGGGCAGGCGCAACGCAGAACAAACAACTGGATCTCGCAAGGTGATCTCAAATCCAAGGTCTTTTATTTATGCTTTGGGTATCCGGTAAAGTATTAGACTGGCTTGCAAGACGAGGGTCATTTCAGTGCTCTCACATCTGAAGGGAAATCTTGCTATTCCAATGCTAAATCTAATACTTGGAGAATCCATCTAGATTCAAACACCCAATGTCAATGGTCATGCAATAGGCTGACCCAATAGAGTGAGGTACTGTGTGACTACACTCTTCACCTGCTCCTCATACGACAAGAACTTTACCCCAAACACCCTCTCCGTCCGACTCGCATCAACCTTTGTCCTCTTCGTCGGAGTCGACCCCGTGTTCGGCAAGATCCCATTCTTAACCGCCTCAGGAAAGTTGCGATTCACAATCTCGATAGCATCACTCCAGACCGTCCCTTTCGCGCCTTCCGAAACGGCAAGGAAGCTCTGATTCCCTTCGATCTTGGGCTCAAGTGCTTTGACGTGGAGATTAGCGACGTCCCACACGTGCACCGAAGTGCTGGGGATCGCACCCCAGCCAGAATCTTCGCCGAGGACTTGTGCAAATGCTGCGCGGACGGTGGCATCGGCGATGAGCTTTGGGTCCGTAACGAGCTCGTTCTCGCCGACTACGAAGGCGGGCATGATGTGAATAATATCAAACAGTGGCTTCTTCTCCTTCACGAAATCCTTTGCGGCAGCGAGAGCGCGCTTCTTGCCAGCCGCGTAGGCTTCGAATGGGTGGTGGTAGGGTGGAGCTGGGTATTCGGCTTCGTAGGTATCTGGAAAAGCCGAGTAAGTCAGCCGGTGTCAATTGAAGCTGCGTCTTGGAAGGGTTCGAAAACAAGGAGGTATCACTTACCATCGAATACCGTATCAACCTCTTTCTGGCTAAACTCCTCCCATGGGATAATCCCAACCTCTGAAGAAGTAATGACAACCCGCTTCACCGATGTTGTGTTGAATGCAGAGTCGAGGATCCCAAGGGTTCCCTTCAAAGCTGGCTGGATGAAATGGGCGTCGTAGTCGCTCTCGGAATCGTCGCCATGAATGGTCCCTGATGCAATATGCATGATGTATTTAGCACCTTTCACTGCATCGTCGTAGGCGCCATCGGCTAGCATATCGGGGACGGTGATGAAGGTGAGTCGTGGGCCTGGGTTGATTGCCTTCACGGTGGGAGTTGCGAGGATCAAGTCTGCTTTAGCTTGGCTGCGGACTGCGGCGCGGACGGAATATCCAGCTTCGAGGGCGAGGTGAATGGTTTTGATACCAATGAGGCCGCTGCCGCCTGTGATGAGTACGAGGCCGCCAGACATTATAGCGATGTTTGAGGGAGCTGGAAGTCTGGTTAAGGTATGGATGTTTGCCGTATCGAGTTTAAATATCAGAATTCTGGGTTCGAATTTTCTTTCTTGTTCTGGTAAAGGAAATGCTCAGGAGGACGTTCTTGATGCTGTATCCAACACTTCTGTGTCTTCGTAGCATCCTTTTATATCCCTTTCCTTCTGTCCCTCCAACCCAAAGCGCCGTCACAGCACAACCGCAGTCCGCCACATCTTCTTGCTCTGTAATCCTATTCTCTTAACATTCTCCCAAACATCCTAAGTCATCCCTCTATCACCGACAAACGCATCACATCACAATACACTTTTCAACCGAATGCATCGGCGAAATCATTAACAACAGAAAAGTCTTGACCTCTCACCTCCGTATCTGTTCGCAGGCGCCGACCATTTTTTTCCTAATTGGGATACTGCAAACCTCCGTCGAGATGGCGTGGCTTAGAAATCTTGGTCGGTTTTGAGGGGACATGACGTTTCGTGGCTGATTCGTCAGCTGTGTTACACAAACTCTCTAGCCACCGTGATTTCGCCGATGAGATTATCGCCGAAAATCCTCATAAGTGGTGTTAATAAAGAGAGGCAGAAGAGGCAGGAGGGTCACTGGTGAAGCTCCTTTACCTGCTTTGGGCAATTTTGTCTCGATGATTCATCTCAGGCTGGGTTCGTGGTTCCGTTCACGACGGAAATTGTGGCATGATATCGCGCCACCTCTGCGATGTGAGACAGAAATGATCAAGTGAAACGAAATTTCTGTCAAGTGGAAGTCCAGAGACAAGTAGAGAAGAATGGATTAAGACCCTAAGCTATCTTGTTCTCAAAAAATCTGAGGACACGGAAAGATGAGCAGTAACGACAATCCATTAGGTGATGAAAGAAGTTGAGGTACAAGTGGAGCCTGTTGCACATTGCTTTATGGGTAAACGCCAGCTTCGGGCTCCTTTTCGAAGAAAGTTGATGGAAGTTCCCAACCAGGATTCAATCTCTCCATCGCCTGCTTTGAGTCTCTCACAACATCGTACCCGAAATTGAACTTGTAGAAATCCTCAGGCGTTTCTGTAAAGCATAACATCGTCAGTACAGCCTCTAAATTAATTCTGCTTCATCGTTTGAATCTTGGGATGGAGACACATTGCAGAGTGTGGCTTACTCGGCACAGTCTCAGCTGGAATGAACTTCGCCGCATCTTTATGGATCTTCTCTGCTTCATCCTGACCTGCATTGCTGAAGATCTGCATGACACTTGCTCTGTTCTTTCGCACTTCCTCGAAGAGCTGGAGGCGGGATTCAAGGTCTTCTGGGGTGCAGTTTGTGAGGGCGATCCCGAGAACCACGGAATCTTCAATGGCTTGCGCGCCTCCTTGGCCTTGATCTGTGATACAGTTGTGAGAAGGCTCATGACAAATTTGGTGGGAATCACTCACGAGGTAGCATTGGATGAGCTGCATCGCCTATGAGAACGAGTTTCCCCTTGTGCCAAGTTGAAATTGGGGCTCGGAAGAGGAGTGGCCATTGTTTTATGTCGTTTGCCTTCCTGATATTTGAGTTAATTATGGAAGTTAGTTGAATCTGAGCGGAATGACTGACTCCAACACGGCAAGTACTGCGGGATGGAAGTCAGAGTATCGGTGGAGCAGAACGGATTTGTCGACAGACGTTTGCCAATCTATTTTCGGGTAAGCTTCTGCAAACCCCTAATGTCTTCCTTCTGATGACCATACCTTCATGTACGACATTCTCATCACTATGAAAAATAGCCACAAAGTTATGTTCTTCGTTGCTTGAGTTCATTTCATCAGTACTAAATTTGGACATCAATAGATCACGAGACTTACTTTCGGCACGGATACGAAACCAACCTGTTGTCTTTCCCAATAAAGAATTTTATCGTACCATCGTCGTCTTCAGTAAACTGCACAGTTTCGGGATCGGATGCAATATCCTTTGAGGAAATCAGAAACCGGTACGCAAAGTTATAGTTTGTTGTTGGCAGAGCTGGATTAGCGGCTCCGAGGATGGCTTCAACCGCTTTGGTGTGGACGCCATCTGCGGCAATGATGAGATCACCTGATACTGTGGTGCCATCGGTGAGTGTTATACGACCAGCCTCTGGTTCCTGAAGAATATCAACCTCAGGGCTCAAGAAATTCCGACGACGGAGCTGGCTTTGAGTACACGTACGTATTCCGACACTTCGGACTTCAAGTGAACGACCGCTGGTTTCCCCTGGCCCTCGGTCTGAGTCGCGAGTATTTTGAGCTCCTCGTGTAGATCGACTCGATGCGCAAAAAACCATGGTGCACCAAAAGTTGATGGTACATAAGACTCATCACTAGTGTGGAACTTTTCCAGTGAAGCTGCGTGGGCTCTGTAGCTTTTCTTACAGGTCACAAACCTCGCTCTGACTGGGTCCAGGCCCCATGCAAGCAAACCACGAGAAGCGTTCGGACAGACGTGGATGGCTGCACCTAGCTCGTTGTTCAAGGCCGAGCGCTCGTAGATCTGCACATCATGCCCTGCGCGACGACAAGAAATCGCAGCTGAGAATCCCGCAATACCAGCCCCGACGATAATGACTTTCAGCCGAGAAACCACCGCAGACTCCATGATAGAAGTGTGGAGAGATTAGAAGGTGTTCTTTTTTTGTTTTTGGTTCCAGGATCAGGCTTCTTGAGGTGCAGCTTCGACTGTGAAGAGCGAGAAACTCATGGGACGGGTGAACTCTGGACTAGGGGTAATCTCGAAAGCGGCTTTCACAGCGTTCTAGATGCGCTCTTCTGATACCAGCCTGACGGATTGAGTTACGTGGATACAGTACGACGTGTTTCCGGGTCTTAGATGGGAGCAGTCTCGCTCATGAATTGATATCGGGTTGCATCAGGCAATGTGTCCGACCTGAATTGGTACGCTGTGCTGATGAGTACGAAGTAAAGCGGGCAAGCGACTGCAGCTAACCCCGGCTTCCGCTTTCAGGGGTCCCGGCGGGGTCCTGGCGAGAAGGGGACGGGACGTAGCGAGCGGGCGCCATGAACGCCCTGGGGCCTTTGCCGACACAAACGACGAGCCTTCCTTGGACGACATGCCGGCACTGCTGCACATATCACCCACCACCCCTACTTGCAACTGCAGCTCAACTGCAGCTCTGGCTTCAGAGCGGCTATGGGCTGGCCCCCAAGGGCCACAATCCTTTGCTTGTCTGTTCTCGAGGCAACATGCAGGTGCGCCCGACCGAAGACTGCGGTCCCGGCTGCATTGAAGTCCGTTCTCGACGGCATGTTCTTGACACTTGACTCGGATTGTGGAGAATCTTCCGTTGGACCAGGTTCCTCAAAGCTAGATAATCGTCGACGGACCAGGGAGGGGACAAGACGGGGCCAATATTCATTGCTGGGTACGGACTCCGGAGTGCCTCCGTAGCTCTGAATCAAGGGATTTCGCCAAGGACCGTTTCTCATCCAATAACTGCACCAACATCCCTGCTCCGGACATACCCCAGATAAGAAATTGAACCATATCTGCGGTCATGCCGTGGGGCTTACGAACTATTGGGAACGCCATCCTCGCTCATCCAGCTCTTCTTTGGTCGATCAATTTTGCCCAATCGGACGCCCTCGTAGCTTCAATACTTTATCCACCGAGGTGAACTTTGTCTCTCTCATTCTTTTCTTTCTCTGTACAGTAGTGAAGTCTCGAAAAATGTCGGAAAAGGAACAACCCCTTCAAGTGAGCAAGCCCTCTAAGAAAATGGATTCCCAGGACCATGAAAGGCGGTCAGAGGAAAACCCATCAGTGGAAAACTCGTCGGAGGAAAAACTTTCAGAAACCGTGAAAACCAGCATCGAATATAGCGAGGAACCGGTACCGCATCTCCATGCGAAGACTTACCTCACCATTTTTGCAGTTTGCCTCATCTACTTCGCCCAAGTCATCAATGTTGTTGGAGCTGGTGCTGTGAGTGCTATCCACTTGCTTTGGAAGAAGTTCAAAGTTAATTCAAACAGCGCGCTCAAGATATTTCAGCTGTCCTCGGTGACTCGTTCAAGAGCGTCTGGCTGACCTCCTCTGTTGCCATTCTGACCGCCGTTCTGAGCCCACCTGTTTCTCAGGCAGCTGACTATTGGGGCCGTCGATGGTTTTTGATTGGCTTGACAACCTGTGGGGTTATTGGGTCGATAATTGTTGCGCGAGCCACCTCCATGGATATGGCCATTGCTGGTGAGGTAGTAGCTGGTATATCCTTTGGCGCTCAACCACTTGTTCACGCCGTGGTATCCGAGGTTCTACCCAGAAGACATCGGGGCTTTGCTCAAGCGGCGCTTAACGTTGCTGCTTCTTTGGGGGGTATTGTAGGACTTCTGGCGGGAGGTGCCATGACTCGAAACGATAACCATGCTGGATTCCGTAATTATTGGTACCTTTCGACTGCGAGCTATGCATTGGCGACCATTCTTTGCGTCATCTTCTACAACCCGCCCCCTCAAGCCTCGCAGCTGGGACTAACACATATGGAGAAACTTCGCAAGCTGGATTGGATTGGATACTTCCTTCTGGCATCCGGTCTAGTACTGTTCTGCATCGGTCTCTCCTGGTCCCAAAACCCATACGCCTGGACGGATGCTCACATTCTGGCTCCGTTCTTGATCGGTGTCGCTCTCGTGTTTGGACTCGCTGTTTACGAGACGAAATTCAAGAAGGACGGCATGTTCCACCACGGCCTCTTCTTAAACGGCTGGAACTTCCCAATTGCGTTATTGTGCGTTTTCGTAGAAGGATTGACTTTCTTCGCAGCAAACAATTACTTTCCTTTCGAAGTCGCCGTATTGTACGAGACAGATCCCTTGATTACGGGCCTTCGATATAGCATCAGCTTCATCTGCTTCTCTATTTTCGCAGTTCTAGGCGGTGCCTTCTGCTCCAAGATGAAAATGGTTCGCTTCCCCACGGTCATCGCATTCTGTTTTATGATCATATTCTGCATCCTCATGGCAACAACAACGCCAGGTTCATCAAAAGCTGTTTGGGGCTACCCGGTGTTCCTCGGCATCGGTTTAGGAATATGTCTCTGTACTTTAGTTACAGTTGCTCAATTGAGTACCCCTAAAGAGCTGATCGCCACCACAAGCGGTCTTATGATCGGAGTGAGATCTCTCGGTGGTTCAGTCGGTCTGGCAATCTGTGAGTTCCTTTGATCCAACTTGGATTAACGCCAAGTTCTAACATTATCATTCAGACAACGCCATATTTACAGCAAAGTTCACAGCGAACTTGGGTCCCAAAATTGCAGGAGCTGTACTACCTCTCGGCCTTCCAGAATCTTCACTTCCAGCACTCATTGGCGATTTGGCTGCAAACAATCAAACAGCCATAGCGACAGTGTCTGGAATAACATCTCAAATTATTGGTGCTGGTGTTGGGGGTCTCTTTGATGCCTACAGCCTGGGATTTCGATTTGTCTGGGTCGCAGCAGGCTGCTTCATGGCGCTGGCCACAATTTGTAAGTTATCCCTTCCACCATGTGACTTAGTTCACTTCTATTGGAGTGACAAGGATTTTTCTGCATTATTCCCTGGCGTTTTTGGTACAGGACACTAACCTTGATACGCCTGCAGGTGCCGTCTTCCTGGTCGACCCGGTCAAGGAATTTAACATGCATATCGATGCACCAGCGGAGAAAGAGGAGGATATCTTCTCTTAGGCCTCTCGCTGCTTCTTCACTTGCCAAAAGTAGCCTGGAACATATGCACTTGTAATCTCGAATTTTCTATAGATCTTGGCGTTCAAAATTTTCACCAAGGAAATCTAAGATTGCTCTTCAAATTATTCGTGCCTGTGGTTGGACGACTCTCAATCTTCGAATTCTGCTATTCAAAAAAAATCAATTGCTCGGATTTTATCAGATGCTCTTCGGGACAACCTCTCTTGGTTAGATTTCCGTACCTGGAGTCCCCACCTTCCTCCCGAGTCGTGGGACCTCGTCCTGTCCCGTATCCCGGGGACTCAGTTAGCTCTCCTGGGACCAGGATTCTGTTACAGGGCCAAAAAATCTCACGAGTGACCATTCAAGTGAACGACAGACACATATCTTGTGTTGCCCCACTGCATGGAATTCTGAGGCGTACTCGTACTGAAGGCGGGTCCTTTTCAAGGACCCCAGGGGACCTCGGAGAACTGGAAGCGAAGAATAATGCATTGGTCCAGGGAGTCTGAAACTTTCGAAACTGGAGGCGGGAGAGGTCGTTTCACAGGATTGAACGCTAGACTGTCACCCCTCTCGGCAAAGTTGAGCCTTTTAGAAACATATTCATATCAAGTCTGATGGCACAAATCTGTGATTGGGCCATCTCTCTCTTCTAACACGGAAAAGCAACGTCTTTTCCGGCACTTCTTCACTTGCCGAACAATTACCATCCCAGAGTAAAAACGCCTCCTTCTCATTCACAGCCTGCCCAATAATTGACCTCCCTGGACGAATATGCCACCGCCACCAATTCCGTACCAGCTTCTCCAAGAGGCCTGGGCGCCCGACGCCTGCAAACGTAAGCCCAATCTGGCGGCTCAGAAACCGCCTTCTGTACTTGTCAAGCAAAAGAAAAGTTTGACGTACGAAGAGAGCTTGGCCCGGTGGCGCAGGACGAATAGGTCTTGGAGGTGGGGGGGGGGGGTGCTATTTCACGTCAAGACAATGCCAGAACGAACTACTTCTGGAAGGCAATGGCGTTGCCGTTGGCCGTTGAGCGCCTCATGTCTCCACAATGGGAAGTCTCTCAAGCCAAAATTGTGGGAATAGAGGTTTCTAAGCTAGTGGAAGTAAGCATAGTCACTGTGGCTTCAGTTTCGACACGTCATCGGAGTGGCATCGCTGTTAAAGAGATGTGCAATTCACGAATGCAGTTGATCCAAGAAAAATGCTACCCTTTTCGACAGGCAAGGAGAGCGTGCTAAACTCGGAGCGTGACCGGCATGTGAGAAGCTTGTTATCGTGCTGCTGAAAGAAGTGACTGCTCCGATTTCATCGACATGCCATGGAAATTGCCCTTCATTGGCGGTTCTCCTGACCTCGCTTGGGACCTCATGTCACTTGCTGCAGTATCTACAGTACCTGCACATCCAGAGTCAAGGAAACGATACCTTGATGATGTGCGTTAAGGAGGTTGTATCATGGATCTGTCTTCATAACTCGGCAATCACCCAGTGCAATTCTGTGCTCTGCTACGGGCTTTGCAAATCTTCATCCTTCTTTAATTAGAGCTTACATTCACTTCAGATGTCGTCCAAGTTACAGTCTTCTTTCATCATGGGGTTCACAATTCCGCGTCGAGATGTCCCTGTTGTGATTTGCAGCATCCTTTTCACCAGTATTGCATTCATTGTTGTCATTTGTAGGCTTTACACGCGAGTTATCATGCTCTAGAATGCTGGTCCAGATGATTATATCATGACAGCAGCTATGGTAAAGTCTTTTCTGACTTCCTTGAAACATCTTCTTGTCGAAACGCTAAGGAATCACTGTTGGGAAAGATCGGCTCTGATCTTTACTTGCGAGGGTCGACTAACTCAAAGTCCAGGCTGCTTCCATCGGATTCTGCGTTGTCATCTTCTACCGTGAGTGATAAACCTCTACCATTGATACTGATGCTAATCATACCTCAGAGATTAAAAGTGGACTTGGAATACCTTTTGAGACTATACCGGTACACCACATTCAACTGTTCTTCCAAGTATGTTACCTACCACAGATCAAGAACTAGAGCAGCACTGACTGTTCTTTCCTCCATAGGCTCTCTGGGCCACTATCCCCATGTACAATCTCTCCCTCGTGTTGACCAAGATCTCTATTATCTTCCAATACATGCGCATCTTCACTACAAAAAAGATCACCCAGCTGTGCCGCATCATGATAGGCGTTCTGATCGTCTATGGCTGCTGGACCATCCTCGGATCCGTATTCATGTGCATCCACGTGGACTCGTTCTGGAACACAAGCATCTCGGGCCATTGCATGAACAAACTCGCCTTCTGGTTCTCCAATGCTGCGCTGAATATCACTACTGATATCATGATCTTCGCTATCCCAATGCCTCTCTTGAGACAACTGCAGCTCCCGTAACGACAGAAGATTGGTCTTGTATTCGTTTTCGGCTTCGGTGCCTTGTGAATTATCCACCTCTACATAGTGCCAAATCTGTACTGACATTATGGAAAGTGTCTGCGTCACCAGCATCATTCGATAAAAAAGTTTGTATGAGATTTCCGTATCGACAGACACATCCTGTACGTTCAAAACCTTGCTCCTACTCTGCGTATGAACTAATAAAGCACACAGTGGACGCCGTCAACATCGCCATCTGGTCCGGGATCGAAATCAACGTCGCAATCGCCTGTGCCTCCCTCCCCTCCCTAAAACCCCTCATCTCGCGCCTAGTTCCCGGCATCCTCCCCAGCATCGGCAGCCGCAACAAATCAAACATGAACAACCTCTCCGGCAACGAACTCGGCAGCTACCACATGAACACTATGAATAACACTAACAAATCTAGGACCGGCGCCCAAGTCGAAGAAATCAAGGTCGAGCAGAGCATATATCAGCAGCGGGAAGTGAGAGCCAGTGTTGAAGGGAGTGAGAGGAGTTTAGTGAATTGGAAGGCGGACTGTTTTTCTGAGGAGCAGCAACGTAAGAAGCATGAGGTCGTCTAGTGGGCTCTCGTTGATCTGTCTAGCGCTGGCGTGAAAGGAATCGATGAATCCTGGTTGTCGGTGGGGTGAAACAATCTCAACGCCGTTTGGATGCGTGGCGTTATGTGTAATTCTGGTCGTGTAAAAAACGAATTCTGGTTTCATATTGATTTTCGGAGCGCTGTGGCGACACAGGCGAGAGTGAGAGTGAACGTGCCTTGCCGTTGCATAGAAAGTTTCTTGCCCAGTCAACCTTCGAGTGCACCCTGAACAGGCACCCCCTCCACCCTCCCAGCAACCACCGCACTCGGCATGGACCCAAAAACTACGTCTACGTACCCAACAGCCACGAAATCAGAACTACACTCTCCCATCGCATCCATTAACTTCCACCCTGATCTCTCAAACGCCAACCTCATATCCTCACTCGCCCCTACACACCTCAACTCGAAATCCTCACCTGCAAATACCTGGAGATCGATCTTCGTATCCGCCAAAGTTTGCAAACCAGTCATATCCGTGAAAGCTGAGCACTGTAACCCCAACCCTACTTTAAAACAACCTGTGGGGATGCTACCGGATTTTTGACATCGATAGAGTTTGTTCAAAAATACAACCCTCAGAGACGGTAGCTACGAGATTCTAGTCGAATATTCTGTGTTAACAGCATGTATCTGTTCTCGTAGAACGGTGATCGGTGGTATTGGGGAGCTGAGGAAGCACTGCATCTTGAACTGTCGTGGAAACTCCCAATTCTATTTGTAGGAAGACGGCATTACGATGGTGAGGACTGGAGGTGGAAATGGACTCCTGCTTTGCCTGGGAACATCTGCAAATGCCACCCTTGTGTAATATTAAAGCCGAGATAGTGGATGTAATACAAAATTGAAGATATCCAGTACTTGCACACAGGTGACAACCTCGGCGCTAAAACTGGAGAAGTGAAAGAGAAGGGGGGAGAATACGACTTTGATAAGCAAGGGCAATGACGCAAAGTAAATCTAGCACTGGGCCTTGCCCCAAAACGAAGATCATGCGCCACCACTGACTTACCTGGTTCCCGTTCTGCTTCTGAAGCGTACAGGCCAGGAGAGAACTTTAGGAAGGAAGCAAGTAAAGAAGAAAGCAGATAGGATTCTTTTAGCAAAGCTGCCCGTCTATAATACACCCACCTCCGACCCACCAATTGAATTGTTGAAGATCGATCCACACTCAGCTCGCTGATTTCGAATTCATGTCGCCAACATAGCAAGTCACCTCCCAATATTCACCACCTAAGCTAGAACCCACCAACTCAGCTCCTCATTCTCAGTTGCCATTTGTCGATTATTTGCGGCTTCTCAACCCTTTGTTCTCGATTCTCTGCAAACAATCACCCCTCAGTCCCACTGCTCCTAAATGCCGCGCACAGCGCTGCATAATGGTGCGTCAACTCCAGTACATTCTGCGGCAGGCTCGTCGCCTGAATGATACTCCTAACCTTCAGGGCGCCTTCATCCTCAATCAGCGTGCGGATCGTATACAGCAGCTCGGGGCTGAACTCCGAGTACCACCTATACTGCCACGTCACGAGACGAATGACGCTCGCGACCGTCTCTCGCGTCTGCTTCTCCCTCTCGAATTCCGCGAGAATGCCCGTCAGGGCTTTTGGTGAGAAGCGGATGGATAGGCAGGCGCGATAGGCTTCGACGGCTTCGGCTTGGTGGTGCAGGCGGTCGGCAAGGGAGCCGAGGATCTCCCATTCTTCTGCGGACTTTTTGTATTGCATTTGTTGGGCGCGGTACTGGGCCATCTCCGTGCGCCATATGGTGTAAATGCGGAGGTCTTCATAGAGGACCATGAAGAGGCTGTCGAGCCAGCGTTCGCAAAGGCGTTTGTTGTTGAAGCGGGAGAGTTGCTCTTCGGTTGCCTCGGACTTTTTCATGTTAGCTTTACCCACTAGGAAATCGAAGTTGCTCACGTCTTCATTTCCACTCTTCGCTTCCTCTGGTGTGACTGTATGCGAAGGTTTCTCAACTGCTTGGTCAGCTGTCGAGCCCTTAACACCGTTCTCAGCAACTAGTGTGGCAGCAGTCGAGTCTCCATTTGTGCTCTTCTCGTCATCTGTGTGCTCGTCGCCGTTGATGGGAGGACCTGGACTTCCTCTCAGTACATCGGTGCTTGCGCTACGCTTGGTTGAGTCACCTTGTTGGCCGGCGGGTGGCTGCTTCTCGCTGCGGTATTCTTCCTCCATCACAAACACGTTACTTCGGATCTTCAGCAGCTGATCCCAACCAATCTTCGCTGTCATCTCTGTCAAAATACTGTAAGCATGTTTGAATGTCCCTTTGTACTGAGCAGCCCGTAAGCTCAGCAAGCTCGGGTGGACTTGCTCGGAGTATTTCGACTCTGGTTCGCTGTCGATTTCGTCTAACCGAGTCTCTGGTAGAGTTGGCAGGTAAATTTCCTTGGGGTCTGGCATGATTGGAGCATCTTTGTCCTGGTATGTAAACATCGGACAGGAGTTCAAGGTTGTCAACGCATTCTCCCAGTCCTCCATAGCAACATATACCTCTGCAAGTCTCGCCCATGTGCCAAATTCGCTTGGAGCAGCAACTGTGCTCCGGTCTGCGCAACCAAGAGCCATTCGTAATCTCTCCTGCTTAAGCTCTTCCTGATTGGGGTTCAACGCCTTCTTCATCAAGAACTCTGCTTGTGTATCCAGCATTACGTAGTCCATTGGCGATTGCTTGACAGATTCGTGCAGAACTCGGACTGCTTGGACCTCCTCGTTGCCCATGAATAAGACCTTTGCCAGCAGTGAGGAGACTTCAACATTTTTCGTCCGCAGCTTCTCGAATAGGTTTATGCCAGAAGCGAATCGCCCAGTGGTATGGAAATATTTGAGGAGACCGGTTGTGAGGTGGTTCGAGACGTTGTTGGGCACTTGCACAACGGAGTCAGATCCCAATTGCCAACCTGTAGATGTCAGCCTAGCCCTCTCTTCTGCGAAGGTCATTATTACCTCTGAAAAACAGTTGCTCCGCGGCTTGTAGAAATCTGTGTTCTGTCTCCGTATTTGTGACTGGATTGAATCTTCGAACACCCATTATCTTCCTGATTGTGTCTCCACTTCCATCATCCGCATACGAGTATGCTCGAAGCACACTGCAAAGATACGTTTCCAACCATAACTCATCGGATGCAACTCTCTTCTCCCCTCTCTCATCTATGCAGTAGCTGTCGACGCTTCCAGGAATTGTAACGTGTACGCGCATATCGAGTCTGGAGAAGGCATTGTAGCAGCTGGTACTAATTAGCGCGCAGTAAAACCTCTCGTACCCTGTGACATACCAGTACACGCCCTCGACGATTTTCGAGCTTGATTGGTGGTTTTCTTTGTAGGTAAGGGTATTGATGTATGCTGCCAAGCTTGCAGAAGATGAAGCATCGACTCCTGTGACATGGTGATAGACTCCAATCTGCAGACAATTTAGCCCTTCTCCAAGCACCCGATCTTAATCTGCCACGTACCTGCTTCCCTGGATTCCTTGGAGCTTGCTTGATCAGCTGGACCAGATCTGGGGGACCTAATTCTCGTAGCGCAGCCAAGACCTCTGTTCGAGCATCGATAGATTCGTGAAGGATCTCCTCCGTGAGTCTGAGAAAGAAATGTCAGCATATTATTCTCTCCTCAATTACCTGCTGGCTGCAAGTGCTTCACATACTCAGGCACAGCTGGCGCAACCATCTTATCGTCTTTGTTGAGACCGGTGTCTCAGAAACGCTGAAAGCTGATCTGTCGGCAGAAACTGCAGGCGCAGCTGTAGCATGCGATAAAGAGCCGTATGAAGCAGACAGCAGGTAGATGCTGGGTCGACGTTGTGGATTTTGCTGGGTTGTTTTGTCAGATCCAGCAACTTTGAATTTCGAAGGAGGTGTCAAGTCAAAGTGGCACGGACCACTTTCAGCCTTGCCGCTTAGACTTTGTCACCTCAACACCATCACCGTCACCGCTTGATCTTTGACATGTAATTTCGCCTTGGAGAACAATGATTTTCAATTATGATCTTTGCGACACCTAGTTGCAAATTTATTCCCTAGGTACAGAAACCTATATGTTTTTGTGGATGGCATTATACAGCCTATGATTTCCACCTCTAGCAACTCGTGCGTAACTTCAGGTATGTGGTGAGGTCTTCAGATTTTGAAGCAAAAGAGAAAATTGCTGTCAATTAGCTCGTATCCTGAACCCACCAACTGGAAGCCTACTTATGGTAGGTTGAGAAAGGAAAAATAAGTTGGAGAATGGTGGTTTGTGGCATGATGTTGTATGCTTGCGTACTTTAGTGCTGGACAGAGGAATAAATTTACAATATTCCCATAGCATAGAAGGAGAGAAAAGTATATCGCCATTTCGTAATGTACTCCTAGCCAATGAAGTAGTAATTGGGCAATGTCCCCTTGTAACATTGGCGAGCTTGAGATGTTGGATGTGGTGAATTGAAAGATGTGGGGTGTCTCGATAAGTGAAGCTCGTCGTACTAGCTGATTAAGCGAGCTTTGAGCCAATCAAGCCAAAATCTGACTGCTGAGACATCATAAATCCACGAGCAGAATCGTATCTCGCACCTCATGACACACCGCCTGCCCCGCCAACAACAAAGGTATTCTGCCATGAACCAAGCACCATCTGGAGCTCCAGCAACGAACGTAGAGAGCGGACTTGACAACTGGGTCGAAGCAGCCCTCTCGACCGCGAATCCTGCCACCTCTGCACCCTGCTCGAGTATTCCTATCTGCTCGACTGCGACGTCTGCCACCTTTGCTGCAGGGTTCTCGAATAATTCAACCTCCTCAATCGCAAACCACACAACATTTGCAAGCTCTGCGAATAACCCAGCCTTCTTTGTCACGGATCCTTCCACTCGCATACGAGTAGGCTTCGAAAGTGACTCGGCCTTCCGCGACCCCCCTCCACCCTCCCCGAGAAGACCGTTCGAGGATTATACACCATTTGAAGCCTCTCCGAGAAGTTCAATCCACGCGGACCGTTATTCCTTTGAAGACCACTCAACCAATCCAGCCTACTCAACTGTAGTTGTTGATGATACCATAAGCTGCTACATCCCTCGGCCTGTACCTGGAGCCAGTGTCACTGCGGCGAATCAGACATCAAGGTATCAGCAGTTCATCAACTTCATACCCGATGGGTGTTTAGAGTGCACCTATCGTGTACACGACCTTCGCCACTGCGAGAAAGCCTGGGCTCCCCTACGCGACTTCGAAACTGTCGAACCGTTGATTTGTCTGAACTGTGGGTGGCTCGGTCACAGCGTCTTCGGTTGTCCGTGTCCTCTTGCAGGAGCAATTATTCTTTGGCATTACTCTCCTCCCCAGCTCGGCCAGGAAAGGTATCCCCCCAAGATCGGCGTTGTGGAATTAGCAAAAGACATCAAGCCAGGGTGTTACGATATCCCTTTCGCGCTGTGGAGGCAATTGGCCCAGACCCAAGTTCGTCCGAACTTGTTGTGAAACGGTAAACTTCAGTGTGGTCACCACGAAGACCGCCGCTCGAAGTCCGCATGCTAACACGACGTTTACCACCTTACAACTGTCTCTACGCAATTTCCCCGACATTCACATCACTTATGGTATGTTTGGGACTCCTGCATCTTACTGCTATCACGGACTGACATGAATGTGTAGTCATAATTCTACAAATCCCTTATCAACTTTTCCCACCACTATGGTGCGGGCTCATTAAACCAAATGTTAGATTGGAGCTAATCGATATGGCAGGCGAGCTTCACAGCTCTTAATATTGAACCCGATGACCAAACCGATGACGAGGTCGATAATACCAAAGAGATACAGGTTCGTCGCTGGATTCGAAGTCTCCACACCAAGCTAATTACCTTTGCAGATAGAGGACGCTCTTAAATTATACCAAGCCGCACTCAAACTCCATTCGCAAGGCCCGAACCTGTACCCCCAAGCCGCTGAAGCATACACAAATCTTTTCCGATCCGAGATTTTCAAATACCCTGAAAGCGAAACGGAATTCCTGCGGATTGAAAAGAATCCCGAACTCGAATACACTGAAGCCGTACTTGGTATTGAGCTGGCCGCTGCCGGTGCAGATGGAGCACCAAGCACATTGCCTCAAATTCTATACCTTTCATACAAGAATCACGGCCAGTTCATACTGGACTGTGTCAAAAGCCGTCTAAAACATGAGCCTCTTCCCAAGCCGCAGCTGGACTATCAAGCCAAGGCTGCCATCGACAATTTTGCACTAGCACTCGCAAGCGATGAATCAGACGCCGATTTATGGAGACGAGCCGCTCGGATAGGTGCTATGCTCGGAAGTAGACGAATCGCGAGATATTGTCTCGAAGCGGCGGTCGAAGTTGATGACGACCCTACTGTGGCAGAGGTGGAGCCTCCTTCACTTGAGGAGGGGTTCGCCGGCGAGCAATTGAAAGAGCAGCTAGAAGTTCTCTCAGACGAAACTGCGCTATCACATCCGGTCATGACACCGTATTTGAAGAGAATCATGCCCAAATCTCTGACAAAACACATGGACCCTTACCCCTTTCTTCCGAATACGATCAAATCTTTGGGAACAGACACACCGGGCAGCGAAGGACCTGAGATCACAGAAAGCCGCATCATCATGATAGTAGAGGACAGGACGTGGACGGCGATTGGTGATAAGCTATGTGAGAGTTACATTTCACCTAATGGCCTTTCAGGAACCGGTATTGTCATTCGCCTGCCAGCGGAGATCACCCAATCCACAGAAAATGATGTGGTTCAACAACCTGGGGTCGAAGACCAGATTATGAAGGATGCCGGTACCATGGAATCGCCAGTTGCCGAAAGCAGCGAAGCCGCAATTGCGACGCCGGTTACCACAAGATCTGACGATCAACCAGTCGAAATTGTAACAACGACTATCACAGTACCGCTTGCTGACGAGAAACGCCAGTCAAGCGTTGGTTTGCCAACACGAAAGCGATCCCAATCAGCTGCAGGCATTCGGTCCACCCCAGAAGAAGACAACGGCACGCAGAAGCGAAGCAAGCGTATTAGAAACCGCGACAACACAGGAGATGGCTCTATCGATCCTGCATCTCAGCTTGCAGGGCAACTTGAAGGCTTTGTCAGTGCAGACAAGAAAGTGTTTCACTTTGTTGACGGGCTTCTCAAGAAACTTGGTGTCGAGGACTTAGGCAACTTGGAGAACCTGCAAATAGCTATGTCACAGACACAGCCCATTGAACGAGCTGAAATTGTGGCAAACACGGCCGTCAGAGATCTGCGTGATATTCTGAGAACCTGGGACGATGCTAAAGCTTCAACATTCGTCAATGGCAATGCGGCTGATATTCTTGGCTCCTCCACTGGCAGTGCGAATGCTGGACTGGCAGCCTTTCTCGAGCATTCAAAGACTGGTCCGTTGAAATTGAGCAGTATACCTCTGTTCTCTGATTCCGATGGCCTTTCTGCATTCGCTGTCAAGGTTGAAGCTGAGTGGATGCCGCTGCAAGATGTTATATATGAGTGGATGTGTGCTATCCTTACTACGTACCGCCAGCACCTGTGGCCGGAATCTTTGAAAGTTGCTGTGGTTCGCATCATCAGTTTCGTCGATACTGATATATTTAGTCGACTCCAGCTAGAAATCTCGCGTACCCGTACGGATGGCGGCGACATGGAACAATTGGAAGAGATGGCCCAAACACTCTTCGAACTCCATATCGACATTTATTCTCGAATCACAAATCCCAACAGTGCAGTCTCCTACGAAACACGGACCATTACCAAGGACCGATTGGACCGATGGGCAGACTTCACTGCGGATGTCATCCAGTCTCGCAAATGCGCTTCCAACGATGAGCTTTCTCTGCGATACCTCTGGGCTTCGGTCTTCTACGCTACAATGGCCGATAACGTCTCTCGTGAGCACAAAGTACTCTGCTGGTCCGACCTCCAAGCCTTGCTCCGTGAATCTGGCTGGCCCGCGATCGAGCTGCAAAATAATGCAGTCATGCCTGAAATTTCTATTGAAGCCGCAGAGCGAGAAGTATCGAGACTCACCACGATGGACTTTTTCTTCAACTTGTTCCAAACCGATCGATCAGATCCATTGGCGATCATCGAGACCTTGGAACCAGTTCTCGATCCACAGTCTGCTTGTCAACCAGTTGAAGGCGAAGGCACTGATCCTCCAGCAAGCACTGATCCGGCGGACAACACTCCACCTGCTTTGCGTGACATGTGGAAGTTCTTAAAGACGGGCAGTACATCCCTGCGCTTGTTCCTCTGGCAAAGACTTCGTGAGGCTTACTTCAGCATCGGATACAATACCAAAGTATTTTCGTGCCATCTAAAGAGCATCGAGATCATCGTCGGCGATCTGCGAACTGAAGATTATGTAGACAGCGCTGATGAACCACGTCGGCACAAGCTGTTGATGTGGTTGAAGGCATTGGATGATCTGTTGGTCAAATCGCTTACAATCGCCCTAAATGATGCTGCAACATGTTTCGAGATCATCGATGATCGTCACATCAAATCGACATGTGCTGCCATTGCCCAATTGAACCGAGTCCTTCACTCCGCAGCAATTTTCGACGATGAAATTAGAGTTGGCATGACCCAATTACCACAAACTCCCGCTTATGCTCATCACGGATCATTCAATGGGTTCATCAACAAGCTCCGCGAAATGCAAGTTCGGACATGGGCACTACAATATACGATGGCGAAGGAGGCGATGACCCAAAATCGAGAACTCTTCCCAACACCGGACAACGACTTGGCCGATTTCTTGGCACTCGTCCATTATTCTCTTGGTATGCGAAAGTGCTGCAAGGCGTCAAACAAGATATTCCTCAAGATGATGAAGGTTGAGATGATCCGTTTGAAGCACGTAGAACATTGGGAAGACTACCTAGGCCAAGTTCTGTACGATCTCTATGGAATTCGACTCGGAGTTGGAGCATATCTACTCGAGGAACATGGATGTCCAACGGAGACACTTGATAGGCGCACTGTCTTGAATATTGCAGAACAAGTTATCCAGCTGGCGTTTCGTATGCCGATGAAAGACTTACTGAAGCACGAATTACGGCCAACAATTGAGAGAATGCAGACCGCCGTTGGCCCAAACAAGTCTACTCCACAAATGCTACACAATCTCCGCAACTATACGGAGTATCTCAAGACTTCAGTTCGTCCAATCGATATGTACAGGGCTTGGAAGGGCCAGGTTCAAGTCGATTCTTTACCAGTGGTCTCTCCAGAGAGTCCGCTTGCAGATAAAGACTGGTACTTCCTGCTCGGCATGATTGCCTTGACCAAGTTTCGCTCACAAAAGAGGCTCGGTCCGGGCGCTCAGACAGATGATATGAGAGTTGGTGCTACCTTCATGAGACTGCAGCTCCAGTTCAGCGCGGATCACTGGGAGACGTGGTATCGATTGGCTCAGTGCTTCGACTACGAACTAGAAGAAGAGGTCATGTGGAGTGCGGACAAGATCAATAATCACCGATCTGACTTGGTGAGATTGCAGCGCAGCTCAATCCACTGTTATGTCATGGCGTTGTCAACATCAGTTCGTACTGCAGACAACTTACCTGCTACTGCTGAAAAGCTTTCTGAGATGTACCACGAATTTGGCATGCGGATCTACGCCTCCTCCCGTGAACCATTTGGTATGGAAGCCTTCTGGGTTGACGAATTTGAGAAGCATATGAGCGGAGCCGGTGGCATGTACAAGAAGCCATTGCATGAGGAGTTGAGCCGATACAAGGCTTGGATGTATGCTGCCAAGCTGTTCAAGGAATCCCTTAGGGACCGGCCCGACCTCTGGATGTAAGGACCCCCAACATTTCATGGTAGTTCATTCCACTGACTATACAGGAACCACTACATGCTCGGAAAATGCTACTGGAAGATGTACTGTAAAGTTGACGACGAGTGGGATGAACGAGCAAAGACAAGGAGACCAAGTATCGATAGCATAATCCATGCTTTCGTCAATGCCATCAGGACGGTCCCTAAGCCCAAGGACAGCCGACAAGACCCCATTCTTGAGCCTCACTATAAACTTGCTTCAGTCATCCACAAGCTCGTTATCTCAAAGGCCATGGAACCGCAGGCGGGTGCGGATCTTCTCCAACAACAACCGTATGCCATTCGGAAGGGAGAGGCCGTCAAGATTGCAGACCAGGACGAATGGGAGTCATTTATCCTGGAAATCCTTCGCGGTCTTCGCAACGCTGACAAACAGCACTGGCAGCATCGCATGATTGCTCGTGTAGCCGGTATCATCTACGATGAGAATGATCCTAGCTTCGTTACCGCAAAGGCCGCGGCTCACGAATTCCGAGAGTCGATCTTCACCAAAACCATGCACATCCAAGTTTGGAAGCCGGATGCCGAACGACCCGGTCGGCATTGTGTGTATATGGAACGATACGTGCGCTACATCACCAGAATTTTCCTGTACACTGGCGAAAAGGCAAACATGGAGGCTCTATGCAAGCGGGTGCGCAAGAAGTCCACCGATTTCCACCGCTTCAGTGTTGTCTGGACCGAATGTTGCTCCACCTACCTAAAGCTCATCCGCAGTGTAGCAAAGGTCCCAGCCGGGTTGGATGAGCTCTTCAAAACCGTTATTAACGAGGAGTTCAATCCACTTTCCGACCGTCTCGCGGCCTGGATGCAAGACCCGAGGATGCAACATCCTGCTCTTGACGCATTGAGGGAAGCCGTCGAATTGAAGAAGCTCAACTCCAACGCCATGAAACCACAACCAATCGACGATCTGATCAACGATTCCTGGGCAGTACTATACACTCAAGTCGCAAAGACACTTCCAGGTCCTGATCCGTCATCCCTTCAAGCCGCACAGCTAGATGGGGCAGCAGACGCTCCACCACTAACCACCATCCGATCAATGGGTCCCATGAGCCTCAACAACCTAGTCATGGACATGAACGGCACTCAAATTCCCGTGCCCGTCACATTTGCCGGCAGTGAGCCCTCTCGTGCCCGCAAGGTCGGCGTCAGTCGTCGTGAGATCCTCCGTCGCGCAGAGCTGGCAGTCAACCGTCCTCCTGACCCACCACGAGCCATTGCACCCGCAAGTTCCCGACCACGAGTCTCAGAGCAGCCATCACCGACCATGATCCTTGGCTCGAACGCTGAGCCGAGTCAACGAGGTGCAAGTGCCAGCGCTGTTGACTCCGCACCAAGAGTCGAGATCTCCACGCAGCCAACGGAGACTGGACAGGAGCGGGAGAAGAGAGACGACGATGAGAGCGAGAGGGGCAGTTTACACGATAGTGCAGATGATGAGAGCGATTTGAGCGATGTTCCGGATATGGATGATGTTGACTCGTCAATGATGTTCCCAAACCTCGTACGCAGAGATGGGCCGGGCAGCAATACTGCCAACGAAGGAGAAAACGAGAACGAGCATGATCACGAGGGTGAGGGTAGAGGAGAAGAGACGAGCTCACCTGATACTAAGGAGTGAGGTAATTATGAAGTGGATGTGTTTCCATAGTATGTGTACAGGATATTGCATTGCAAGACAAAACAAGAGTGAGCGGGCGTTTATCTGGAGGAAATGGGAAGCATTGGGGGAAGATACCCAGATTATGGCGCAGATGGCTCTTCTAAGAAGAACTGGACATGTAGGAATATTGATCATGCTTGCGTTTGCATTTGCATCAAAAGGGGTGGGAATAGATCAGATCGCATAGATCAGATAGATTCCACTGATGATAAACAAATGAGCTGAAAATGAAGATCAGCGGTCCCATTCGCTGCATAATGCCAAGATTGAATCACTGGAAATGGGGAGCCACAGTAATCATGTATTTCGTGCTACGACTCGCCAGACACTGAGGCAATAGGTAATATTCCATCAACTTTACTCAAGCTTTCTCTGCAATCAAATCACTTGATCAGCTATCTCCCAGAGGGCCGGTCCTGCACCCTCTTTGAATATTTCCTTCCGCGTTGGGTCCTCATAAAGTACCACCAGCTCGATATTGTTGTGCTTGCAAATGGCGTCAAAAAATTCGAATGTCGCCTTATTTGTCGACGGTTTGAAGGTGGCCTTCTCCTCAAGAATCATCCGGGTCTGGTCCTGCAGTGTGCGGGTGGAATAGTTTCTGGTATCGGTTTCCTTTTCGACCGCAGTAGTAAGCTGCGCAGCTAAAGATTCATCTCGATAATAGACGCTGAGGATAATTTTACGTAGGGAAGGCACAAGCTCCGCCTTTCGCTCGAGAATGTCCAATAACACAGGATATGCTGAAGCGTATGGTCCTATTTTCAGCACTTCTGTATTTGGTGGCAGAAGTTTGTCGATTGGGCAGTCTATCTGTGGCAAAGGGAAATGCCCTTCCCATTCTTTCGGGGCTTCAATATGATCTGGCTTGATTTCGAGGTATTGGAGATGGAGGAGCTCATGCAGACCAGGCGCTGGAACGACCCACCAGCCTTGACTCCATAAATCCAGTCTCAGTCCTTTCAATGTTTCCCCACACGTATCTCGTATCGCGGCGAAGTATGGCTCGCAGCTCTCCTGGATCTCTAGCCAAACCTCATCGTCATTGAGATCTGACCAAATGTCGAGATATTGCAAAGCGCGGGGGAACGAGAGGAGACGAAAGAGGTCACTGGCGTGGAATTGACAATCGATAAGGCTGAGTTCTTCGAGTGCCGTAGAATGGTGTCCTGGACCAGTCCGGCGGAGGAAACTTCCCTCCGTACCTTTTGCCTCCGCCCAGTGGATTTCAAGCTTTCGAAGCATCGGATGCTCGAAGAGACAAGCTGCTTCGTCAAGAGGCCAGTTGGTGAAACATTTGAAGTTGATGGTACCTGTAACAATTAGACCTGCAAGAGATTATTCAGAGCCACCAACGTACAAGTTCTCAACGTCTCTGCAAGTGTAGATGGAAGATATATGTGATGCTCTGCTCCTTCATCTTCTTCCATATAGTCCCATTCAATGAAGAGGTGCTGTAAGCGGGTCATTTCCTCGATCGTGTTCATACCCCAGCCCCTTCTGGTGTTTCGAGACGCGCGATACCATCGGGACGAGAAATGCAGACTTCGCTAGGTAACGGAGGGAGTCAGCAATTGCTCAATTGGGATTGTTCGGGAGAGGACATTGTCTTAGGAAATCTCGTGAAACAGTCACAAATAGGAAAGGATGTCTCCCCCCAACACCTACAGTCGTCTTCAGCATTCTCCTAAGGTCATACTTATAGCTTAGTATGGTGAAAACGGAGGCTCTAGTTTCGCCGTTGATAGTGATTGTTCGATAAAGAGCGGGAAATGCATGGCTATGCAACCGACGGCATGTTCGAGCCAAGGAGGGAAGATCTTCCTGACGGCAGAAGCTCACGATGATGCTGAGGAGTTCATTAGAAAGCTGGGACAAGAGGTCAGGTCTCAGAACCTGGGCTTGATCTGCGGCCAGCATTCTGAGAATAATCAAAGGGAAGGAAGGGAATGCTCATTTGGATGGTGTTGTCGAGGTTTGGGGAAAATGAACGCGAGAAGCGCATCGCCGCTTTTGACAAATCGCTACCTCACGTGTGATGTATTCTAACCATTTTGGGACGCCTTCACCCCTATTTCGACTGCTTCCAGAATTTCCATCACACTTTCAAAGCTCCAAGAGTAGGGAAGACAATCACAATTCCAGACGTGCGGTTTGTGGCTCCTGGCACAAGCTCGATGAAGTCATCGTAGATTGTGTGCCCACACTTCTGTTCTTGCCGTTAATCATAGTGCTGAACATCGCGAGGGTAGGTCTTACGCATTTCCACTCTACCCTTATCTTGCCTCTTGGAATTGGCTGCCGTGGCTTCCTGAACGCCGTCGCAATCACATCTAATACAGACGAGAATCTCTGTAGACGTCATTTTTCCGTCGGCGATATTGTTGTTCCCTTCCTCGGACGTTTCCTCTGGATCCACTCTCCCCTGGTCGACCCCCTTCTCGGGAGGATCAACAAACGCTTTCAACTTTGTCCGGAATATCTCGAAAGCTCTAGATTCTTTTATAAATTTCTCAAACTTTGAGATTATCTAACTCGTCATCAGAGGGAGCCGAATCATCGTCCTCCGAATCGACATCTTCCTCATCTACTGCATTCGGAATTCTCTTCTCTACTCTCGGTTTGGTTTTTTCGACAAGTGAATTGCACATCATGTGGGGGGAGTTCCTGGCCCTAAATCGAACGAATTTGGCAGCATGGCGCTGTTGCACTGTTTCGGCTTCTTTTCGTAGCTCGGCTGCGAAGTCTTTGATCAGTCTTCTGAGGTTCTCTCGAATCTCTCCTTTCGATGAGGAGAACAACATAGGAACAAACCCTTTTAATGACAGTATCGTCAAGGAAAAGTGAAACTAGTCGTTCTCCAACTCCTTGAGGACCAGGAAGAGAAGACATCGATGGCCCGCTGGCTATCGTAAAGATGCTATCAACAACGGACGGAAGCGAGGATGCAACCGACATGTTGCTATTATGACTGTGCTCATCACCCTCGCACGTTCTCTGTCTGCTGCCTAAAGTGTGCCCAATTCGAAATGCTTCGATTACGCTTTCCTCCTGTCTGCTGATTGTCGCGCGTGAAGGTTGCTGGCCAAACGTAGAAGTTGTTCCTATGAATATCGATGGTAGCTCCTCCCATCCAGCACTAAACTCGGATCCATCTGGGGGATTATTGGAAAAGTCATATTTAAACTAATCCGAGCTCACACCATTAAAGAAATTGTCTAGAAATTTGGACTCTTGATCGAGTATTGTGGGACCTAAGTCTAGTTCTGCCAACGTTGAAGAGTCGTGTTCGGGAGATGCCTTGTGTTCTACGTCGATTTGCAATCTGTCAGCACTACATGCACTTCAAATTTCAAGATATCACATACGATTTCTTCTCTCTCCTGTGCCACGTTCTCTGGCACGTTCGAGCGGACGCGGTGTGAACCTCCCCCAGAAGCATGGGGGCGAAGAAGCTCCTCAATTTCTTCCCTTTCCTCTTCAAAATAATCATATAAAGCAACAGGACTCTTTTTGGGAATGACGTCTACACTTCGCACTGTTTCTAGGTACTCCAAACGACCGTAGCCAAGGCCATCTTCGCCGAAGGATATTTGGGTTTCTCCCAAAAGGGGAGAATTTCTGCCACTGCGGCCAGGAAGTCGAGAAGCCACACCAAAATTGTTAGATTGAGTGGGATTATCTCATTCCCTGCCTTTCTCTGGAATATTAAACCTCTTTTGGTCATATTTTCCTTCCAATTTCAACAAAGCAGACTCTATGCCCCCAACATCGTCTGGATCGTCAGGTATCTGAGCAAGCTTTTGGGCAAGTGAGGGGCGCATTCCTGGCCGAGATGAATGTATGCTGAAAAGTGATGCTTGGCGCGAGGTTTTGGCTAATTCATGAAGGGAAAGGTTATCATCGGTGTTTGCTTGCGACTGTCATAGTCGCCAGTTGGAACGTCGACGAAGCTGGTTGTTGAGTCGTTCTCTGACAAACGTTTAGCCCTCAATGATATCAAATTGGAGAGCAATGCACCAGTGAAACTAAACGTACCCGTATCTTCTCTTTCCCTTCCGCGGTCTTGTCGGGCGTTCATACTGGGCCGCGAATTCGCGGAGGACAGTCCCTCGTTGCTCCACAGGAAAATCTGGAAAGCTGGTGCTCGAAGTAGGTGGATGCACGAACTCGGAGTCTTCGTTATCGGAGTGGTGTTCATCCAACGCAATATTCTCCCCAGCGACACTGGGAAACTGAGTTGCCGCACCACGCTTGAACACATAATTATCGAACTTGTCCGCCGAATTAGAAAATCGATTACCGTTAGAGGTGAACATTCCGGCCATCCTCCTTCTCTCTCCAGTGCTGTGTGCTCCAGCTTGTATATGTTGCACACTCGTAGGCAATCTTTCGTTCAAAGTCCCTGCGGCGGGACTTGTTGAACAGTCTACCACATCGTCGATGCGAGCACCTTCTGGCCAGCCCGGTCATCCCCTTTCCGTAGCCTCGGATGGGGCGGATGTATGCCTCTTTCCAGCCCGCTCTTCTTCTCATCTCCTGTATGATGTTCTCTTTTGTTGCACCAACTCTTCCATTGTCATGCTCCTCTTCCCATTTCCTTCCAGCCAGACCAGACTCCGGCTCCAGCACCAGTTGAGCCTCGTCTAAGTCGACTTAGTATTTCCATTGTAGGGTATCATTCCCAGCTGTTCCTCGTCAGCCAATGGCTTAAAGATGTATAGTCCAGCTCATTAATGTTTTCGACATCCAGGGGGTAGTTGAAGGGTTGAGCGAAGATCTTGAAGTTGGTCGTGAAAGTGAGGATGGGCAAGCCACATTTGAGGTTCGTTCAAGGGGAAGTGAATTGCTTTTTTGCAACCGAACGATTGATCTACCTTGATGCAGGCAATTATACAACAGCTACATCACTGTACTTAGCTTGCCTGCAATCTATCACTTCTTCATTAATGAACTTTATGATGTGGCGCTTCCATACTTTTTTTTCTGACCCCCAACCCAGATTCATAGCAATAATAGGCAAGATTTTTCTAGGTAGGTAGACACCTATCAGGGCACTGTGATCTTGCTGCAAGAGCTTGTTGCCTAACTAGATCAAAAAGATGCCTACGTAATTGTTTCCGGCCACCATCCTAATTATGTGGATTGATTGAGCTACATTCCACCAAATGCAGGCTTTGCCACATACTTCTCCTCGAGGAAGTCGATATCCTCTTTCTCAAGAAGCCCTGCCTTAGCCACCTTGAATCCCTCGACCGTCTCATTGACTCTGTCGATACTTCCAAGCCCAGCAATCGGAATTACTCCTCGAGCAGTACACCAAGCGAGCCCGATGGTAGCCATACTAACGCCCTTGCGTTTCGCAAGCTCTTCTACTCGCCCAATGATCTCAATATCCGCACTTGTGGTCTTTCCAAGAAGGAAGTCGGCGAAAACATCGGTCTTCTGGCGGGTCGTTGGCTCTGTACTGTACGGTCGAGTGAGCAGACCCCGCGCAAGCGGAGAATAGGGGATGACGCCAACTCCGGTGTCTCGGCAATAGGGGATCATTTCTCGCTCATTCTCACGAAAGAGCAAACTGTAGTAGTCCTGCATGCTAATGAACTGGTGCCAGCCGTTCTCTTTCGCGATATTCTGGAGCGTTTGGAACTCCCACGCATGCATCTGGAGAAAGTTCAGTCATTTAAACTCAAGTCAAACAACGATCCAGGGAATCTCACCGAGCAAGCGCCAATGTAGCGCGCCTTCCCGCTCTCAACAACATCATTCAAAGCTTTCATGATCTCCTCACGCGGGGTTTCGCGGTCCAAGCGATGGATCTGCAAGACATCCATATAAGTCCCGAGACGGGCGATGCTCGCATCCACGGCAGCAAAGATGTTCTTCCTTGAAAGCCCGACTTGGTTCACCATGTCTCCATCATTGACAGACATCTTCGTAAATCTTTCGGCGTCGGTCAGCTTATCTATATCTTCGGGCATGCCGCTGAAGATCTTCGACAAAATGACCACACGTTCGCGAGGGATCTTGTATTCGCGAAGAGCTTTCCCAATAATGCGTTCTGACTGGCCGTTGGAATAGACATTGGCCTATGCATTGTTATGGTTAGCATTTTGGACAACTATTTTCAATTGGAAAGGGGAAAGCACGGTATCCCATGTATTGATACCCAAGTCATAAGCATGCTTGAGGATCGGCAGGGCTTGGGCTTCGGGGATTGTCCAGCCCATCGTGGGCGACGGATCTCCCAAGGACATCGCTCCCAGGATCACCTTTGAGACCTTCAGGCCAGATTTTCCTAGCCTGGATTATTAATGTTAGCCTGGGGCTGCAATAAGGCGAGCGAGAAGCCTTTGGTTCTCAAGTTAATGGTCCAACATACTGCACGTATTCCATTTTGAAGGGAAGTCTTGACTTAATATAGTGTGAATTTCTCGGAAATGGGACTACACTGAGTCTGAAGATCAAGTTCTCGTTCTTGGGGTGGCCCAGATTATATACTTTACGTTCGAGTGCAAAGCATGGTCCGAGTGTACATTAAGCAGGGAATGGAGGAGCATTGCCGCATTGGGTCTGCCTCTTTTCAGATAACATAAGCATGCATAAAGGCAAGGTTGACCACTGAGGCGGAATGTAATGGATTTCTTTCTCCTTTCCAGCTCTCGTAAGCCTGCTTTGTATGGAAATCAAAGAAGTCTCACCCGCAAGATAGATTTGTCTCGATGCACAGCTTTAGCTTCCAACAAGTACGCATATATGGATCATATTTGAGTAGAGTGGTTCCTTGTACGCCTCAGGATCTCGACCCACTCAGTCGACCAATTCAATTCAAAGAGCAAAGAAAACAACCGCTGCTACCAAGGATAACACGACCGCTCACCCCTCACCTCGCACCACCACTGCGTCTGTTTATAGATTTCTCCCTCCGCACCACCAATCAAGATCCACCACTTTCTCAGAAACCACGGTTGCGCTTCCCAGCTCCGAATATCCCACGGCGCACCTGACCCAATTGCTGCACTCCCACCACCCAAAGATGAGCCCCAACACACCAACCCGTCGTTCTGAAGATCATTGCACAGGTCCTCCTCGTCAATCAATGGCTCATCAACATAAGCAAGTTTGATGACCCTCTCCCTAAATGTGGGGAAAGGAAGCACGTCAATATATGGATGGTGCTTGTGCATCAGTTGCGTGGCACAGGGCCGCAAGTGCGTCTTGAGATTTGTGAACTCGCTCGCGCAAACTGTCTCGGCAGCTGATCTAGAGATGTTTTCACAGAAAAATGGTGACTCAACGTTGTCGCAGTCTGTGGGCCCGAGAGTGGTTCCTAGAGCAGCTCCATTCGCCACGCATGCTGCGACGAATAGGATTTGCTTTATCCGGAAGTTGTTTCTGTGAATATCGGGCAGGAATGGTGCCTGCGCTTGGCTGGCGTTCTGCAATAGTAAGATTCTGTCAGTCCGGAGTGCAGTATTGCTATTGGCGCTTCCCTCTCCATTCCCACAAGAGGAAGGGCACTCTATATCCGCTGAAGTCTCGTGTGAGAGCGCCTTTAACCCAGCTTTCAAAATGCTTTGCAGGGTTATTTTCTTCTCCAAAATATGAATTTTCGTCTTTTCGTCAGGCACAACACCCTCTTCTTCAATGAGTTGGCTGAGGATGCTGTGCTCTTGAAGACTCTCAGGGGTCAAAGGCTGATTCGTTTTTGGAAATGATTGAGGTTGCTGCGCTGTGCCCAAGAACCTGCTCGGTGACTGGCCGGGTTCGCCGAGAGAGCCCAGCATGCTCTGCGCTGCTGAATCACCTGCTACATGAGGGTGTGTAAGTGAATACTCATAAGTGCCATCTAGACCCAGCGGCGCATTGGTGCCAATGGCTACTGCAGGATCCATATCTTGACCATCCTTGCTTCCACCACCAATGCGGAAGCCGTGTGTAGACGTTGCAATATCCTGCAGGGCCTGCAGATTCCTTTTCTGACGCTCCCCTAAACTCATAAAGTCAGCATTACACTGTCGGCAACTGCGGCACCGTTTGCCTTACGGTAATTTTTCTGGGCTTGCTTATTTTGCGAGCGCCGCCGATCAGAAATTTGCTTTTTAGGCCCCTTTTCTGGTGGCATGATTATGGTTATTCTTTGGCAGAAAGAGAGCGCATTGCGGGCTCATGCAATGATGTTGAGCTGGCTAAGCAGGTCATACTTTGTTGCGTGGTGAAGAGGTGACGTTGTGAGTAAGCTTCAGATGCTGCTCACGGGAGCATGCATTAGCCCCGGATTACTGTAAGCGAGGCAGTGCCTTGCTCCCCTGTTACGCACGCGTGATGCTTGTGTGCCTATCCACGAAATAGCTAATGACATCCACTGCAGTTAGAGACACCCAGTGAGTATGAGCCTACCCGATCCAAGTATAACTTGAGCACAAGTTTGAGCTCCGAGATATAGAGTTGTTGAACTAGCTAAAGCAATATAGCTAGGGTCACGTGCTTGCAATGTAAACCAAGTAAAACGTACTGAATTGACTGCTGTTCTACAGTGGTAAGTAGCCCGTATATATAGCCCTGAACCCCCTAAGTCACATGTACTAAATCCCTATGCCAGCTGAACCGATTACAGCTATACAGGGTATTCCAGCCGTACATGGTATTCCAGCTATACAGGGTATTCCAGCCGTACAGGGTATTCCAGCTATACAGGGTATTCCAGCCGTACAGGGTATTCCAGCTGTACAGGGTATTCCAGCCGTACAGGGTATTCCAGCTATACAGGGTATTCCAGCTGGACAGGGTATTAAGCTAGTGCACAGCCCCATGGCGTTCGGTTCCAGGGCTTACTAAGCCTATTAGGGGCCTCAGGCCCCTAATTTCAACAAGAGTCAAGGGTGTTTTTGATCACGTGATGCACTGCCACTTTCTTGCCGATGAACACTTGCCTGGACTTTTGTTTGACCAGATACACACTATGCTTAAACTAAAATTTCAAATCGTTCCTATCCGAACTTTCCTTCTTTTCAGATAACTAGATGATTATCTTATCGTTCTCTATCTTGCAAGATAGACATTCAGAAAAATCATGGGTGTCTCCCTTTAGCACCGTCGAGAAACAAAATCGAAGAACATTCCTTTTACTCGAACAAGGATTAAGCATTTCTCTCCCAGTATACATATATCATATAGCCAAATCTAACGAATGCAAGCCAACACCAGAAGTAAAACGAAGACGATACAGTCTTGACCCGACAAATCTATTTTGAGTACCAGAACACCCTCCAACTAAGACATTAAGGACATCCGCCCGTCTAGTAACAGAACAATGAACCTCAACTCCGCAAAAAATTTCCGACTATAAGGGAACATCTTTCGGTAAATCTTTCTTCGCAACCATAGCCTTGTGCGGCACCTGCAAAGCTTCCAAAGTAACAGAGTTTGATGTGATGACATCTTTACCGTACTCATCTGTAGTAAGCGAGGCATTGGTTAACAGAGTCGTCATATGTAGACTACTGTCACTTCCCGGCTGTCCACTATCCTGAGTTTGAAAAGTGCTAGGCCACTGCACAGACTGCTGCTGAGGACTTTGAGGATCCCTCGTCGAGAACACAGGGTCGTCATTGAACGTTTCAGGGCAGTGGTGCTTTGCTATCGTTTTCAAGGAAGGTAAGCAAGCACAGATAATCCCGATATTCAACTCAGCGATACTTTAACGAAGTAAGTGGGTTTTTAGCAGGCGGAAGAAAGGGCAAGAACTGCTTACGCCCATACGTATCCTTCACTTCCTGTCCAAGTCAAGTCTGTATTCGCCATTGCTTCGGGGATCTTTGCGAGTCTGACAGTGCTCACAACGCAGACACCAAGGAAATCAGTGAAAACACAGAACATCCGAGGAACGATAATACTTACAACGGCCCTGTCATAAGAATAAGAGTAACTCTAATTTTCTGCTTCCTCGGCAGACGAAGAGGTCTCAGAACCCAGATTGGAAGAAGGAGCATCACCACATCCGTCGTAACATTTACCACTCCTCCGACAAGGAACGCAACTTTGAAGTCCAAGCATTTGCCGTGGACAGTGAGGTCCCAATATGCGTTAATCGGTCGGCACATGAAAAGCCATGTGAAGGCCCCGAAGAGACAGTAGCCGCATGCAACGAACAGGACAAGGCAGGTTACGATTTTGAAAGCCCTCGATGATGCTAATCGGAGGTAGAATAGCAGGATGGAAGCCTTGATGAGCAAAGTGGCAAGACCGAGGGTTAGAGAGCCGAAAATACCACCCCACTGGTGCGTGGGATCAGATATGATGTCTACAGACGGAAGATTGGCAGAGAGGGGAATACACTCACGAAGAAATAGGTTTCGAACTTAGGTAGCGGAATATCCCAAATATGGTTCCCAGACCCATTTCTGGTTTCTGGGAAGCCTTAGCCAAATTAGTGGCCTTGAGAAATACTGGGGACTCACGAAGCATTTGCATAATAGAAAACACAAGCGTAAATGGCTGCAAGGAAACGACTTTGGTTAACTCGCTGTGCGAGGGCATGAGAGGATAGCAAGAGCCTACCACAGCCAGAGCTATCATGTCTATGTATCAAAATTAGTTGAATATTCTTGTTCGTGAGTTGAGAGCTAGACGTACAATCGTCACAATGAATTTTCTTGAGTAGAGCATACTTCGCATACAGCCGTGCCCCTAAGAACGGAAACATGAGCAGAGGCAATACAACCCCAGCGACTATGATTTGTTTGCCATTGAAGTCGGGGTTGACGAAGTTGGGGGTAACTCCTGGTGGGGGAGGAAACGCGGTGATGATCCTCGTTGAGTTCATTGTGTGAATGACCCCAAAAACTTGAAACGGAGTCCATGAACGAAGGTTGCACTGGCTACCGTGGAGATCGGAAAGAAGGTTGTCCTCTTCCGGCACTTCGTTGCAGGGGTGTTGTCGATCTGGTTTCCATCTTGAGATCGTCCGGGGAGGAGAAATAACCCTCCCAAATGTTATTTGTCAAGGAGAGAGTCTCCACACTGGCGGAATTCCTCCAAGGCGGGGTCTCAGCCTCCTTTTTGATGGCCCAAAAGTCAGAGTGCAGTGAAATTTAGCCAAGCTTCTCCGTTCCAATCGGATTCAAAGGGTTGACCATGTCTCACGCCACAGCAGTTGGCGGGAAAACCACATGGCAACCACACTGGGTCAAAGCGGCCTCAAGGATCATCCTTCCAAATACCTCTTTACTTCGTGATCCCGCATTTATACAACAGAATAGAACGCAGTAGCAGGAGGAACAAAACCTCGAGAGAAGAAGCAAAGAGTATTGTCATTGTCCCCAAGCACCATGTCGGCCACTCGACTACAAGAGCCAGTGGTTGGAACCGGGGGGCAGCATGCGGTGTGGAAGTATCTCCTGAAAACTTCCACAAGGAGAAGAAGGTAGCACACCCTGACACACTCTGTTTCATGAGGTCATATCCACCAGGTTCGGCGATGATCTACGATTTCGCGAATCGATCCGGATTGGTACTAGTATCGATTTGTATCGGTCTAGATCAATCCTGGATTGATCCAGAAAAATCCTTGGCGAACCTCTACGCAGTACCTACTCTATTTAAAGTATAAATTGTATTCTAAAAATAACTTTTGAATAGAAAAAGAAGCTAAGTACTATAACTAGGAATATTACCTTAATAATTCCAAACACTTTTAGAATTTTTTCAACTACTTTTTAAAAAGTCTTAATTTTTGGTATTCTATGAGTAAGTAAGCCTTTCGAACCAGAAGTACCTCTTGTATAAATTTACTATAGAGAGTACTTCCGTAGGACCGATACTAGATTAATCTAATATTAGTCCTTATAATACTAACTAATACCCGCCCCTAAATAGATGTAATAGTGGGTCCCCGCAAAACCAGCCCGGCACGGTCCAATTGCCATACAAAAAGAACCCTACACTTTGACCCACTGTTACATTTAACTGCTGGGGAGTACGAGCCAGGATCAATCCTAGATCGATCTCGCACGGATCATCGCCGAGCCTCATATTCACTGTCTTACAGAATTCCAAATCCTAGTGTGGCTTCCCCCCGGGAAACCACCGCTGCAGCACCAATCTCCACTAATTGAGCCACAACCTCCCCACTCAACATCAACACTTTTCAAATTTCTCATCGTATTGCTCCCCCTTTGTGTCTCTTTCGTCTCCTTTCTTGCGCTTGTGCCGTTTTCTAAGATGGGGGAGAATTCTAATAATTTCAGGGCAGGATTATTCTTGATGGCATGGTGCTGTTTCCTGCCCTCGGGCTCCAATTGTTTTACCCATTCTCCGTGACTGACAGCTTGAGATGGTCTCTCGGCTCGCGCTCTCTCTGGTCATTAGCACTCTCTCGACAGGAATAGTATTCTTGGATAACACAAACAGATTTTCTCGATTTAACTCCTTCCGATCGGCCAGGTGTGCTGTACTTTGTGCATGCCACCTCTTCCATCTCCGAATGACTTCAATCCATGTCAGCGATGATCCTCCAGCAAGCCAACTGGCATCCAAGTAGCCTCAACTTGACGTCAAAGATGACCTGAGAAAGCACCAGAAACTTGGGACTCGCGATGGGCTGTGAAGCATCCTGTCAGCCAAGCCATATCAAATTGAAATGGGATCAAATCATCAAACCGAAGGGACCGACTCCTCATTATTCCAAGCTCCCCTACTCCAACTTCGCCGATTACCCAAACTTTCCAGCTTTCAATCCGCACTCTAAACTCTCAATTTCTTCCTAGCTGCATCAAGAAGCCTTTCCTAAATCCAATTCGATTCGTTGTGCCATGTGTCAATAGAATGCTTTCGCTCGTTACCATCGGCTCATGGGCGGCGAACCGCGAGGATTGTTCGACACGCCAGAGTTTTGAGTATAGCGATCCTGGATATAAGGAATTTTGATGGTGGGTCAGTAGACGGTGCGGAGAGGTTGAGATTGAGAGTGCCATCGATGCGCGACATGAAAAAGAGGGGTGAGAATTACGTGTCTCTGAATTATTCTCATTTATCTGTATAAGTCTGAGTAGTTGAAACTGATACCCGTCATACCACTCTCGGTATAGGTCACTCCGAATTGATTCGAGCTCTTGCAGTCCTCCATTAGCTCATCGTCATCCATAGCCTTACTTTTATTCCTTTCGAGGACCAAATCATGCTGGTTGACATCGAAACTCATAGCACTGTTGATATCAGATATCTGCCGGACGGAAAATTCAGCAGGTCTACTGAACAGGATTTCCAGTCTGCCTATTTCACGTGCCTTCTTAGAAGATACGTATTGATCATAGGGCAACGGAATGTCGTTCAGGAGGTCTATCAAGTCCGCAACATGTGCGGGAAAACTCATGCTCGCCTTATAATAATAGTTCGCAAGATGTGCGTATGTATCATGAAGTTCTGATAAAAGCTCTGCATAACATTTCCTCCTCTTAAGATATAAACAATATTGCTTTGAGATCTCAATTTTCCGCTGATCTCCGGGATGACCGAGAAGTTCCAAGCTCTGGGAACTTCGAAGAGCAGCAAAGAATGTTTCAGCTTCATAAAACCACCCTGCGGTTGCGCATGCGGAGGCCAGCTCCGTGACTAAAGGCTCGACAAAGACATAAACTGTGATGTCTTTGCCAAAAGGGTCGAAATGAGCATACAGTTTGTTAATCACTAATCCCAGTGTGCTTAGTTCGCCTTCGAATGAGCTTTTGGTTCGCCGTAAATAGATCGTGATTTGCCTAAGTTCCAAGATGCTGAAATCGTCGTCGTGTGATTTGCTTGCTTCTAGAAGCCTCCTCAAAACGCACACAAATGAAAGTAAACCGAAACGAAACCCTCGGTTCTCGCAGCTTTCTGAAGTCGTCGGATCTTCTTGCCTTGTTTCAAAAAACGAAGGCAAAGCTCGAAGGATAGGCAAGTTGATACCGGGATCATTAAGAGCAATAATGACTTGCTCAAGATCCAATCTTCTAAAGATGCCTCGATATTCCCCAGAAAGAGTCTTCATGGCCACCAAAATCATTGAACAGATCACTGTAGTCGACGAGGAAGCCCGAATCAAGCTCTCCAGGTGTTGTGACGTCAGCGTCACATGACCTGGCCCTAGCCCTAGCGTGGCACCCTGTACTTAGCTCGAGCTCCCCGCTCCTCCTCTCTTCTCTCCTTAGACGCACATACACACCCAAAAAGAGCTGTTTACCAGACCAGGTCTTTAGCCCAGGGACGTGATACCAGGAGATCTAAGCAGATACAAGCGGCGCTTGGAACCTCATATGTAGGGCAATAATTGAGGCATTGGGTCAGTCCCAGCACGGCCACCCGAAGGAACGGTTCGGTTTGGCTACCTCTGTTGGTAATGTACTTGTTAATAGCACTGCAGTACTCTCTCTGGGCTTGGCATCGCTCCTCACGTTCGATTGGATCTTCATATGTGGATTCCTTTTCTTCTGTCTGATCAAGCACAGGTTCGCTCTCGTGCTCGCGGTTTATGAAAATGAACTCATCATCGTCGGAAGGAAACGAAACAGTCGCCATTACCGGAGAGCTGACAGACTCTTGCACGTCCCCGCTAAAGATGTCGTATGTCGATAGCCTTGAAGGTTGGTAAGTTGTTGCAGAAGGGAGTACCGGCGCATGTTCGTCCAAAGTACTATTTCTGATGCTGAGCGCTGGCACGGAACTCCCTGGATTGGGGCTGTGTCGCACAAGGCTGGCGGCATAGAGGTGGTTTGCTGAGTCTGGGTCTTCTACCAGAGGCTCTAGCGAGGGTTTCCCACTAGCTGTAGGCAGACCACTTCCATGTTCCGATGATGCTGATGGACTATCGCTAATGAGAAAGGGTTGTGGCGTCTCATATGATATGTGCTGAGGCGTCGCTGTCGACGAAGCGTTATTCTGGACGGAAACTTCGTTCTCCGAGCCTGCTTGTAATGGCTTAAGCAATGGTTGAAAGGTTTCGGGATCAAACATGGGCACCTCCTCTGATGCGGTTGGTAATACATCAGGCTGGCGATGTTGGTAAGGATCCATGAGAGACAGGGCTTGGAAAGCGAGCCCGGGTATTGACGAGCCTGGTGTAGGTGATCGAACAAACTGAGGAGTATACACACTGAAGACTGGAGATGGGGCTATATCCGTTCAGTTAATACATATTTTTGTCAGCCACAGTGTTTGATCACGTACCATTGACAGGACTGGTCATTGAAAGTAATTGTTCTTCGGAGATGGCGTTTCTTTGGAGATAACGATCGATCTTTCTGTCATCAACCGGCTTTCTGTTCACCCGGAATGAGCTCTTCTTGTTTTCGAGGGCGCGCTTCGCCTTGGTACGAGCGAGCGCTATCATGGTGTCTCCCTTCAGATTCTTGACATCGAAACCCCAGTTTGTGAGCCGACTCTTGAGTTGCTTCTCACTATGTACAAAGTTACTATTGGCTTTCATATTGGGACGTTTTGAGCCAATCTTACGTTGCAGTGAAACCATAGTCATGGCTAAGTGACTGGATGACCTCCTTGAGAGGTTTGTTCTCGGCCAGATATAGACGTTCAATATTGGCCTTCTGCACTTCCCATTCTTCAGCAGAGTATCTGTGAGTTTTGACCTTTTCGCTTGGAGGTGGTGCCGAATGCGCGAATGAAGCCATCGTTGAGTTCGGAAATTCACAGTTAATGGCTAGCAAGTTGAGATTTTGTGGGTGAGCCCGACTTCTTATGTTACTCGGCGAAATCGTCAATTCAACCCTGCATATAAAATCCAGGCCCTTTGTGGCTTCGCTTCAATGCGTGTTCCCGCGTCACATGCACTGTGAATCAGTTCATTGGATAGCCCAAAGTTCCAAAGCGATGTGGCGTCAGCCAAGCATCACCATTCGCCCTTCTCGTTTGGAACTTTTGGCAAGCGAGGCAACCTCCAATCACCAGTTCCACAGAATTCGAAGCCACGGCTCCCGCACAGCCTTGTGTTACCCTCGCGCTCAGACTCGATCGCGGGCGCTGATCGGGAAATGCCAATATTCCTGACTTGACTGGTTGCAGGAAAAGAACTTCTGCTAAGCGAGACCTGGCCTGCTCCTCATAGGTAAAACTGCTAATATGCGGGTTAAGGAGATCTTTTCTGGATGGTTATTGCTCAAATTCCACACGCAAGCAGCTCCCTTCATTCATATCACAACTTTCTTGATTTGACCAAATTGTTAGCCAGCTTCAAACTGCAGAAATCGAGACAAGTCCGCTGAAGAAACCCAAAATAATCAGTGTGCCCCGAAACCCCCTATATGCTATCATCTCCTGTGGTAATAATAATCCTTGTGCCATCGACTTGCACAAATCCTAATACCACGCCTTTCTCTCCATCGCCTCCTTTTTCAACCACTCTGCGTCTCTCCCGACTGGAATGCAACCGCTTGAAGCACAACTGGATGGATCATGCCCTCCTCCGATACAATCATCTCCCTCGCAATTGGTTTTGGGGGGTTACTTGTCGCCATTTTGGGCATCTGGATCGCATATCTGAGTCTTAAAGCTGTGAAATCCAATTGGAATCCAAGTTTGAGACCTAAGAACTATTCCTTTTAACATTTTGCTGAAATATAACAGACACGAACACTTCGGACTACCGTCGGAACGAGACAATCGACTTGGAACGGTCAACAGAGCTACCAACCGTACGTCCCACAGTGCATCTCTCTTGGCCGCAAGAGTCCGGACATTTGGATAACAGTGCGGGCCGTTCGTATACTTGGAGCTGAGGAGGAGAAACTTGGGCTTGCGGCTTGATCTGAGAGGAAATATGGGTTGGGGAATCCCTTTGAGGAGAGATTGTTGTAGGAACGGTTCACTGTCGAAATGGACCTGTTCTTGACTCATATTCTATTCTCCACTCATTCCCGCTTTCATCCCATCTCGTCCCCAACATACTCAGTCAATACTCCGCCATCTCTCCCATCTCTTCCTTCTCTCATCTCTCCCATCTTCCTCCTCTTCCCGCAATCAAACCCACCAAACAACCATTCCACTCCCCCAGCATCCCCAGCACCAATTGCAACCCCCGATTCCTCAAACACAGCCCAACACTCCTTTACTACTTCTCTTCCCCACTTCCCTGTCCTCTCCCACGTCCTAGCATCATATTTTCACACTCCGAATATTCAACACCTCCTTGGGTATATGTATCGCAGTGGGCAAAATTAAAGCATGTTACGACGGGAGGTGTGGTTATCTTTGAAGTGTTTCACTTTGATGTCCGTTCTGAGGCGGTGAACAAGATATCGATAGCACCGCGAGAATTGTCCCGCCTTTCCTTATCTTTAATCAGCCTGCCATGTTGTTGTTTTTTTGGAAAGGGGAAATCGTGCTTGGTTCTGGTTTCCGAATCAAAAATCTTTCCATTCAAATTGCTGAAACTTGCGAGATCGAGATTCAGGTGTGACGCTGAAGGATGGAGGTCTTGCATGAGCCACCACCAACATCGCCAACATCGCTACATGTTCGGCGACCATGTTAAATTCGAAACCAGCGGTTGAAGACGATCACTCCACGCGAATTGAGGTCACAACAGAGAAGAAGTATGCAAGGAAGCTCTGGCCTTACGAGTAACACTGTCAAAGAGCATTCCATGACAGGATAATGATGGCGAAACTCAATCTCAAACCCAGACAGTCTTCAATCTGCTAATCAACGTGAGCAAATCCGTGGCGACAAAGGAAAAGGAACAGATAAAGCCTCCAGACAATCTAATGATACCAATCCAGCTACCGCGCACCAAATCAATAACCACGGTCATGATGCCTACTGTGGGAGCTGTTGGTAACCACGGCTCTTGTGCTCACCCTTCTTGGTGCACAACTCACGAAGACCAGCGATGCCGTAAATGATAAAGAAACCTGGAATGATTAACATGTGCTAATGGCAAGGGGATGACACTCACAAATGTCTGTCAAGGCAGCAAATCCAAACCAGGATGCGACGACATACTCCCACTTGACCTGCTTGTGGTCAAGGAACCACCACACATACTTGTCAGCGACAACGTAACCGATGTAGGTCCAACCAATGTAGAGGAAGGCAAGGAACACGAGTCCGGCAAGGTGGCAACCGAGTGGCTGCAGAATGTTAGCTTGCATGTGAGGAAGCAGCAGGGTGAGATTTGCCTCTTGGCGCTTGATGCTGCTGAGGAAGAAGACCTCAAAGAAAGCAATGGCAGCACAGATAGCATATTTGTCGAGAACGAAGAAGGTTGTGTACCAGCCATGTCCAAAAGTGTGGTCACCTGCGAGAGTTAGACGATCGTGAGAATCAGAGCATGAGCGACTGACCTGGAATGGTGGCATGCTTCGTTGGGACGAGGACAAACCAGTGAATAGCAGCGGAGACAAGTGGAAAGGTGTTGGCTGCAGAGTAGAAGATGCTGAACCAGGTGCGGTTCTGAGTCGAAGAGTGTTGGCGGGGTGGCGACAAGAATCTCTGAACGCGAGTCTTCCAGGTCTTGGGTTGGCTACCATGGTGAGGGTAGTAGAGATGCATAACGGTGTAAGTCTGCAGAGAGTTGGCTGATGTGCGAGCTGCTGCGTGGAGGACTTACGGCTGCGATGGCATGGTAGAGAAGCTGGATGAAGCACGCAATGTTCGAGAACTTGAAGATGGTGACCAAGCCAGCCTTGTTGCGCTCGAGCTCGTACTTGATGAGCGCCAGGAAGCTGACCAAGAGGTATGCTGCAGTCAAGCTTCGAAGACCGACGAGAGCCTTCTGGCCAATGCTGATCCATGGCGAGTGGCAGACACGAAGGAAGATGGGCTGGCAGATGTCAGAATTGATGGGTTGAGGATGGAGTTGATGACCTACGTGATCATCCTTCTTGCGATCCTTGGGAAGGAGAGCAGTGGAGGATGACATTGTGAGAATGGGAATGAGTGCGTGATCTTTAGGGAAGTATGCAGCAGTGAACCAAAACTGTGAACTCGATCTCGTTCGAAGGTGGGAGATTGCGAGAAGCGAGATGGTTGATGGTTGTGCCAATGATGAAGGAAGAAGGATACAGAGAGAGGAAGAGGAGCGAACGATGGGAAGTAAACAAAGCTAGCTTGGGTGCCAGCATAGGAGGAAGGAGCGGGAGGTGTTTTTCGCGCGGTTAGAAAGGAAGTCACGATGAGTGAGCCAAACAACTTTTGAATCGACTTGAACTTCGGAGAAAGAATGGCTCAATATACATTCCAACTCTGGAATCGCAATTTGATAATCTGATATCCATGAGACATTGGGATTGGTAGAGGGATTCATCAAAGGTCACTGGACGGCGGATGCTCTCGTTGAAATGCGCAAGCAACCGTCCAACGAGGCGGTTTCCTCTAAATGAGCTTGTCAATCCAACTGCATAGCCCACCAAAATACATTCCATTGAGAAAGAGGCAATACTTGAGAGATATTCGTACGTACAGAAATTGGTAAGAGATGTTGAAGACGAGCTGGGGTCGAAATTCGGGTTTGTTATTCTTAGACCTTGCACAAAGCTCCGACCACCTTACACAATCTAGCATAAATCGCGTACCTCAAAAGTGTCCACAACTCAAGCAGCAGCACCAAGCCACCTGTTCACGACAATACCCAACAGGCAGCCCTTCCTTTGTCAATTCTTCCGCCACGCTCTGAATTACTTCTCTGCAATATCCTCCACGCATCTGCCACCCCAGAATATCTCTTCTGCGCGCAACTCCAACCAATCCCCATTCGCATCAACCACTCTCAAAAGCCTCCCCCCTCCCCCAGAGCCCCTCCACGCCCAGCATGCTTTCCGCCCTCCAAAACCCACGGCAAGCAGCCGCCCAAATTCTCAACTTCGGCCTGATTCTTTCTACCGCCTTCATGATGTGGAAAGGCTTGTCTGTAATCGCCGACTCGCCCTCACCCATTGTCGTCGTCCTTTCTGGGTCCATGGAGCCAGCCTTCCAACGAGGAGATCTGTTGTTTTTATGGAATAGGAATTGGTTTGAGGAGACGAAGGTGGGAGAGATCGTGGTGTATAATGTGAAGGGGAAGGATATCCCGATTGTGCATCGGGTTGTGAGGAAGTTTGGGGTTGGGTGAGTCTACCCTCCTTCTGGGGTTCTCAGGGCGGGAAGGGGAGCTTTGGAGGGCATTGGAAGGGGATTCAGTAAGGCTGGGATTTATATTGAACAAGGGCTAATTGGAAACAGGGACGAAGCAAAGCTCTTGACGAAGGGAGACAACAATGTTGCAGACGACACAGAGCTCTACGCACGAGGACAAGATTACCTAGAGCGGAAAGACATCATTGGCAGCGTCGTAGCATACATCCCATTTGTCGGATACGTTACAATTCTCCTGAGCGAACATCCGTGGTTAAAAACGGTCATGCTGGGGATAATGGGCTTGGTGGTTGTCTTACAAAGGGAATAGCGAAATCGAAATTGCAGTGGCGTTTGAGGATACCCGGGAATTGTATGATAGACCACAAGTCGATGAATGCCTATGGGAGACTGCATGGCGGGCTCTTGGAAGCCTATTTGCAGCATAGGTGCTGGCCGAAGCGTATCGAGAGCTTCAAGCCACAGACGTACGGCTGGAGCTGAAGGGTCCTAGCCCAGCTGTCTCACCTTCCACTGTTGGCAGCCCACAAACGAATATCGTCTTCCAAATATTCCTCGCAGTCTTCCTGAGCATCCACTGCAAAAGATTTCATGCTTTCACCTGATTCCAAATCTGCTGACAAAATTTCCGCCTCGAAACCTTCAGCCTCGTTTACTAGCGCGCTGAGAGAGCAAGGGTCCCAGACCAAGCTCCTTCTCCATCTTTCTGTGACGTGAACTTGTTGAGCATCACAAAACAGATAAAGACGAACGCTGAGGTATTTAACACTCCGTCTCTCCCTCTCCCACTTTTCTACGCCATCACTCAGTTACCAGAACCATTTTGACACCGACAACAGCGTTTCCTCGGCCTCGACACCGCATCTTTTCACCAAGGACCCACCATTGATTACACGACTCGCCATCATGTCCGCACAAAAGAGAATTGGCAAGGTACGAGACCGTAGAATATAAACTAGAGGTGAAGAGTATGTTCTGATACTTTTCTAGGAGTTGGCAGAGGTTACGACGAGCCCGCCAGAAGGCATCAAAGTCAGCCTCGTTGACGAGTCAAATGTCCACAACTGGAACATCGTGATGGATGGTCCTGAAGGTTCACCTTACGCTGTACGTCCCATTCTCTCCCCCTCTATTCCTAAGTCCCACTTTCACGTTAGACCGAAGCTGATGCCTTCTGCAGGGCGGCAAATTCCAACTTCTCCTCGTCCTCCCAACCGACTACCCCTTCAAGCCTCCCAAGATCAACTTCAAGACGCGGATCTGGCACCCGAATGTGACCTTCGACGAGCACGGCAGCATGTGCATCGGCATCCTGAAACCCGAGGCCTGGAAGCCGAGCTCCAAGATCTTGAGCGTGTTGGCTGCAACGCAGAGCCTGTTAGTTGAGCCTGTTCCTGATGATGCGGTGGAGACGAGTGCGGCGGAGATGTTCAAGAATGATAAGCCCAAGTTTAATAAGACGGCGGCGGAGTACACAAAAAAGTATGCGAAGTAGAGGAAGGGAGAGCATTGTTAGGGGACGGGAAACGGGAGGGGTTGGGAGAGGGGAGGCAGAATGAAATTATGATGAAAAACACGAATGGCATTGAAGTCAAGGCGTTATGGGCTGGCGGGTGCGAAGCATAGAAAGGTGCTTTCTCTATATGGGCGCTGAATTCATAACGAAGGGAATAAAGAACTATCATTCCACATGGGTCTGCGGGATCAGCGTTCTGTAACATCCAGACCCTTCAGGCACATTAACATGCAGTGCTCGGGCCGTGGAGAGCAATCAGATCCCCAGCAAAGCCCAAAAGAAACCATCAATCTTTTGTTTTCCCCTGTTTCTGCAGCACTTCTCTCCCCTTGCATGGGCGGGAAAGCGGAAGATCCTGCGGCCAACTTGGGCCCAGGCACACTTCACCCCTCCCTCCCCCTTGCTTTTTCTTGCAACATCTGAGACTACAGCAAAAACTCGCTATAGCGATATCAATTTTAGCGCCTTTTTCTAACGATATACCGAGGTATCGTTAAATCAAGGATCACGTGCACATATAATAAATAAGGAAGAACTGAAGATATATAAAGAACCTCTCAATCCTAACGCCTCACTACTTGTAAAGTACCTCCTGAAAGCTCTAAATAAGCCTGCTTTGCTTTCCCAACCTTCCTTTGGGTAAACGTAGCTTTCAAAGCGTCAAGCTTACGTATAACCTCACTTTGTCCATCCTCCTGTTGCTTCTCATAAAGATTTACTAAATCAAGTGCAGCTATCACTTCAGCTAGCTTCACTTCCCTAATCTCTTCCTCCTGCTCCTCCTGCTCCTCCCGCTCTATATCAGACTAATCCCCTGAACCTCCCTGAGCATAGCGATTCACAATTACCTCCAGAGTCACACTCTCTTCTTCCACGATTGCCTCGTCAATTAGTGTAATAAATTGGCTAATGGGAAGAGGATCATTGAATTGGGTAGTACTCTAAATAGCCAATTAAAGGGCTTCGATGGTTTCCTTGTCTTTTGCTTGTTGAGTAGCCCATTCCTCGTCCAGTTCGCTATAGGCATTGAGATCTCTACCAAGGAGAGGTTTTGCGATAAGACTTGATTTGTACCAGTAATTGGTAATCGTAGAAGCTTTGACGTGGTTATTCCAAGCATATACTGCCTAGTTAATCGCATGGAGAAGAGTGACTATTTTGTTGGGATTCTTGTTCGCCTCAAATTACTTGATCATATAGCCAACCCATTGCTTGCGATAATAAAGCTTGAAGGTATTAATAATACCCTGATCTGCTGGTTGCCAATGTAATATCGTATTGGGAGGTAGCCATTCCACTTGTACGTAAGAAAGAGCTTGTTTTCCACTAACGAGATCAATGCCATATTCATACCCTGAGAAATTATCCATAAAAAGAAGGATATGCCGGCCTTAAGCAGAATACTTACGATTGAGCCAATAGAGGTATTCTACACAGATAATACCAGTCATCCACTTGGAATTATTATACCGATATTATATACCCAAAAGTCGACGATTAACGTGCTTAAAGCACCGAGGGTTCTTACTCTTTCCAATTAACCAAGGCTCCCACTTATTAGTACCTGTGGCATTGACCGTAAGAGTAAGAGTAATTCGCTCTTTACTTTTTTTGCCCCCATTACTAGCCTCAGTTACTAGTATATGATTTGGTGACATTTTCCAGTATAAACCAGTTTTATCCATATTTAAGACATTCTCAGGAGGGTATGTGGCTACCAGATCTCGATTCTCTTGTATTTGCTTGATATTCTCAGGACTATTAATGTCTGCCGTACCGCTTTTGCTATGGTAAACGAACTCCTTGATATGGAAGCGGTTCTTAAAATTGGTCAACCATCTATTAGACCATTTGGGCTCTGGCTACTCGCAATATTGGGGAAGAAGATACCAGATATCATGTGCCTTCTGCTTCAGAATATCGCCCGTAATTATTGCCTTCTGCCTTTGCATCTTCTGCTGCTATTTAAAGAGTACCGATTCAAGATCTGGCCAATCAGATTAGCTTGAACGCTAACCCGTAAGGCTTATATCTTTTCGTATATCGGTATTAAGGTAATCGAATTGAGTGCTAAGGCAAAGGGAAACAGTGGACTGGTTGATTTTGTGGTAGTACTCGTCCTGGAACCACTTGATAAGATTAGCGTGTATAGCTTTAGGATGGGATTGCTTGTGCCTCCGTAGCGCTCGGCGATCAGCTTCTGTCATGCCTCTTCGTCTTTTTTTAGGCTGTTCAGGGGCTAGAGAACCAGAGGTAAGATCAAGGGGCTGTGATTCGGTGAGATCGAGAGCCTGAGAGGTACCGGAGGGCCCTGGAGTATTAATAAATTGATCCATTTTCAAGCTAAAGTAGAACGATAGACCACCAAAAATTAAGGGTTGGGACCGAAAAACCTTACGATAATCGTAATGCCAAGGATATCGTAAGCCTTAGGCTAAAAAAGTGCGGGACCGTACGGCCGTATCGTATTACTAAGGATATCGCTATATCAGGGATCGCTATAGCGAGTTTTTGCTGTACAACAAACAGAGCGCCTGATAGTCCTTTCCAGCCAACTCAAGCTCGATTTATGACAAGTCGATGCTTTACAGATCTCTCCAAATTTTCTCAAAAACAACAGGCCCAGTTCTCTCCCGGTTCGCGTCAAATCTCGATGATCACGTCCCTCGACGCGACCCAACAAACAAACGCGTTTGCAGCCAACGGAATCTCCCCAACTGAACTCCACTCGTACAAAGGCCATGCACCTTTCCGTCGCTACTCCTAATTGTACAAGCAGCAGCACCATCGCTCAATAGTCGTTCTTTCAAAATAAATAAACTTCGGTCATGACTCGCCGGCATTATCTGGATAATCTGTGATACGTCAGTCGAGGGACGCCTGTTAAGATTGCTGCGCTGCGCAATATAAAATTCAGACCCAGCTTCAGCTTGGACCACCACCAACCTCAGACGAAACATCCGGGATTCAGAGCAGATCTCCAAACAAATATCTGCGACGCCCTGCCCGCGACCCAGCCGCAGCTGCTCCTTCTCGACTTCGGATTCTTCTGCCTCTGACGGGCCAATTCGAACTTCCCGACGCACGCTTTTTGGAAGCATCGCCAATTGATCTCTACATGTGTGGCAGGTAACGGACAAGGGTTCGCGAACTCGGCCAGGCGTTGGACCTGGTGGAGGAGTGTTGTGCGGCTGCGAGCCTGGAACAACAATGAGCATGGCAAATGGCTACAATGGGGTTGAGACGTCCGATATCCCGTCTGTGGATGTCAAGAGGCAAAGGAGCATGAAGTTCAGTCTCTATCCAGCACAACCTCGAACAACTCCCAGAAGCCCAACACCTTCCGGCCCCACGTCTCCAGTGTTTCCAACATCTCCGCAGCTTCCGCCATCGCCTCTTCCTTCAAGAGAAGACTCTCTGCCCAGCCACCACCGTCCCTACACCTCACATCACGAGGGACCAAGATCTTTCACCACGCCTCCACAGCTATCACAGAGTCTCCACAAGAAGCTCTCTGAAGCATCACGGTTACGAGCCCTGAATAATGGCTACAAATCCAACTCTTCCGATGGACCGCACACCCAAGAACGACACACCCCAGATCCTCTAATAGAGAACTTCTCACGGCCTCGACAACCGAGTTTACGGCGGCGAAACGAATCACCTAATACCACAATCCACAGCCCAGCGGGCTTCCCCCTCTCAGCACACGATGAAGAACAGACCCCCACAGACCTTGCTTCTTCTAGAGACAGGGGATTCTCAACTTCATCCTCCCATTCTGTTGCACATACCCCAGCCTACCCCCTCCGACCTTCGACTTCTATCCCAGACTACCAGACCGCAGATTCCATCCATTCAAGACAGCGAAATCTTAATAATTCAGCATACAAACCGAGCAGGGGCCTCAGTCGGCCAGATAGTAATTACTCGGCGCACCGACGGGAACCTATTACACGACCTACCGGTCTGGAGAGCGAGGAAATACGAGCCAGTTTCCGGTCAGCGCTAACCACTAATTCGAGCTTCATGGGCACGAGCGGGACGGAGAGAAGTAGTGTAATGACGAAGAGCAGTTCGGCAACATCCATCTTCGGCAGGGATGAGGGGATGAGCGTCGACGATGCGATTGGGATGTATGAAAGTGGATTTGGAGACTCGGGCGTAGAAGACAACTATGGAGGGAGACCAATGACAGCAAGCTCGGAGCAGAAGAGGATATCGGGGCTGGAAGAGGCAATGAATGATACGCTGGAGGTGCCAAATACGGGGCATGCAATAATCAGGGATTCCACGACCATCTTCACACCAGGTGGATTGGACACCCCTAGTCCACGGCACAGCGCGATGGATGGGTCAATGGACGTCCAAGAGAGCTACTTTGGCTCCAAGCCTGCAAGCCGACCAGTCACGAGTACGCCCCCAACAAAATTCGATGAAACAAGGGATCGATACGGCTTCAAGAAGAAAAATCAACATATCTCGGTAGCTCAATATGACGCCTGGAACGGTCCATATACAGAATATCTTGCTCGACGACGGAAGAAGTGGCTGGCTATGATGAAGGACAACGGGTTGCCGGCAGAGAAGCCTGAAAGATTCCCGCCCAAATCCAGGAAGGTAAAACACTTCGTCAGGAAAGGCATTCCGCCGGACTGGAGAGGCGCAGCGTGGTTCTATTACGCAGGTGGCCCAGAAATGATCGCCAAACATCCTGGGGTATATGAGGATTTGGTCCGAAAGGCTGCAGCTGGAAGCGTCAGCGAGACAGACGACGAAATCATCGAGCGTGATCTGAACCGGACTTTCCCTGATAACATCAAGTTCAAGCCGGATCCACCTCCAGGAGACGCCCGCAACAGCCAGCGTACTATCGTTGACCCAGAGACACCCATTTTGCAGTCCCTTCGAAGAGTCCTCCAAGCATTCTCCATCTATAATCCCCAGATTGGGTACTGCCAATCACTTAATTTCCTTGCTGGCTTGCTGCTACTCTTCATGGATGAAGAGAAATCCTTCTGGATGCTCAACATTATTACTCGTGTTTACCTCCCTGGAACACACGAACTCAATCTCGAAGGTGCAAATGTCGATCTTGGCGTCCTTATGAACAGCATCAAAGAGATGATGCCTTCTATCTGGGCCAAGATTGGGGGCGAACTTGACGGCTCCGCATTCACATCACACTCGATGCGCTTGCCTCCCATCACCCTTTGCACCACTGCTTGGTTCATGTCCTGCTTCATCGGCACACTCCCAATTGAGACGACACTTCGAGTCTGGGATGTCTTCTTCCTCGAAGGCAGCAGGACGCTCTTCCGCATCGCGCTCACGATTTTCAAGGTTGGAGAAGCGGAAATCAAGGCCGTGAATGACCCGATGGAAATATTTCAAGTCGTGCAAACCATTCCACGAAGATTAATTGATGCGAATGCGTTGATGGAAGCCTGCACAAAACGCCGCAACGGCTTTGGACATCTCAGCCAAGAAGCGATCGAGAAAGGGAGAGCGGAGCGGCGACGTGGGTATGCGGAGGAGAGGGAACGAGCGACGAAAGGTGAACCTGGCGAGTCAAAGTTGGGGAGATCTGGGACAAAGAAAGGAACTCTGTTCGGGAGAAGGAAGAGAATTGTTCCGATTGAGGCGTAAGGTGGAGGAAGCATCTTGGATGGTTTGGTGAAGCATTTGTGGGAGAGAGGCTTTATGATGTTACGATTTTGGAGCATTTGATGAGTCTATGAAGACTAAAATAGCATTACATAGCGTATACAGGAACATAATTTGCGTTTAGTCTCGAATTAACACCATTCAATGCAAAATCTTGAGATGTCTAGAAACAACTTGTCAGCTTGTAATATTCTGCTTTCCCCGTTGTTGTGACAACGCAAGCGAACTTGACTTCGAACAATCAACAACTTTGAACCCCCAATATCATGCCATCAACCAAACATCTTCGCAACCACATCACCACCTCGCAATGGCCGACCAAAAATCGCAAGCCGCTCTCTTCCAAGTCTATCTTCGATTGCGACCCCCTCCAACGAACCAACAAATTGCCACCGAACGATTTCTTTCGGTCGAAGAACCTGCGAATGACGATGAGCTCCCAACCCATATTACCCTGAATCCTCCCAACGATAATCGACGACGCGCAGTCGAAAAATTTGCATTCACAACGGTATTTGAAGAGGAGGCTACACAGTTGAATCTGTTCCATGGCACTGGTGTGCTGCCTTTGGTTGAAGGAGTTCTTGGCCCCCAGGGCGGTGATGGACGCGATGGATTGCTTGCTACGCTAGGTGTTACTGGCAGCGGAAAGGTGCATCGATACCCATCCTAACAAGAAATTGGCAGATACTAACATAATACAGAGCCACACAATCCTCGGATCTCGAACTCAACGCGGTCTCACCCAACTCGCGCTCGACGTCCTCTTCCGCTCAATTTCGAATCAAATGCTCGATCCGAATACGACAACAAGCCTGCATGCAACAGTAGCAGCCTCCGACCCTAGCGAAGCACAAGTTATGTCTGCACAAATGTTTCTTGATACAATGTACGGCGACCCATCAGCAGCTTCCCGAGCCAGCTCCAGAGCACCGACTCCAATGGTGGTACGTTCCGCCTCATCAACGTCTACAGCTACTCTCAACACAACGTTCCATCCGACCTCACATGGTCTCTACCCCTCCTTGCTAGGCTTGGAGACGAGCAGTCCAAAGACTATCAGAGTAGTGCGCGAGAATCAAGAGTCTATCCATGACCAGAAAGAGACAGAAAGTATTCTGTCCACCCTCTACTCGATCCCAGCTTCCTATGTCCCATCCTACATGCAATCCACCTTTGCAAAAGCAGTGAAGTCAATTACTAAATCTCCAATCAAGGGCGAATCCTATCCACCTCCTACCCCACGAAAGAACTTCCTCCAACGACCGAGTCAACTACCCCAAGTGCCGGATATCAGCAATGTTTTGGTAGACGTGGATCCTAACGCTGAATACGCGATTTTGATTTCGATGTATGAGGTTTATAATGATCGCATCTTTGATCTGTTGACGCCTGCTTCGCCCAATAAGTCAACGAAGGAATTCCGACGACGACCGTTGCTGTTCAAGCCTACAGAGCAATCTCCGGATAGGAAAGTTGTTGCTGGTCTGAGGAAGATTATTTGCGGGACCATGAAGGAAGCACTTATGGTTCTTGAAGCAGGATTACATGAACGACGCGTTGCTGGCACTGGTTCCAATAGTGTATCCAGTCGAAGCCACGGCTTCTTCTGCGTTGAAGTGAAGAAGAGAAGAAGAAGCAGGATGCCTGGTCAATGGGGAGGCAGTGCACTTACCATTGTTGATCTTGCTGGGAGTGAGAGGGCAAGAGACGCTAAGACACAGGGGGCGACGTTGCAGGAGGCGGGGAAGATTAATGAGAGTTTGATGTATCTTGGGCAGTGTCTGCAGATGCAGTCTGATCTTGGTTCTACCACGAAGGTAAATCCATCTCCCATCCTCTTTCCCTCACCTCTCATACTAACATCCCAAGCCAAACCTCGTCCCATTCCGCCAATGCAAGCTCACTGAGCTCCTATTTTCCAACTCCTTCCCCCCAACCTCCCAACAATCCGTCCCGTCAACCCCCTCCCACTCCTACCACTCCCACCACCCACACCCATCCTCTCACCGTACCCAGCCCCAAAAGGCAATAATGATCGTCACCGCCGATCCGCTCGGAGACTTCAATGCCACCTCTCAAATCCTTCGCTACTCCGCCCTCGCACGAGAAATCACCGTTCCGCGGATTCCATCCGTTACGTCCACAATCCTCGCTCAATCAACTGCTAGCCACTACTTCTCTCCTCGAGCAGGAGGCAGGATGTCCCCATCCGAAACAGAACGCGAAACAATGGAAATCGCAGCCCTAGAAATCGCCCGCATGTCCGAGGAAATCGACGGTCTCCGCCATGAACTGAGTAAGAGCGAGAGTGCTCGGATGGAGTTGGAAGCACATCTTGAATCCTTCCAAGATCGCGCTGTGGAGATCGAGGCTGAGGTTCGAGAGGAGTGCTATATGGAGATGGAGAAGAAGATGCAATCCGAGTTGCAAAGATGGAAGATTGTTTGGGAGAGTGAGAGGGAGAGGGGGGAGGCGCATTTGGATAAGAAGATGGAGATTTATACGCGGAGCATTGATGCCGTGGACGAGGAGTCGGAGAATAAGGAGAATGAATTTGATCTAGAAGCCGAAAATGACCGGTTGCGAAGAGAAGTCGAGATGTTGAGACGCGATATTCAGAGTAGGAGTCCGAGCAAGAGGATGCCATTGAGAGAGTCGAGAGCTTATTCTGGACGGGACTCAAGGGTTTGTGGTGAGAGTGAGAGGGGAATGGAGAGCGTGGGAAGAGAAATGGAGAGGTTGAGGATGAGCGGAGAGTCTGTTTTGAAGGGTGGACAGCCAATTATGAGCAGCCCAACGAAGAAAGTGAGGAAGCTGACGGCGAGGAAGTGGGATTTGATGGATGAGCGCGAGATATTGTAGTTCTTGACAGAGGTGGATGAGTGGAGTTGTGGGAGTTTATGTTGAGTAAGATGTTAGAGTCGTTTGGGCCAGCGAGTTGTGCCATGCATGGCGTTTTGGATGTTGTTTTTGTTTTGGAGTATTGGATCGATAATATGTGAATGAAGTATTGATCTCACATCCACTTTGTTCTGCGGGCTGTTCGTGAGGAAAGAAGAATATTATATCAGTGGAATAGTTTCCAAACTGCCCTCATCTTTTTGCCGATCCCTGTACTAATCTCCCTTTGTTCTCCCCATTACTTCGGGATATTGGATTTGGTGATTGGGGACATGTGGTGGCGTCTTTGAGCGGCCAAAGGGCAATCCCCGCTCACAGAATCGGCACCTCAGTTTGAAGGTCACGTCGGAAGTCTTGCTTTGGTATGACAAGAATTGTTTTGCACGCCGGCAAGCGTGTGGGGGTCCACGTCAGCCATTCTTGAGAGATGTAGGTTTGGGAAAGTATAAGCAACTATTGGTGGCATCGACGTAAACTGTGTGACGAGCAGTCATGCAGCTGATTTTCTACACCTTTCTTGCTGAGCTCCTATTCGGTTTTCGAAGTGGCAGTGGCTTGGTGGAAGGATGCATTTCGTGGTGTCCATTCAGAAGCGGCTTCAGAAATCTGCACCTTTTTCTAAGTGGTTCATCATCCTTACCCTCCAACCATCCTGTGCTCTTCCATTTCATATTCTCTTTCGATCCCTCCTTTGCTTCTTAACCCACAAACGCTCAACTGCTTTCCGCAAGGTTTTGTTTCCCTCAAGTGCTAAGTCAAGAAGTCATCATGTCGGCTCCGAGTATACTTCCAAAGATGTCCGAGGAAATCCCAGCCTCGTCCGCATCCGATCAGCGGCAGCCTCGCAAGCTCACAGCTCTCGAACGCAATAATCTGGAATGGGAATCCCACAAAGATGAAATCCGAAGAATATACATGGAGCAAGACAAAACACTCAAGGATACGATGCAGTATTTCAAACAAGAACACAACTTCAGCTGGAGGTGAGTGCAGAACAGTGTGGGCAAAAACTACTCAAGCTACTCAAGCTACTCTAGAGTAGTCTTGAGTAGAGTAGAGTAGAGTTTGAGTAGCGTAATATGGTACTTGAGTAGAGTAGAGTAGAGTACTACTCTAGAGTAACTCAAGAGTAGTCACGTGAAAGTTATATAAAAGTAATAAATCAATATTTATTTAATTATTAATAAATAAATAAGGTACCTATTAAGCAGTATTATATAATTTAAGCTAGCGCTTATATAGGGCTACTTAAATACTACTTTTCTCCTCAAAAAAATAGCTTTCCCTTCTCGGAATCTTTCTTTTTCTTCTTTTTTTCTTCTCTTTTTACTTCTTACAATTCGTCTTTATATTACCCCTAGCTTTTTAAGCAAGATATTATCTTAATTATACTCTTATTAAGTCTATTTTGTAATTTAGATATAATAAGAGTACCTTGAGAGAAGAGTTTGCCCTTAATAGCCAAGGAAGCCTAAGAATATATTAAGCTAGTAGAGGGTCTACCTTGCTTACCAAGCCTCGCTACTACTTGATTGGGCAGTGCAGTGGCGCTAGACTCGGGCCACCCCGGAGCCTTACCCAATTAAGCTAGTATATCACGTGTAAAATCACGTGCATACTACTCAACTACTCTAGAATATTCTAGAGTAGTTGAGTAGAGTATTGAGTAGAGTATGAGTAGTGAGAAATTCATTTGAGTAGAATATGAGTAGTACCCGCTACTCTACTCTACTCTACTCATTTCTCACACTGGTGCGGAATCTTTAAAATCTGATACAATAGTGACATGTCACAGTGAACGCAAATGGAAAGAAAAGCTGCAGGAATGGGGGTTCGAGAAGAATATCCCTGCCAAGGAGATGAAGTTCATGGCAACCAAAGCCTGGAAGAGGGAATTAGAAGAAGGAAAAGAGACGCTATTTTGTCGCAATGGGACGGTGGTTGATCGCGGCAAGGTCGAGATGTTCAAGAAGCAGAAACTGAATTCGGAGAACTCTTTCGTTATTCGGTCTATACCAGGTGAATTTTGTTCTCGAGGCAATGCGGTAGATGTGACTGACATCAATAGGAACGCCTCAACACATATCCTATAAAACGCCGAAACCAATTTCAAGTGATGACCGTCATTCGAGATTATCGGAAGAGGACAACGAGGTACAAAAAGCTGATCTTCAAAAGTTGGCGGCGGCGGTAGGCGACGATCCAACTGCAAATGGAATCAAGCGCAATGCTTGCAAGCTCCGTGGTAGAGATGGAGGTAGACTCCAAAGACGAGCGTTCGGAAGCGAGTCAATACCTGGAAATTCCGGAGTCAAGCCATGTTGACGATGGCCACATGGTGAGGGGATGTCTCACGCGTTTTGACGTAATATTAGTCTCATCGGCGTTGGAAAGACTCCTGAATTCATATCAAGGATTCCCTCACAAACTAAACACTCATCGGATTATTATCGCTCTGAGCGATTTAGATGCTACCAGGCCACTTTATTCAGCTCTTCGAATGTTCCTGGAGGGATCCGCGGCGCAGCTGGGAAATCGAAGTGCTTTGAAACGATTTCGTCTCCTTTTACTCGTCTTTGCGTGTGAGCTGAAGGTGTACATAAGTGGTGGCTCATCGCACTGGCTGGAACTCACAATTTATGGCCTTTGTAAAGCCTCGCTTGACTTATGGCGGCCAGAGGCCTCATTCGAACGCGAGTTGGGTTTGCTCGCCCCAGCGGGCAAGAGACACTTGTATTTTTTAATCGATGCTTTCTGGGAGGATGACGGTAAAATGTTTACCAATCATCGGTCAGTGCAGGTGCTTGGTACACGACTTGCCTCCGGATGCTCAGCTTTGGGTTGGTTACATGAAGCGGAAGTACTATTCATAGTCCTTCGAACCACTCTGAAGGCAAACCCTGTCTTGAGTCACGGTATAACTCAGATTGCAGTTCAGTATTGTCTACATCTAGAGAGAGAGAAACGTTATGGAGAAATTCTCTCCGTCCTTTACGATACATATACAGATCTGAGCAACATCTATGACATGGATGGAAAATGGGAGAGGGTTCTATCTGTTCCTGCGGAACTGCACCCACATCTTCTCACCATGAGAGACATCATGAACGACATTCCGCGGCCACTCAACCAGCACATCTCCCCAGACAACGTAAATCAGCTTTCGACACTAGTGAATCTATTCGACGAAGAAATTCGGCGTTTTGAATGCGAAGAAAATGAGGACAGGAGCGAAGGTGCAGTGACAGAGGACGGCGAGGTCGATTGCGAGAGTTTAAATAAGTTCGGAGTGACCTATACTGAGAGTGTCATTACGGGGATCAGTTTCAACTACTCAGACTTATACAGATGAAAGAGGATTACTTGAATGTTTGCAACGATCTTTTCGGTGGCATTCCTTTGGCTCACTAATCTGGTTATTGGGGTCAATATTTCCTTCAGCATATAATACCGTACCTCAAATTCTTGCAGTTACTCCGCGACCTCGGTCTATTATCAAGTTGACCGTTTTTGCTTCAGCCCTTTATACAAATTCAATACTTTTCCTCTACATGCACAACTTCCACCTTGGCCATCTCTCATATTCACAAGCTCCACTAAACTCGCGTCATCTTCCGCTCTCTGCCCTCTGATTGATTTCGAAGCTTTCCTCCGATCTCTTGTATGTAGACAAGTTCCAACCATGGAAAAGACCCGGCCATGGAGACGGAGATGACTTCAACGGTATAACCGCATTCCCATCTGGGTGCTGGATCTGTATCAATTTTAGACCACGGGGGCAGGATAAGATTTAAACCGATCTTGAAAACCCGGATATAATGTAATCGGATAGAATGAACTGACTGCTGTTCCGGACATAATCTGTATTGGGCTCAATCAGCATTGGAGGAACTTTATTGGCACGTGGTGGAGATATACCATCGCTCCTGTAGTGATTGTTCGTGCTTCTGCATTATCTTTCATGGCGATGTTGACCCATGGAATGAGAATTAGGGGTAAAATGGCGGTAAATTCAGATAAATATTAGGCAAAGACTTGAAGGCAGCATCAGTGCTTGATTAACAAGTATTTCTGCTCGTACTTACACTTACAGCGCAAGGGCAGGGGTTTTAGTTGAACCATAGTATCGCTTAAGTTGAACCATATTATCAAACTCTGCATATGCTCGTTTATTTAGCTGAACCATAGTATTGCTTAAGGAAGCGAGACAGCTAGCCGAGCAAATGAATAGGTTTTGTGGCCATTATATTTTAGACATATGCTGTGTATATGCTCTCCTTATGCGGGCTAGGAAGGTTCGGGTCAGTCCCGAGCTTGCGAGGGGCCTTAGGGTCAGGGGTTAGGGTCAGTCCGGGGGGTTGGGGGATGGTGAGAGCCCCCCGCATTGGGATATATTAAAGCATTGAGGCCCTACGGGTTAGGGGTTAGGGCTTAGCATATGCTAGGGTATATGGGTTCCATATGCCGAGCATATGCTTGAGTAATAATAATAGTAAAGCAAGATATATTCTAACTTACTTATGTGCTGCTTCTTAGTAGTAAATGCTAAGTATATGCTGGGAGTATGCCTGGTGGGCCGTTGGGAGGAGGTCGGGGTTGGAAGATAGGAATGAACGAGGACAGGTGTCTATATTTATTAAAGATAGTGAGTACAGTGTGGTTTTTAGTAAGGGAAGTTGAACTAAATTATGGAAAATACAAGGGTATTGTCGATCAATTTTCTCTCTTTTCTGCTTCCCATGCGGTTAGTAAGCTTGCCGCTCTTGCTCAGGCGCTAATCACCCTCGGCTCAGTCGCCTGAGTAACCTGAGCACTCTGAGCAACCCACCTGAGCAAGCTGAGCGCCCTGAGCAGCTCGCCTGAGCGGGCATGAGTATTCTGAGTAACGAGGCGGATTAAATTTATAACCGGGAAACCTCCCAAATTTAAGTAAGACCTTTTCTGTAATAGAATTAATTATTTCTCTATAAATTATTTATAAGGTCTTTTGAAGTTCGATTATTATAGTCTTTGAATTATATTTAATATTTATATGAGTTTTGAAAGTATATTAATCTCTTAATTCGTTATTATACTATGAAAAATCGCAGAATCCGGAAATTGCATTTCCGGTTATAAATTTAATCCGCCTTGTAAGATTTACTATATTATTACGTATTTTAACTTCTTGCTTTTTAGTTAATTATACTTAATCTAAAATGAGTTTATTAATCCTATTAAAAACCGTCTAATTTAAGTCCCTTTATATGCCAGAGCTTCTAATATAAGAGCAATTTTCATATACTAGCGGATATCTAATTCCGGTCTATAATAGATATACTAGCGCCCGTCTAGCTCTAGCCTCTTTAATCCCTAGTATTATGGTAGCCGATCTCTCTCGTACTAGTATATTAATTATACTAATACTTAATAGGCGCTAGTACTTGGTCTGTACTAGAGCTTCTAATATAATAGCAATTCTCTTATACTAGTATCTATAATATAATAGTATTATTATATTAATCTTAATACTAGTATAAATAAAATAAGAAAGGTATTATAGTATAAGAAAAGAGGCCTCAGGTAATAAGTATAATATTAATATATAACTTAGAATATAAGGCTAAAGTACTAAGTTAAGGTAAAGAAAAAAAGGAGGTTTTATATAATACTATATTAAAATATAAAGAGAATATCTCCCTCTATTATTATATATATAGTAATGTTTTAAAGAAGATAAGGCTTAAGCTAAACTAAATTAAATTTAATAATATTAATATCTCTCTATCTCAAAGCTTCCGGGCTTATTTACAGGTCAAAATTGCCCTTTTATATAAATACCCTATTTAAAGAGGCGTTTTATCTAAGAATAAATAGCTATACTTAATATCTTCTTTAGAATCTTCTTTTTTAGAATCTTTTTTAGAATATTCTTTAGGCTAATAATTCTTCTCGAGTTTATATCCTATTACTAAGTTAGTAATTATTATAAATATTATAATAATAGAAATAACGAGAATAAAGATAAGAGCTAATATAGTAATATTAGATATATAGATAATAAAGTTACCTGTACTAATAAGGTTCTTGGAAAGTAAAATATAGTTTGGGATCCTATATATATTAGATAGATTATTTAAAGTTAGGTTAAAGAGTATATTAGAATTCCAGACAAATAATATAATAAGTAGGTAGTTTAGATCCTTATTAATACTCCTAGCTCTAGTATTAAAAGAAGTTAATATATCCTAATCTAATACTGCCAGGTTAATTATATTAAGTCTGGCAGTAGTAAACGAAGTAGGGGAATCCTATAAAAGGTATTCTAAGATATTATAATAGAATAAAGGAAATCCTGGTATATTATAGCTAAACTACCCCGGGTTTCCTATCTCTTGGCCTTTCTATATCTATAAACCCGTCTCCTAGTATAAGAGAGGGGGTCTATTAGGCTTTATAGAATAGGATATACTATTTGTTTATAGGTTAAATAATAAATCGGTGAAATACCAGGGGTCCGTACTAGGTATAAGACTACTCTTCTATAAAATAGAGATATAGGTAGTATATATATTATTATTTACCAGAGGGTTTGTAACGGTAACGGGATTAATAAAAGTAGCTTGAGGATTAGTAAGTTACTTATTATTTAAAGTAATATTCTATATAATATTCTGGTTATTCCAGAGTAAATAGGAATTATTAAGTCCTAGTATAATCTAACTATATTCCGTATAATAAAAACCCCGAAGTACAAAATATAGGTCCCTAAAGTATTATATCCCAAAATCTATCTTATTAATATTATATATATAGTTAAACTAGAGAATTACTTTACTATCCGGCATTTGCCTAATATTTGTTTCGTTAAGCTAAACTCTATATATAGCTTCGGGATTACTAATCTAGGTAATAGTAAGGCCCCGGAGTACTACAGGCTTAAAGATATTATCTAGGTCTTATATGAAATATACTAATAAACCATTTGCTAGGTTCGGAAAGAAGAGTATATTAATATTAGCCAGAGCGGCTTCTCTAATAACTAATACCTAAATTAGAGCTAGAATAATACCTATATTAGAAACCCATATAAAACCAAGGGCTATAACCCAGATAGTATTTTATAAGATAAAAGATTTAAGGTAATTCTTAATCCAGGTACAAAAATGCTAGAAACTTTTTTGGTTCTTAGAGTTTAGAACAGACTGGTTTATTATCCAGGAATAAAATACCAAGAATCTCTCTAGTTCATAAAAGGTAATACGACGAGCTTTATCTTATTTAGCTAGATCCGCCGGGTTTGCCGGGGTTACTAGGGTCGCTAGGTTTGTCGGGGTTACTAGGTTTGCTGGGTTTGCTAGGTTTGCCGGGTTTATTAGGTTTATTGGGTTTATTGGGTTTACTGGGTTTGCCGGGGTTGCCGGGGTTACTGGGTTTGCTATATATTAATAATACTATATAATAGTAGCAAAAATAAATACCTAGATCTGGATATATATAAAGCTTAATATACCAGAATAGATAGTAATAATGGATTCGCGCTAGTTAGATGAAATAGCTATAGCTATTATAGGACCAGAATTAGTTAGATAGTTAAAGACTCGCCAGAGATAATAGGTATTTCTCGGCTATTATAAACCAGAAGGGAAAACTATAGCTTGGCTTAAAAATATCCTAATTTTAATAAAGGATAATTTTTTTAGTAAGATTTAAAGAATCTGCTATAAGATAGAAGAGAGATAAAAGAAAGTCACCTTTTTAATTTCGAGTTCCGGGGATACTAAATAAGCTTTTCTGAAAAGATAATATAATTAGTAGCGGCTATAAGTTTCGTTATTAGGTGGTTTTATTAAGAATTTGGTTTATTTAAAAGGCATTCTAATTCGAGATATTTGAGAATTAAATAATATAGAAGTAATAGTATAGTACTATTTTAGTCTCGGGTTATTCCTCCTACTTAGCTACTCGAAATATGGCCTATTTCTTATACCTACCTAAATAAATTCTGTTTAGGTTTATTTATAGATTTACTAATTAGTTTTAGTATCCCGGATACTATACTAGATATCGGAGTTATATGCCCGTATATCCCGTTTCTAAATCAAGGGTTCTTTACGAAACTAGGTTTGTAGTATAATAATTACGTTCCGGTTACGAGTAATATTAGTTCGGGATATAAGGCAAGGACTTATAAATACGAGGTTCTATTAGTAATACGTTATTAAGTATGAGGGGTTTATAGCTAGGGGGTATTTACTTAGGTATGAAAGTTAAAACTTAATATCTATATATAGAAGAAGGCCGAAAATTATTTTCGGCCGGTATTTTCCGATAAGATTCTTATTAAAAAAAGCCACCTTTGGGACTAGTATGGCTAGGCAAGAATACTAGAAGCTAGTAACTAGATTATTTTAACTTTTAACTTTTATTAATTAAAAAGATATATAATTTGGATTAATTTATTAAACTTAATTAATTTTATGATTTTTATAATTATTAATTAATTTCAATTATAGTATATTATAGAATAGTTATATAAAGCTCTAAGAATAGCTTTCTTATAAAACGTCTTTTCTAGCCATATACTAATTATATTTTATATTACGGTACGGGCCGTATTAAGCCTTAGCTAAGCCTAGTATTAGGGTCAGATCCTTTTTAAATAATTAATCTTACGGGTACTAAAAAGGGAGTTTTAGGAATACTTCTTTCTTCTTCTCTTCTTTTCTTCTTTATCTCTAGATTCTCCTTTATAGCTAGCTTATAAGAACGTTCCTTTTAGCCTATATAAGTACTCCTATATACCTCTATTATAGCCTATAAACCCTCGTACTATTATACTTTATTTAAGCCTTACCCTACTAATTCCCTTTAACTTAATATTAAAATATCCAGCTTTTACTAGTCGCAAAACTCTATAAAGTAGATATATATATAAAATTTAATTAATTTTATATTTTGCAAAATTTTTATGATTTTATAATAGTTTTTATAAGTAAATTATAAGGCTAAACTACGAGTTATATACTATTTAATAAGAGGAATCCAAAATCTGCTCCGGTAGAAACCCTGGGAGGGAGCAAAAATGGCTTTTCGGGAAAAATTTGGTCAGGAAACTATAGCCGGGATATACAAGAGGCCAAAATGGGTTCCATATTATGGTATGCTCAAGATACTCGGGCTCTGCTCAGGATACTCAGGCTTTGCTCAGGCTTGCTCAGGCTTGCTCAGGCTCGGCTCAGGTATACCCACCCTCAGCTCAGGTTAAAGCAGTAGTTGCTCACGTTCGCAGACTAAAACGGAACCAGCGAAAGGGAAAATTAATCCTGAGTCCGGAGGTATTCTCGCTACTGATAATATGGTTCAACTTAAGCGATACTATGGTTCAGCTACTGGCTCGCAAGGGCAAGAGAACTTTCCATAAAAGCAACGCGGCGACAGCGAAGAGGGTAACAAAATCGATGAACGATACTCCGGACTGGATACGCCATTTGGAGAGATGTGTTGATCAGCAAAGCCACGACTAACACAGCTTGAACACCTGTGGGTATTTGACTGATTGGCTGGATGGTCCAATTGTGATGATGAGTATGAGTTGCGTTTAAGATCGCGCTCAGAGTGTGGGGGGCTGAGTTGCGTTCGCGGTTCCATTATGACTATTTGCGAAGTTAGGTAGCATGAGGATCAACATCGCGAACATTTTTAACCGGATTCATACAAAGTATAGAGTAATACCGCAATATAGAAATGCCATTTTGTAAATATTCGCTTGAGGGGTGCGCGGTTGAAGACTGGCGGAGGGGCATACCAAGATACCTCCTGGGTGCCGCCCGGGGGCTGTAATTAAGGTATCACTCTCGCTCTCGTGCTCTCTCCACTTCGGTGGTGAATGCCATCTTCATATCGAGATCGGTATAGTTTAAGCGTGGAGACTAGTAAATTACTTTGAGAACAATTTTATGCTAGATAAAAGGAAAGGACCGTGCTGGTGGAATCGTGACGGCAAAGATTTTGGCACAAGGCCTTTCTTACCAGACAAACGAGACGGTAGGAGCGTGCGGCCTTTTTGCCAGAATCTTGTGGCGCTTGTGGATGTAATTGTCCGTATTTTGAGACTTACTATAATCTCGGTGATATATCAATGGAACAAGGAAGTTGCGTGGGAACGGAAGTAAGAGGCGAGAAAGCAGCAAAATATATCGGGTAAGGAAGGTGGGGGCCAGGGGCCACATCACTAGCAGCCGAATTGATCTACCGCCAGGAGTTCGAGCTAAGCGAGCAGCCCCCTTTTTATCATGTGCCACGACGCGCGAGGTAAAATAAGTATAATCCACAGCGCACTCAATTTCTTGATTGACACAGTACTCTTTGCGTTCTTTTTTAAACTCGGACTTTGCACCCTGTCAACTGTCGATCTGTGTGCTACTCCTGTCCTGCTTGTATCCAATTTGTATACACTAACATGCATCTTTCCCTTAGTCCACTATACCGATCGATTAAACTACTGCAGACCTGTAGATATCCGACAGAACCAAAGTTTTGGAATTATATTGGGGGCCAAACCTAGTATTTCTTGCTCAGCATTGCCCCGCCTCGTAACCCCACGTAGAAGTGCTCAACAAACACAGCCCCATCAAAAGAGATACACTTCACCCGGAGACTGCAAGGAAATCGAAAATACTGCCATGTTTCCCTCTTACACAGGTCCTCCGCGGAATTTCAAACTACCCGAGATTAGATCGAGGAGACTTAGAAAGTGAAGCGCCCCGTAGATACTAGATTCGTCAAACCCTTGCGCCAAACCCCAACCGCTATATACGCTCCCTATTATCGTTTCATTCATAAGTTCGTCAGTGACTACAAGACACCATCCATTCCATCCATTCGTTTGTCTCGTCCTCCTTTTCTCTTCGATGTACGCACCTCCGCTAGTCTCCGATGACTAAAGACCAGCACTTCCTGGCCACTGGGCTTCCAAGTCAGGCTGGGCACCCCCACCTACCACATTCTCCCCAGCTCCTTCGCCCCCTTGTCTGTCTGGGGCTGGTTTACGCTCCAAGTTGAGATCGCCATTTTTCTTGAAACCAGCAGCTGTAGCATTATCCAGCGAATGCGTGGGAACGGCAGAACTGCCTTCCTGTTGAATGGCATGTATTTTCTCGACCTCAACCTGTCTCTTTTTCACATTCTTAGCCACCTCGTGGCCAGAATTTTGTGTAGGATCATTTTCAACATCTCCATCCTGACCCGGATTCGCCATCTCGTATTCCAAAACTTTTATCAACTGGTAGAAACCAACTGCCATCACCGATCCCACAAAGGGACCAACCCAATAAATCCAATGATCACTGGTGAAATCATGTGAAATGGCGGCAGGACCAAAGCTTCGAGCTGGATTCAATGAACCTCCAGTGTAGTATACAGCTACTAACTCCGCGATGAAAAGTGAAAGGCCAATTCCAACTGGCGCAATGAATGTGGCCCTGTGTTTCTCCTTCGCAAGCATGATGATTGTGAATACCAGCTCGGCGGTACAGAGTGCTTCAATCCAGACTCCTTGAGCCACTGTTGTCCCAGCTCCGAGGGTCGTTTGGACGTTGAATCGACTTGGGAAGATGACGCTGACGAGATAGGCGGCGAAACAGGCCCCGCTAATTTGTATTATGAGGAGGAGGACCGCACGGAGTGGATCGAGGTCTCGGGTGATGGTAAGTGCGAGAGTAACCTGTCATGTTAGATGCTGCATGACTTGTAGATACCAGACTTACTGCCGGGTTGAACAGCCCACCACTGATGCGGAAGAAAATCCACGCATTGACAGCAAGACTGAATCCGAATGACAGGGATATGTATAGTAATTTGGATGGATCCACTCCGGTATTCGAGCCAGTTGTACTATTGTTGGCGGTTGTTCCAGCACCAATATTCGCTACTTGTGTACCGCCGAATGCGAAGAAGAGGAAAAGGGTAGTACCGATGAATTCGGCAATCATGGCAACAGTATCTGCCAGCCTGTCAGTTGGAGATTCGTTCAAATAGAAGATTACTTACGATTCTTCCATTCACTGTTCATCCATTTGATCCATTGTACATGCCCTGGAATTTTTTCTTTCTCTTTTAAGCGTTTTCTGATATGTCTCCTGGAAATGCCGTTTCGGGTGGTTTCCGTTCCAGTTGAGTCGTCGTCCCTCCCTCCCAAGTTTCCAACTGCATTGCCATATGCTCTGCGAACATTATTATCTTGCTTCCGAGCCCGTATACCAGAAGTATCTCCAGTCTGGTTCCCAATATTATTGCTATTATTGTCTTGATAGGTCTGGCTTGTGGTTGCTTTCCCCGAACGTGGTGGGAAGTCAGAAATAGATGTCATCGTGATGGTATCAACGTCCAAATGAAACATTCAGGAGAAACCCCGAACGCAGGTTAACATACTAGATCTCGGCGTGAAGAATTTCTTAAATGCATATAAATTTCAAGTTTTTCGATCCGAATCCTACCAAGACGCTATCGATGATCGTGTGGCTTTGCTAAGATTCTGATGTCACACTAAACGCGGGATCTAAGGCGCTAGGTGGCACGATGGCTCCGATCTTGTCCCTTTTCAGAGAGACGCACTGATCTGGGGTAGCCACTGAGACCCCCCACCGGAATTCTCCAGAGGAGCTAACGAAACCCGAATTGATCTGCCTCAGCAGTTTCCTTGTGCAACCCGAGCGCATCACGTGAGGATTTGCATATTCCGTGCCAAAAGGAGGCGTTAGCAATATGGAGAAGAGCACCTTTCCTTCGAACCAAATGAGTAGCTTAAATGGAACGCCAATGAACAGCCCACAAGCAAACTCCACAAGAACAGGATTGATGAGGATACTCACTCCTATTCAACTTCCTTCCAAAACAAGCTTTCCTCTGATTATTCGTCAGACTCAAGTCCACACAACTATATTCTTACCCACATTCAAACAACCATGGCTGTTGAAGTATTGGGATGAAGCTTATTGAGCTACAGCCACATTATCTTTATTGTACTTGCTGCCAAAGCCACGACCTGTAATAGTCCAGGTCCCTGCGCTCTCTTTACTTAAAGACTTTACTTCAACGCTATGCACATTTTTTCGCTTACATTGTTGCCACCTCTCTCGCATACAATAAAGAAAAGAAAAACTCTCAAGCGACCATTATTTAACACGTGTATATTGTAGCCTTGAGTCATACTTTGTGCGCCGATCGCTTTCTGGTCGATGCATTTCTTCGAAGACTATTGGCTTGCTTTCATATAATGGGTTCCTGTTTTCTTTTTTATTATTGGTATGCAGAACACAGGTTGCAGGTGAATATATCAGGATGCAGGGGTTGGGTATGAAATTTCAGAGCATTATTGCCACTCCTAAGTACTTAAGTTTTGAAATCCGGTTATATAGCCTCTCTTTATACATCACTATTACAGCACAGTTACGGCAGCGTTGGGGTTAGGATTATTCCTATTACTTCTTAATATTATTATTATTATTATCTCATTCGTTGCCAATGCTATCCAGAATGCGAGCTCCGAGTGAATAGACTCCGGTCTCTACCTGTTATTAATATTGTCCAGTTGCCTATCGCGCTTACTCTTGTTAGTCTGCTTCAGTATATCAAAGGAATACCCAAACTACTTAAGTTATTTAAGTATATGCTTATTGAGTATTAAGTAGAGTATAAGTAGCCCCTTTATAACTAAGCTTAAGTAGAGTAGAATAGACTACTTAAGTAGTTTATTTTATTAAATAACTCTTCTTATATTATAAATACTATTTATTTTTTCTCTTTATTATCTTGCTTTACCTTTATTACCTTTTTTACTACTTTATATTTCTCTAATACTACTTATTATACTAGTAAAAATTAATATAGTAATTATATATTATTTAATATATATAACTACTAAATAATAAATTAAAGAAAAAAGAAATATATAGGGTTTATTTTAATTTCTACTTACTTTTAGATATAATATAACCTTTTAAAGCAAGTTTAAAGATAATAATTAAGTCGGGGGACCCCCTTATAGGGATACGTGCTTGCATGTGGCTCACTACTTAATAAGTATTGAGTAGAGTATAAGTAGGACATATTTTGGCTGAGTAGAGTATGAGTAGGACCCACTACTCTACTCTACTCATTTAACACACTGGTCTGCTTGATCTTAGAGGAAGGGTTTAAAAGTTCACACTAAAATATTAAAACAGAATAAAAAGTCAGCTCAGAAACTGTTCGGACTCATGTTCCTTTCGACTGGTTCTAATTCGGCTGTTCGGCGTCTTGCCAATTGCTACTATACCTAGCTCCCGCAGTTATTACCTTAACCAACTTCTGTCCTTAATGATTCACTAATGGCCAGTCTAGGCAGCAATTCCTAAGGTCATGAAATATTACAAGGCCAGATATTCCTTCATTATTTCTATAATCTATTGCATGCCAAACAGCACACAATCTACTACGGACTTATCAATTCACTGTCCTTACAGCCTCCTCATGGGCAGTGAATTGTAGGGCTGGACCTCGTGGTCTCATCATCAGTCGTACTCGGACGAAGAAGAGCAGTGAGGGAAAGCTGTCTTAGTGGCGAGAAGCCTGACGTGAAATTGGTTCCTCTGTTGGGGACAATATAGATGGTAGAATATATGGTATGGACGCTGAGAGAGCTTGGATGTTATTAAAAGCCTTGGAGTGCGTGATCGGGAGCTGGTCATTGTTGACTAATTGTTTCTTGTCAGGGTGAAGACGCGTGGAGCTCACTTTCGGAACCCTCTAAGTTCTGATTTTCGCGGATTCACCTTAGACTTCTAGCAGAGCATGAACTCCGAGGCCTTTTCACATTTGCACCAAGCTCATGATATGCTTCCCTTTTCATATTCATTGCTGGATTTATGCTCACATCTTACTAACTTCTTAACATGTTTCGGGTCTTGGTCAAACTTTGCCCTTCTTTGCGAGAGGGCGTTAGTGGTCCTGGCTAATGGCTGGGCGACTCAAGTTGAGTTGTAAGCGACGGCTTGGTGCCTTTTTGGTGTGTGTTCATAGCCAGATAATCGGGACTAAAACAGAGAACGAGAAGCGAGCATCAGAACAATATTTCACTCGTCAGACTCGGATCCACCACTGCCACGGACTTGGGGGTGTTTACGATAGGCGAGAAGTGGCTTTCTTACGACAGGGGTTTCCGCCCAAGACTGGTTTCAAACCTTACGTTTATCTGTCATTTCGTAGGTTCGAATACGACTCTGATAACATCTCGTATTACCAATGGCCTCCGAAGTTGATACTGAATGCAGTTTTGGGGCTGACGTTCTCTCGGTCATCTGGGTATATAAGATCATCGAAGCACCCCCTCTGAGTTCTCTCTTGATAACTCATTCAACCCATATCCAAGATTGCCGGTAACAAGTCAAGTAAAATGCTCCTGCTAGCAATATGTGTGATATTTTTGGTTGCTGCGACCATCTACGTTTACTATCCATCGTCACCTATCAATGACCAGTTGTTGGCCATCAAAGCACAACATGGTGTTGGAAATTGGTGCCTAAGGCTACCAGTGGCAATTCAGCTATGCAGGGGCATTCAGCTGTGCAAGGGTGTTTAGCTATGCAGGGCATTCAGCTAAACATGGGTTTTCAGTGGTAATAGGGGCCATTTGGACATGTATAAGTATAGGCCTTAGATCACTGCAAAATGGACAGTCGTCTGAGAAGCATTGCACGTGACGTTTGCTTTGAATTCTCAACACATGGCTGTGAACCATCACGTCACGTGCCACGGCCATACTTTGCCATTCCAGCAGGACTGGATTTCTTGAAAGCACTCAAGGAACACAGGGGGATGCAATACATTCAATTGGAGTTCGCCCAATATGGACACACTTTCACTCAATGGCAGCTTGGAAGCCACTATATCTGGAGTGACGAGCCGGCGAACATCAAAGAAGTTCTCACAGTCCAGTTCCCCAATTTCAGTATGGGAACTGTCCGGCGTGACGCAGCAATACCGTTGATTGGGAACGGCATCTTTTTGAGTGAAGGTGCGCGATGGTCTCATCTTCGCTCCGTCATCAGGCCGCCCTTCAACCGAGCCCAGGTCGCCGATCTCACCATGTTCGAGGCTCATCTCCAAGACCTCTTTGCTCGTATTCCTGAACACGGCACCACTGTGGACTTACAAGACCTGTTCTACGATTTGACCTTGGATAATACGACGGACTATTTATTCGGCTACTCAATCAACACACTCCGACCGGATTCTGACCAAACCTACAAAGATTTCAACGTCGCTTTCACTCATGGCCTTAGTCGCATCTGGCCCCGCACTCGAATGAGATTCTTGATGGATCTTATACCAGATCCCGAGTTCCGAAAGTCCTGCAAGGTAGTCCATACGGTTGTTGACAATCTCATCTCGCAATCACTTTCTACCCGGAAGTCGACGGATTTGGAGAAAGACCCAGCTAGGTACATATACCTTCACGAAGTGGCAGTCTCAACCGATGATCCCTTAGAATTGAGAGCCCATGTGTTGAGTATTCTCATGGCGGCAAAGGATAGTGCAGCTGCGGGCTTGTCCTCCACTTTCTACCTTCTCGCAAGGCACCCAGAGGTGTGGAATAGACTCTCAATAGAGATTGGCGAACTCAACGGGAAGATTCCAACCTTCGATCAGCTCAAGAAGCTGAAGTATGTATACAACGTCATCAATGAAGGTATTTCCTGGGCCCGGGCCTCTTGCTTCGTGCAGAATTTTGACGTGATTTGTAGTGATGCGACTATTTCCACCGGTTCCAATCAATGTTCGTCGAGCAACAACAGATACTTACCTTCCTAAAGGCGGTGGACCATCCGGAACCAAACCAATGCTTGTCAAAAAAAACGATACTTTTTTTTACTCGGTGTATGCGATGCATCGGCGGAAGGATCTCTGGGGCAACGATGCGGACGAATTCAAGCCTGAGCGTTTTGAGGGTCGCCAGCCTGGACCGGAGTTCCTGCCTTTCAATAGTGGACCGCGAATTTGTGTTGGCCGTAAGCTCAATCCTATGTTTTGAGTCTTTATGATTTTTCGGAGGAAGCTGACTTAGGTCCTTTAAACCAGAAGTGTTTGCGATGACCGAGATGGCGTACGTGATCACGAGGATGGTTCAATGTTTCGAATCTATTGAGTCGAGAGACAAGAGTGAGTGGAAAGAGAGGTTGGGAGTGAATCTCTCTAGTCTGAATGGTGTCAAGGTTGGACTTACTGCTAGGGAGAGGTGATGAGCAACGCTTGTGCCGCGTTTGGTAACATTCAGTTTGTCAAGGTCCTCCAAATGATATCCTAGCTTGGTCCAGCAATTTCTCATTGCACATGACGTTGAATGATAAGTTTGGGGGACACGTGGGTGAGAAATAGATGCTGGCCCTTAACGCGATCACGTGATCCTATATCTTTTCCGAATAGGGGAAGATCTGCAAACTCGTTTTTCCGCAAAACCCTGCCTTACGGAAAGCCGTAAGGATCAAAAGACCAAGCGATTTTCGAATCTGGTTTTCGACCTTCGATGTCTGATTTGTGGCACGTGCACACCCCACCAAAAATCACAAACACCCATATACTACGCCTATATATTACGTCCCCTCTCCCTGTGCCTCTATTATTACTTTAAATATTTCCTCTCTTTAATTCTTCTCGCTCTCTTTATAAGTATAAGGGTAAGAGAGGGGGAAGGGAAGGGGGGGAGGGGGGGAGGGCAGGGCAGGGCAAGGGGACCTTACTAAAAATTTACATTGCAAAGCACTAAATTTTTAGTACCTATAGCCTATAATTTAGTGATTGTGGCCCTAAAATTTAGCGATAAGTAGCCTATAATTACAGGGCTTCCTTTTTTTCGCGAGTCGCATGCCTTGAAGCTCGCTTTTCGATTTTCGCTTATCGCTTTCCACTTTTCACTTTTCACTTTTCATCACTCGCCTTCCAACCCCCCGCCCCCTCCCCCCCTCTCCTATATATATAAATATAAATAAGAATCAAAGAGAGAGTAATATTTTAAGCAGTAATAATAGGTAGAGGCACAGGAAGAGAGGGCTAATATATAGGTGATTTTTGGTAGGGTGCGCACGTGCCACAAATTAGACATCGAAGGTCGAAAACCAGATTCGAAAATCGCTTGGTCTTCTGATCCTTATCGCTTTCCGTACTGCCTACCCCGCTGCCCATCAACGCAAATCCTTACTCAACATGTTCTCCCGTTACACAATCTCGCGATGATATCACCCCGAGGGAACAGTTGACCCGGTGGCATTCCACCAATAACTCGCGCGATGTTGTTTTTCGGTCCGAAACTATGGTAAATATATATGCCCACTACCTCCCTGTTTTTCGTAACCTGCTTGGCAACTTTCTAGATTGAATCCAGCGCTTTTGGTTTCAAGATGGCTTTTCTTAGAAAGCGCTCCCTGAAAGTCAGCGACGACGAGAGGACAACGGCTGCGGAATTGACTTTGAGACAATCGATATATCCGCTGTGTCTCGTGACTATTCTCTTCTTCCTATGGGTGAGTTGGATATATCATTTGTTGGATTCTACTAACAAATCCAGGGTTTCTCTTACGGCCTTCTTGATACGCTGAACAAACATTTCCAAAATACACTGCACATCAATAGAGCTAGATCTTCCGGTCTTCAAGCTGCTTATTTCGGCGCATATCCTCTCGCCTCTTTGGGTCATGCAAACTGGATTCTTCGCCATTATGGATATAGAGCCGTCTTCATCTGGGGACTTTGTCTATATGGGCTCGGTGCCTTGATTGCTTGGCCATGTCTCCTCCACCGCTCGTTCGGAGGCTTCTGTGCTGCTATTTTCATCATAGGAAATGGGTTGGGGTCGCTGGAAACAGCTGCAAACCCATACATTACAGGTCAGTCCCTAGCATTTCTTTCAAGTTCGCGACAGCCCCTAGAGATCAGTTTACTAATAATGTCGATCTATAGTATGCGGCCCACCAAGATATGCCGAGATGCGAATCAATATCTCGCAAGCTTTCAACGGTGTTGGCACGGTTATTGCTCCAGTGTTAGGCTCATATGTCTTCTTTCTCAAGACTGGCGAGGACGAGAAAGCTTTGAAGAATGTGCAATGGGTCTACCTGGCTATTGCCATATTTGTGTTTCTCCTCGCAGGGGTATTCTATTTGTAAGTGCCCCTCCCAATGTCGACTGTGGGACAGGTTGGGCATAGATACTGACTTCGAGGTTCTCAGCTCCACCATCCCCGAGATCACCGATGCAGACATGGCTTTTCAAGCAGAAGAGACACATGCGAATGTAGAGGTAGGACCATTCCACAAACAATATCGCCTCTTCCATGCAGCGTTCGCACAATTCTGTTACACGGGCGCTCAAGTAAGAATTTCTACTAAGGTTCAACTCCACATACTAACCAGGCGTCCAGGTTGCCATCGCAGGCTACTTCATCAACTATGTCACTGAAACCCGTCCAAACACAAGTTCCTCACTGGCAGCAAAGTTCCTTGCCGGTGCTCAAGCCTCGTTTGCCATGGGACGCTTCACCGGCGTTGGATTCATGAAGTTTATTCGCCCAAGATGGGTCTTTCTCGCCTACCTTACCATGTGCATCGTCTTCGTCGCACCAAGTATCACACAACGAGGCAATACCGGCATGTCAATGCTGTACATCACCCTCTTCTTCGAATCAATCTGCTTCCCAACAATCGTCGCACTGGGTATGCGAGGGCTTGGCAAACACACAAAACGGGGATCAGGTTGGATTGTTGCTGGTGTCTCCGGAGGGGCTTGTGTACCGCCGTTGCTAGGTGCCGTTGCAGATCTTCATAACTCGACGGCTAAGGCAATGGGTGTACCTTTGGCTTTCTTTATTGCAGCCTGGAGTTATGCCCTTTGTGTGAACTTTGTGCCGTCGTATAGAGATCCGGCTGATAAGTTCTCGACGACGAAGGTGGGACTTGAGGAGAGCACTGGGTCAGTGGACGATGTTGAGAGCGGCCCGCGAAGTGGCGTTATGGAGAAGGAGCATGAGGGTGGCGAAGTGCAGCACGTTAATTCGTCCCGTGAGGTTGTGGGAAGTTAGGTTGAGTCGGGGAGACAAGAGTAAGGATTTGGACTCTTTCATTGTGCACGTTATCCTCTTTATTGTATTACATCACGATTTCCTTTCAGCCTGGAGCACCAATGCTCCATCTACCGTGACACTCGACATTGTATCTAATTCATCCTCTCTTCAGGATTTCTCAAGATTAATCAAGAACGAGCAGCTATTGGTTCTGCAATGAAGAGGCACAACACAAAATTTTACTACCCCCGGCGAATTTATGAAGTTTCGTAACTCTTCCGCCCTCAAGTCTGTATACCTTTGGCTCGAATGACCCCGACGTTTTACACGACGAAAGGTTTTATTATTTCACATGATCTTAAGTAATCCTGTTTTGAAGTCTACGAAGATTTGCAACTTCAGCCCATACTCGGCGGAGACAGTTACTCTGTAGAGACTGGCCGAGTTCTACTCAAGTCAGAGATCGAGTCTGATTGGAGCTAGACCCGAGTTTGCTTGCTCTGGAGTGTAATAGTTGGGAATGGTCTGTTACCCCCCGTTCGTCAATACGAGCGATTGATTAATCGGTCCTAAGCGAGGAGCCCGATTCGCTAATAAAAGAGCCCGATTTTAAAATAATATATAAATTTCTAATAAAGGACAAAGGCCAAAATTTAATTAAATAAAAAGGATTAATGCTTATAAGAGACTTAAATAGATTTTTCTTATATTAAATTCCATTAAAGATTAAAATATATATATAATTTTATATTTTTAAATTAAAATTATAATAAAAAGATTTTAGAGTTCTAATAAAAGGCTAAAGCCGATATTACTTAATTAATATAATTAACTAAACTATTTTTAATACATTATATTAATAGGATTTTAATAATTCATGGGTTTTAAAATATTTTAGTATTTTAAAAATTTGCTCGTATTCGACCTCGTATTTATAAACCGGAGTTCGCTTAAGCAAGCGATTAAGCAATCGGGGCCCGCGATTGGGCAATGGGGACCCCGATTAATTAATCGCTCGTATTGACGAACGGGGGGTAACAGATCGCCACCGTCTCGCCCAAATTAGGCTCAAAACTCTATTTTTGGGAGTTAGCATATATTTTTCTTCCTCTTTGCCATGTCTTGTGGCCTCACAATCTCAAGTTTTATTTCACAAACTTTATGAAATGGAGCCGTGTCATCCAAGCTCTGTTGGAGCTCAAAATTCTAAGCCGGGGTTTTGCAGCGGATAATGGATTGGAATTCCGCGTGTGTGTCCACTCGGAAGTCGATCCACTTTGGGACGAGAAGCTTAAGATAGATGAGGAACAGGGCAATCCAGCAAGGTGCTGGGCCTGCGAGATCTTGGCGTGCAAGCTGCATTAGCCTGTCCAGTACGTGATGCTATCAGCCTCCAATTGTAGAGTGCTGACACTTTCAGCCCTATCGACATGCTTGCCAGCTGTCGAACCCCCGAAAGATCTCGCACCAGGGCAAATGTCAAACATGGTCCTGGACTCCAGATGGGGATCGTGGCGCAGTCAAGCCCCTGCGGGTACCCTCCTACTCATGTGTGCTTTTTGTTAAGCCTAATTTATTCTCAGGCATCATGGTCCCACAAACCTATTTTGAGGGCAGTACATCGCAATTCTTAGAACTTTCTCTGCCAAGATTGACGCCTCAACCCTGCGGTCCTACGGGAGATCCAAACTTCCGCTTGGAGTAAGACATGAGCTTCATGATTCCACATCGAAGATCCTGAGTGTCTTACAAGCCCATAATTAGGCAAATGTGCAGCAAGCTCTGTCAAAATGTTTGCTGTGGAAGTCTCCGGTGTTAAATGAATAGCAAGGGCTCCTTTGATCCCATCTCCTAATCCAGTTCATTGATACATTTTAATCTTTTCTTAGCTTTCTCAAAAGTTCCTTCTCGTCACCTCAGATTTCCTTCGTCACTACGGAGTAGATCGTCTAGACTTCTGGCTCTTTTGCTTACTATAGCCATGCATCCTTCACATTCTTTTGCCGTAACGGCTTTTTTATTAGCTGGAAGTGTTCTCTCAGCACCTCAACAATATGGCGGCCAATTCGGACAAAAGAACCAAACCACATCCTGTACCAGTGACATCCCAAGGCACACAACCTCTCAAGCCCCAAAGCCAACATACAACCCTCCTGCATCAACTCCCTCCCCAAGCACAACCTGCGCAACACCCCTCTCCCTCCCAGATCAATCGCTCTTCGAATCACTCGTCCTTGCGCGGAGCTCAGTAGAGCGCAACAACCTCCTCTCCAACGACGACCTCGTCTTCTCCTTCGACACCCCCTGTCGTAACTCGCCAGAACTCGGAGTCACGGCAGGCAAAGGAGGGAAAACAGTTCGCGCAGATCACTCAACTTTCCCAGCTCTCGTCGGCCAAGGTGGCTCCATCACCGTCGGGTTTCTCAATCCATGTGGCTTCAACTTTCCTCACGTGCACCCAAGAGCCGCGGAGCTGAATCTTGTTGTTGAAGGACGGCTATTCGGGAGTGTTACCGCGGAGAATGGGGCTACGCATCGAAATCATACACTCAACAAGTTCGAGATGACGGTCTTCCCTCAAGGGGCTATTCATACAGAGTTCAATCCTGATTGTACGCCTGCGGTCTTCGTGGCTGCGTTCCCGGATGAAGATGTATGTTGACTCTTGAGTCTGGACCTCTAGAAAAACAATGCTAACTCTGGATTTAGCCCGGAGTCGGACAGATTGCACAAAACTACTTTGGCTTGGAGGATGAGATTGTGCTTGCCAGCGCGGGAGGTGATCTCAATATCGACGGTGCGAACATTGATGCTTTCAGAGGAAAGATTCCCGCGAATGTCGTCATAGGTGTTGAAAGTTGCCTAAAGAAGTGTGGGATTCAGAAGAGGGAACCAACGAACCCGGGAGCGGTATATTAAGTAGAGTTTCGAATTCTTGGTGCATGGGACTGGAGTATGGTTCGCCGTTTGATATGCATTTACAAGCGCGCTACTTTGATTCTTAAAAATCATTCGACGCGTTTTTTGTCTTCCACAGCATAGCGACAGATTGGCACACAGCATAGCTTAGCGCTCAATGGATACACTTTGACTTCAAGATCCTTATTTCGGAATTGCCTCCAGAAAACTTTAAACTTTGAACCCTTGGTACATGACCAACCCGATCCTGTTCAAATCTAGTAGATTCTTTAGTCCTTTTCGGTCATCGCTCTAAATAGTTTTGAGCCATGAAATTGCCCGCCACTTCGAAAATTTGTATGTCGTTTCGTGTAATTAAGAGGGTGTCCCGCACGAGGCGAGCTACCCCGCAGCCCCTGAAGGCTCACCAACGTCACAAAAGCAACCTTCAAGGAGAAGAAGAAGCGCCTGCAATCGAAAATGAGGCCCCACAGAAGCCCAAGACCAACAAGCAACAAGCAACAAACAGAGAGTCATAAGCAAAGTTTGAGAAAACTTTCGGGCACGATTTGTAAACGTGGGCTCCACACACGCAAATATCAAACACCTTTACGCAAAAATGAAACGGGCATCAGCCCAACATATACATACAACTCTTGTGAATCACCGACGAGTAGACTACAGCCTCACTTGTGGTGTCAGATTTTGTTGTCGTTCGCCGTCTCCCTTAATCTCCTATCCTCAACGTGGACTTCTGCATACCGAAGAATGATGTCTGGAGTGAAGATGAGAGCAGAGATCTGACGTACTACCGTCGCCATTTATGCTTCAAGACGCCAAATAAGATCTCTCAGAAGCAAATCATCGTGACTTGGAGGCTGCTGGCCCCTCGGTTACACAGTCAATGAGGTGGCAGATGCCCCTGAACGGGCCCTGATTCGCTCGATGCTGCGCCCTTTCCTCCCGCCTCCAGGCTTCACTTCTGACGCATCATCTGCATGCCAACTGTACAACAGCACCAATAACACCCGCGAAATACTGCTTTCTCAGCACTGCCAGGCTCCCCGAGGCCCAAACGAAACATGGCCCCGAAAACCCGCCGCATCACGTGGCCGTCGGCCAGGCAATCAGGCACGGCACTATATATCCACACACTTCGCGCGTCTTCCAGCTCTTCCTTCCTTCCTCACCACACCATTCGGGTCGCAAATCCACCACAAGAATCTCAAGACTTTCTTTGAATCCCTTGAGATCTCTTCCAGGACCCTGTCAATCATTTGTGCGTCAATCTTCCAACCTCGACACTCCTTTCGTCACTCGTTGCAACTCTTTCCCCACCATCCCGATAAGGCTTTCTCAACGTCAACAAACCCCCCCCACCGCAGCCATGTTCAAGCGCTCTTTCCGATCGACCGACCGCGTGGACAAGGTTGTCAAGTTGAAGAAGTCGTATAGGGATCCCGCGAAGTTGTCGAAATTGCAGAAGTCGTTCGATCAGAGCCCGCCAGTCGGGAGGTATGTTGCCGCCGCCTGTTTGTCACAGCCGCGATTGAGGGGGGCTGACGTTTGCGCACACAGTACTCTGACCTCGCCGGTTGTGACCTTCACGGTCGGCAAGGAAGGGCGGCTCTTTGCAGCCCACGAGGATGTCCTCTCGCTGTCGCCGTTCTTTGCGGCGGCCTGTAGAGGCCAATTCCTCGAGGCCGAGAGCAAGAGGATCGATCTTCCAGACGAGGAACCTGAGATCTTCTCCTGTGTTCTCGAGTATCTCTATGTAAGTTTGCCGGGTCCCTGACTTACGGATGTCTGCTAACTACCTCTTTTGTAGAAGGGCGATTATTACCCCCGCTTGATACACAACAAGCGCAAAGGCTCTTGGGAACTCGAGGACGCTGTGAGTTCACCCAACCCCGAAAATCCTGGTGGCCGCGGATCTGTCGAGGCTACAATCTACATATCCAGCGTGGGCGAACACCTTTTGAGGGATACTGTCATATACTGTGCGGGAGAGAAGTACGGCCTGGAGGAGCTCAAGCGCCTTGCTCTTCGGAAGCAGGGTCTGCAGAGTGGAATCGAGGTCTCTACGATTCTTCGCAGCGCGCGGTATGCCTATGACAACACGCCGGACACGGACTCGCGGCTCCGCGCTCATTATCTGGCCCTGATCATTAGATGTCGCAAGACATTTAAGAGGAGCGGAACCATGCAGACAGAAATGGAGAGTGGCGGTAAACTTTTCTTTGACCTTTTCGTGGCGCTATGCAATCATGTGGATGACATTGTGGAGATGGGGTAAGTCTTGATCCTCGGTATGCTAAAGAAAGTACTGACCTTCTCCAGGAATTCCAAATCTCCCAAGACTATCTAAGGTTGTGTAGTGTGGCGATAGGTACCCAGCTTGGAGTCAAATTGTTTTGAGGACGCTTGCTATCTCCATCAGATTGGACCATCCGAAATCGTGCTGCCCGCTCCTCGAGGCGCGCAGTCACGACTTTCCTTTCTCATCACCGAGGTTGGCCGCCTTCCGATGAACAAGAGTAACATTCATCCTCCACTCTTTACCATACCCCCTGCTTTGCTGTTTGGATTTGATGAACGGAAGGAAATTGCGTTTGCTTTTTGATGTCTTGGGATCTCGGGAGATGTGTCGTTTAATCTTGACTCAGAGGGTCTTGATCTTCGATGCTATATACTCTCGGGGAAGACTCACCACGGTCGGGCGACCTCTTCGCACCACTCTATCTCCTTTTCTGTTGGGATGCATGGCAATGCTGTAGCTGTAGTTGTGTTTGTGATCTGAGATCATGAATGGGTAATCCCTAGCGGATCTACCAGACGAGGCCCTCGTCAGCGGCTTTTTAATGAGAGATTCGGCCACCTCAAATCGGTTCCCCCTGTCGTGAGGCTCTTGTGAACCGAGGTCAGACTGACACCCCTGAAAGATCAAAAGGCGTAGCTCGCTTCCATTGCCATGTTTTCCGGTATCTCATTGCGACTTAAGCCTCCTCCATCTAGATTTCGGCGTTTCGTCTTTGCTCATTTCCCCATATTGATATGCCTTTGCCTATTGGTTTCGTTCGTGGTGTTATGGTTGGTTTCGATGCTTTTGCTTTGAGCAGCCAGCGTTAGGCGGCGAATCATATCCCTGTATCTCGTCCTCAATTCCTGGTTGAGGTCATCTGATTTGACGCCACGGCTGTGGCGTTGCTGTTTCGGAGGTTGTTGTCTCGCTTCTGCAGGGGGCCAGGGGTTGCTGTTATGCTTCGCCATATGGTCAATGATATGTGGTCAGCTTCAATCGAGACTCAGGATGGCTTGATTGAGGCTTTCTTGGCGTCTCCAGCTGAATAAATACTTTAGAGTCCGCGCACTCTCCTAGTTCCTTCCTTTTGCATCTCCAATTCCGTCGAAATGGACCAAAAGATGCGGTCTTCGATACGCTTCCTCTCTCTGGCAGCGCTGCTGGCTGTAGCACAAACTCTTTCTCTCGCGCCTCCAGTACTCCAAGAACGCACTTCGTATAATGGTGGTTGGGCCCTCGCAATCCCAGGAACGAGTTGTCCCGCCGATGCACCAGTTGCGTGTCCAACAGCTGGAGGAAATGTAAACCCAGCATGTTGTCCCAACGGACAGACGTGTTTTGGCCTCGAGAATCAACATTGTTGTCCGACGAGTTCGTTCTCACTTCTATAATTCCGCGTCCCCCGCTCAATTCATTGTGTCTTCTGGAAGATTTCTGATAGCAATCGTGCAGACTCCGAGTGCGAAAATGTTGTAACAAACTTCCCAGCCTGCGCAAACTCCACATGGAACATGTATGCGCTCTCCTTCTCCTCCCGCACCTTCTTCTGCTGCGAACCAGGACAATACGGCGTCCTCCCTATTTCTGGTTATACCGGCATCTGCGAGCCTGTCGACCAGCCTGTTGCTTCGTCTCTCGTTGCTACACCTGCGAGCCAAGCTGGCGGGACGGGTGTTGCGACCGCTGTTCAAGCTCCAAGCACTGGGACAGTGACGAGTACGATGAGGAATGGTGCCTTGACGACGATCTTGACGACGGCTCTGGTGGCCACTGCGAGTGGCACCGCAACAGGAACAGGAAATGGAAGTCCTGCGAGTACTGCAGGCGCTACTGGTTTTGGGTTCGGGCAGAGTGGAACGGTGACTTTCCACATCTCGAAAGGAGGCCTCATTGGGATTGTGGTTGTTGCTGTTGTTGTCCTGACTTCCATTATCATATTTTGCGTGTATTGGCGGAAACGGAAAGCGGACAGGAGACGAGGAGTAGCAGCGTTGGGGGGTAATGGTGGAGGGGCGGTGTATGCTGGGACTGGCACTCCAATGCGTGCTGCTTTTCCACGGACGGATGACACGAGTCCTGGTGTTGTGTATGCGCAGCCGGTGGGTGGGAGCCCGGTCGTTCAGCAGGGATATCCACAGCAGGATTATGGGAAGAGTGAGCTGCCATCTCCGGTGATGCACGCGAATACTCATCTTGCTGTGTCTCCTAATATGGGGGTGCCGGCATCACGGAGATGGGAGGGCCCATACGGGAGGGTGGAGATGCCATAGTCAGGGGAATTTCGGGGAGTTTTGGCTTGCACGAGCGAGAGGCGTTACTTGAGGGGCTTTTATCTGAAATTGCTGTCAGCGGGCTTGTATTTATTGCGTTCTTGGGCTTCTGAATCGCCTTTCTCGAGAGCCGGCGGGCCCGTGTCTCCGGTGCATCAGTGCAGATTTCCAATTTGTTAGTAGATCGGACAAAATGATGCCCGTCATGTATGTCTTCTGCTTTCTTAACTTCGCTTGCCTGTTTCGCCCCTCGTTTGGTCCGGTACAGAACGTTGAAGTTAAAGTGAATGTGGCACGTGATGGATTGTTTACTTCGCCCAAAGCTAGCCGAAATCGCTCCTTTTGAAACATTTGAACTTTCCTACCACTTCCCACCTGCCTCCTCACGAGAATAAGGCCATCGCCGACCACTCAGTACCTTCTCAAAATGGCTGGCCATGCGATGGAGGTTCATTCGACGAGTGCAGCGGCGACCAATGGCGGCAGTGAAGTCCTCAACGTTGATATCTGGTTCTTGGTGTTCGAAAAGGTATGCAAGTAATTTACCTTTTGCGCTCTCTATGACATGTCCCTACTAGATGTTCTTGGGAGACCTCGCTGACATTTATCTTACAGCTGGTGGAGGGCGTCGAGAATTCCCATTATTGCATGGGACCAGAAGAATTCAAGCTTTACGAGTGGCTTCGAACACTGCGTCTGCTCTCTCGAGACTTCAACACCATTATCACTCCACACGTGTATGTTGACATTAGCCTCACCGACTATTGGACCATGTGGCGGTTGGTCGATCCATACACCTCTGATTATAAAGCAGTAAAGGTGCTTTATCATCGCAAGATTGATTCGGCATTAAGAACCCTTGACCGGGTTAGATTTAGGAGAACATCCTCGCCCACACAAAAGCCCTCAGTTTCAGACTTTCAGCGAGGAGCCGAAGGAGGATATTCGCGCAGCAATTTTGGATATCATCTGCCAATGTAGACGATTAGATTGTATTTCGTGAGTTTTCTCATCAATTCCCCCAATGTTTGCAGAAGCTATTCGATACAACTACTGATGTGCTCATGACGGATGGAAGTATTGCTACGCAGACATTGTCGCCCAGCATCTGCACGCCGTTCTTAAGAACACTCAACAGTGCAGGTTCTCCACCTACAAAGACCTTGCTATCATTGAGGATTTGGACCTAGAGGCTCGACTGAAGAAGTTCAATGAGAATCACTGTTCAACAATTGCTCAAATTGAAAAGCATGATGACCCACCGCATCCAGAACATTCTACATCTCAAGTTTGACGCCTAGATATTGGTGAGATTGGCGTGGGCCACTTCGAGTATTGTGGCGAGAGGTTCCCAGCCAATAATACACTCCCCCTTTTTTTCTTCGCTTATTTCTCGCTTCCAAGCTAGCCTTGGCACAACCATGAGAAAGACTTCACATTTCCCCTGCATTTGCCTAGCTGGCTTAGCTCCCCCCTAGTTTGTGTGTGTATTGAGATCATATAATAGAGTTCTTACGTGAACAGTTATGGGGATTGAAATAGCCGTGTTCAAAGGAAGGAGTTATCCGGACGCTAAGCTAGGCGCTTCTCCATGGGCAGGTCGCATCGAGTTTCAATCTATTTGAGGAGGAGAACATGACTCATGATGAGTCTAGGTCTCCCAATTCCTGACTCTGTGCTTGCCTCTTCTTCACATCCATTCAATCACACTTAAAAACACCAAGCCCAGCCACTCAATTGTGGGTCTCAAGCCCTCTCCAGTCGACACAAATACATAATCAAAGTCAAGAGTTAAGTAAAACAAACCCACACCGCTTTCTGCAAATCACTATTAGTCAATCATGTTATGATCAACAATGTCTTTCCACAAAGAAATAAAAGCCGTAGCCTCCCCCGTCCAGGGGCCAACCGGAGGTAAACACCATCCCTCTCCGAACCCTCCGTCCCACGCACATACTCGTCAAAATCCACTCCGCCGCCATTAACCTAACAGACTAATATTGTACCTTCTATAGCCCGCTCGCGAAACCATTCTGCATCGTGGGCTGCAACTACGTCGGCACGGTCGTCCAAATCGGCTCCGAAGTAACTAAGCCTTTCCAGATCGGCGACCAGGTCTACGGTGCCACCACGACTTAAACCGAGACCAAGTTTATGATGGCGTGTTTATTGAATATGCTATGGTGAAAGGAGATGTTACTATGCATGCTCCTGCAATCTTGGAGATGGAAGACCATTGCACTATTCCAATCACCTCCGGCAAACATTTGGAAATAGCTTTGCCTGGAGAAGGAAAGGGAAATAACGAATTATTACTGATTTATGGCTGATACACTAATTTCGGAAGTCTCGGGATACACTTCGCAAAATTAGCGGGATATAAAGTGATTGTTACCTGCTCGCCACGCAATAACGAGCCCGTTAAATCCCGCGATGCGGACGAGGTACCTGATTACAATGATCCAGAACGGCCAGAAAGGGTGAGGAAATTAACAGAGAATAAACTAAAGAATGTTTGTGATACGATATACGAGGCCGACAAGTGTTGTGAGGCGTTGAGTAGTGAGGATGAGATGTCATTTCTCGAGTATTTTGTGGAATGATGACTCTTTTCCGGGAGAGGGCTGAAGGAAAGCAATACGTTGATGTACACGATGCTTGGGGAGAGATTCTACAAGTATGATGACGAGTGGCCGGCAAGTGGGAAGAATTGGGAGTTTGCGAAGATGTGGATGGGGTTGACAGAGAAAGTTGGTCTCGGAGGGGAAGATCAAGCGCACCCGAGGAGAATTGAGGTTGTTGGACTGGAAGGGATTTTGAAGGGGACCGAGGAGTTGAAGACGGAGAAAGTTAGGGGTGAGAAGTTGGTATATCGGATTTCAGATAAGCTCCAAATGGGAGAGGGCCGCCACAGCCTGAGTGTTGAAATAGGGGGCGGGGTTGGTGCGGGGTTACCCTTTGAAATGTAGCACATGAAATTGAAGACGAAAAGTTGAAATGGTTTTCAAGTGTATCGACTTATCAGTGGCGAGAAAGAAATCTAAGATTCATTTTCGAGCAATTTTTGAGCCAAGGGAAACTTCTCAAAATGAATATTGTGATTGACTCCCACGCCCACGTGATCCCTCCAAACAGCTCAATCTCGGCAAAATTCTCACATCGTTCAACCTCACACCTCACATCTTAGCAGGCCTTTCCCTACTTTATCCAATCGATCCGCAACACAATGGTATGTTCTCAAAGATTGGAAACAGATGACTATTGACAGTCTGGATAGCTCGTCACCGAAACCCAGCCCGCGAAGGTAGATCTCCTAATCCTTGGAGCAGGATGGACGTCAACCTTCCTCATCCGTCTCCTCGAGAAAGACAAAATTTCATACGCTGCAACTACCACCACCGGTCGAGACGGAACATACAAATTCAAGTTCTCAGAGCCTTCTTCCTCCGAGTCAGATTCATCCATGGACAGCCTCCACCAATACGCCGCGCTGCCCCCCGCGGAAACTATCCTCATCACTTTCCCCATCAAATCCAAAGCCGGAACTCGGTTTCTCGTGGAGTCATTTATCCAGACTCACGACAAAGATCACGAACCCTATCAATGGATCCAACTTGGCAGCACAGGCATCTGGTCCATCGAAGGTCAGGAGACCTGGGTCACGAGACACAGCAAGTACAATACCGCTGATGCGAGAGCGGTGGCTGAAGATGCGTTGCTGGAGCTGGGTGGATGTGTACTGGATCTTGCGGGCCTGTGGGGTGGAGAGAGGATGGTGAAGCATTGGGTTGATCGCGTTGCTTCTACTAAGGAGATGTTGAGGAGTAAAAAAAGTCTGCATATGATTCACGGGGAGGACGTATCTCGAGCGATTATTGCGGTGCATAACATGTTTAAGCACGCTGAGGGGCAGAGATTTGTAAGTTCTGGGAATGGATCAACTCGTGGATCGGATTGGCTGACAAAATATACAGATGCTGACGGATCTCTTTGTCTACGATTGGTGGTCTTTGATCCTTGGTTTCTGTGGTGAAATTGATGTTGGGAATGAGAATGATGCAAGGGCAAAGAAGCAGATTAAGTGGATTGGGGAATTGATGGAGGAGAGCGGGGTGAGAGCGCTGCCGAGGAGTAGGGATATGCTTGGAAGGTGCTATGATACGAGGGAGTTTTGGACGACATTTGGGATTATGCCTACAAGAGCGAGGCTATAAGACGTCTCCGGAAAGGTAGACATCTCAAAATGTCATTGATTCCTCCCAAATTTACACTGACTCGGCCATGCCATCTGCTTGAATACCTGAAACTTAAATGGGGGTGAAGGGCAATGAAAAACATTATCACATCTACGCAACAGAAATATTTTTCAAATTAAATATTCATATAGGTAGGGGCACTCGAAGGACACCGACAAAGTATATGAGAGGGAAGGGAACAACATCTTCAGGAGTCTGAAGCACATTTCTACTGATCACGTGCCAGGGTGTCTCTCGCGATCCTCAACTACCTCTGAAGCTAACTCTGGGAGCCTGGATCACGAATACGAACCGACTCCCTTACCTTATCTCGATCAACCTACTGACAGCATTGATTTCTCGGTGTCACATCGACTTCACCTCGGTTTCAACTTTCCCATACCAACAGAAGATACACCATGGAGCCCCCGCCCGGAGAGTCTGATCCTGAGTTTGAGCCTCGGGTGAACCAAAGTTCGGTTTTGAACGTAAATGTGCGGAAACGGATATGGGAGTCGTGATGTCAAAATAATTTCCCAATTTCTCCACCACAGCCCCTGATACCTAAAAGCCTATAAGTATCACTACATTTCTCTCACCTCAGAACTTCTGGATCACCAAATTCAACCCCATCTATCACTTACATCATCCAACCCGTCAAAACATACCCCAAGCAAATATTTCCTCAGCAGACGACCAATACGAGGCCCAGAGCGATGAAGTCATTGGCGGCGCACCAGCAGGAGATGCCCAAGACAACGACTACGTCTCCCGCACCTGCCAGAAGCAAGGTCCTATCCCAGTGCAATCTGACAATGATACCGTCGACGACCCGACCGATGGCGCGACTACGGATAGTGATGAGCAGCTAGGTATGTCTCCTCTTCTCTTCTTACTCCCCTTTGCGCTCTTGTTCCCTCCTGCATCGGAAAAGGGTAAGGACATATAAGCATGGGAAGAGGCTGACGACACGCAGCTCGAGACGACGACGAAGCAATTGACTCGTCTAATATCGTAGATGGGCGGACCGGAGGCGCGAAGCCTTCAGGCGGGTACCGCGAGCCTGGCGATGAGGAGGGCTTGGGGGTCCAGAGGATGGGGCGAGTTCTGGGCGGCAGTAGATCATTATCAACACATGATTATGATTGTTTAGAGCTTCTGTTCGGACATCTGTGGATGTTGAATGTTCAGGCCTGTATTTGTAGATTAGAGATGTTAAGATCGATAGATGGCCGTGGGGTATATTTGAATATACAAATGTCGTATATTTGAAAAGTTCTGGCCTTTGCTCGTGCATCCCGGGGGACGTGACTTTGAGTAGCTCGGCTTGACTATTGAAAGTTCTAAACTTTGTCGGGACTTCGAGAGTTCCTGGTATTCGAAATTCTCGCTCATTCCTTGAACATTTGGGCGCTGGTTTGATAATGAGTTGTGTATTTGTACAGTGGTATCTTTTATGTACACGCCTAAGTATGTTGTTCCAACATTGCCAGAGACATGCAGCCTCACGCTGGTAGTTTCAACGCGCCTGGTTGTGCCGTCTCGGGCTCGTAGATTCTGGGTATCAATCCTTCCGCCATCTCAATTGCCCCATTCATGTTGTCCTTATTCGTTATGAACAATCCCTGGATTGCTGCTGTACTCGTCTGCCGTCTTGCTCCTTCATGCCAAACGCCTTCCTCATCGGGTATCAATCTCAATTGTTCCAGCCTTTCCAGGAACAATGCTCTCCCTTCTGATTGTACATCAATGTCACCGTAGAATCGATCCCACATCTCAGCCGCCTGGTATCTTGTAGCCAAACCAATTCTAACCGTCATATCCACTCTCCCAGGCCTAATCAACGCCTCGTCCAGTCGATCAATATGGTTCGTAGTAAGAAACGCAATCCGTTCCTCCCCAGCAGCCACTCCATCCAACGCATTCAGAAGCCCCGAAAACGTCACCGTAGCCCCATTGTACCCATCCGCGTCCGTCTGCCTCCTATTCATAAACGCCGCATCCGCATCCTCCAGCAGTAATATTGTCCTCCGCGGCAACTTCGTGAGCAGCAGGGCCAACTTGTCATCCTGCATGCCCCTCTCACTCAAATTGATAATCGCAACCCCGAAGTCCAGCTCCCCAGCCAGCGCCTGGATGAACGAGCTCTTCCCACTCCCCGGCGGCCCATACAGCAGGTATCCCCTCCTATACGGTATGCCCCGGTCGACGTACCACTGCTGCCGACCTAGGAAATCCTTCACATCGTCCACGATGCGCTCTTTGATCCCTTGGTCTAGTATCACAGAGTTGAGAGGCCTCTTCCGTCGCGCGTCCCCGAATTGTATCCACTCTATCCCCTTAGATGCCCACATCACCGTCTTCCCTGATTGTGCTGCGCGTTCCAGGTGCAATGCCTCCGCGAATATGTCTTCAAATATGTTCCTGTGTGCGTACAATGTGGTAAAGGTAACCGTCTCATGGGGCTCTCCCGTAGTATGGTTGTGGCTACTTTGCTTCTCCCGGTCGATCTGGATGAATGCGTTTTTATACCGGATGATATGTTTGCCATAGCCTGATTGTGCGTGGAACTTGACTGGAGGGACGGACCCGTCTGCTGTCCTCTGAACACGGGTTTTCATCGAAAGGTGGTGGATTCTCGTCAGGCGTGATGTGATGAAACCTCTTTCTTGCGGACGTGGGATGGATAGCCAGGCGAGTATCCACTGGTAGCTTTCGTCTTGTTTCGAGATTTCGAGATCGACGAGCAGGCGTTGCTTTATAAGTGACGCGCTCTTGATGACCCAGCGCCGGCCGAGTGCTGCTGCTGCTCCCAGCCCTGCAAGACCGAGGCCGCCGGCAAATAGAGGGTTTTCGAACAATGAATCGAGCGGGAGGAAGGATCGCGGCGGTGACGGGTTCGACATTATATCGGTGGTGGGCGGAACATTAGTGGTGGTGACCTGGGCATTGTTCGAGAGAAGTCAAGAACTTTCAAGTCGGAAATTTCTGGAGTTGAAGCACGATGACGCATGTGAAGCGAGTCCCAGCAGGCGACGCGACCGTGTTTTCTCACCCTTCACTCTTGTCATCAACATCCTCATCCACGCCAATTGCACGACATGCTCTGGGCCACTGTCCCTCGATTCTACGTGTATTGATGGTAAATTCCGGTTGAAGAACCCACCAATGCACTGTCGGCCTTCGGTGCAATGAAGAGCGGTCAAGGACTCTTTTAGGTCGAGATTTTTCAAACTTGAAGCTTCAGTATTTCGATGCCCACGTCCGTTGTCCAGTGTCATATGAAACAAGGTGGCCACCCTCTTGAATTCCCCGCTCCGGCCTTTTATTCTATAAGAGAAAGGTTTTCTTTAGCAAGCGCGAGAATACTCCAGCGGTTGTTTGCCGGGATCCATGTCCGACCAGTTTTGGGACATTGTGCAGACAGACCAGGAATCCATTTGGGCTTCTCACGGGTACTGGCAAGAAATGTTCCTTTCCATTTCTCCTACGGTCGTCTTTTGGTCGGGGGATCCTTTTCTGCCTCTGTCCGATTCGATGCAATATTCCACTTGGCCATTCGGTAAAGTACAATGTTTGAACGCAATGAAGAACAGTACCGAAGTCCATTTCGGATGGTCTGCTTCCCATCCCGCCACATTTATAGAGTCCTGCAACCGTTAAGGAAGTCGAAAGCTCACCGAAGTCTAGTTAACCTTGAGGTCTGCCTTAAAGATGGGATGCTTCAGGATCTGCCGTTCAGGGGTTGATTGCAAGCCTGCAAAGCCAGAGCGCCACCCGAAGCTAAAAGAATCCTTCAGCGTCGGATCAGGAATCGAACAGTTTCGGGCCACATGTCATGAGCTCCATTGAATCATTTAGGACTCTATTTCTGGGCTGTCCAGTTGGGGGCTTGATGCTTGATTGGTTAGTCCTGTCGTTCGCGAGGGTATTCCACGTCTGCCTTGCACAACCGCCGCCACCAGCTTCAAGACCGTGGCTTGGGGTCAACGCATGACTACACATATTCCTTTGGGGGACTTCGGTAGGTCTGAAAAGCCTTGATCGGTGGTTGGGCGGCTTATCCAATATGCAGACTGCCTAGTTGTTTTACGAATTCAACAGTCCTGTTCCTTCTTAGAGTTGTTTCCTAGATCTTCATTCACTAGACAAATATCCTGTCTTTTCTGTCATCTGAACATATCGCGAATTTTAAAAGGAATTGAATTACACGTGTGAATCTGACGACGAACGCCCCAACTTTTCTATGTACCTGAGTTTCAACTGGGCAAGGCTTGGGTTAGAGCCTCATTAACATTAACGGAAACTGACCCAAATCACCTTCAACAAGATTTCGCAATGACTACAGCAGCTTGGAAAGGGTTCATCCACTCGTGGCACACCTTGGGCATTGTCCTAAAATGGATGTGCATCACCGTGGTTGGAATACCCTTTGCTATTGCAACTTGTATCCTCGTTGCCGCAGCCGTCTTGGCCTTCGCTCTCGCGTGCCTCGCAGTAGCAGCAGGAGCATGTGCAGGCGTGTTCTACATGCTGAAAGGGGCATTATGGGTCCTCTTACGAATCCCTTTCTGGATCAGCGAATTCAGAATCCATCGTGCTGAGCGGAGGGTTTTCGTCCTCCCAGTATTGCAGCCTCGACCAATACAGCAAATTCGACCGCGCCCTGGAGTTCGAGTGCCTATATTTCCAAGACGTCCAATTGTACCTGGACCCCCTGGGACCATCGTTCATCCGCAAATACCACCTCCAGCATACGTAGCCCAAGCGGCTTCGACTGGAGGAGCAGCCGGCCCAGCTACAGCACTCCCTGGAACAATGGAGTGCCAAGTCTGCTTGGAGCACAAATTGCTTGACGAATTCCCACAACGCAACCCCACGGAGACCTGTTCTCACGCCGTCGCGTGTTGCATTCCCTGTCTCTCCCAAACTATCACCGCAGCATTTGAAGGGAGAATGTGGTATGATATCAGATGCCCTATCTGCAACAATGAACTTAAGCATGAAGACGTTGCTGAGTTTGCGACACAAGATATCTTCCAAAAGTAGGCAATCCCCACCATTCATTTCTTCAAGTCTCCGAATTCATTGTTCCGACAACAGATACGACAATCTCGCCACTCGCCGCGCCCTCGCAAGCCAACTACCCAACTTCCGATGGTGTCCGGGGCCGAAATGCGAGTACGGCGAAGAGCATCCAGATGATCCTAAGCATCCAATGACAACCTGCACGTCGTGCGGATTCAACTCATGCTTTTACCACGAGACACCATGGCACGAAGGAATAACTTGCGATGAATACAACGCGAAGATCGCAGTGGGTGCTGTAAAGGCAGAGAAGAAGAGTGAGAAGGTTATTAAGAAGATCGCGAAGAGATGTCCTGGTTGTCAGCGGTATATTAATAAGAATGGTGGATGCTCACATATGAGTTGTAAGCCGATAGTCATTGTTCAAGATACCAAGAGTACAATGCTGACGATACGTAAAGGTCCTTGTGGGAAACACTTCTGTTGGACTTGTCTGCATGATTATCCTGGTCATGCGTGGACCTGCAAAGAACGAATTTGACAATCAAGGATTGGGGTCTTGGTTTTCTTAGTCTTTGACACATTTAGGAGACGTCCTTGAACCGAGCCCTCGAACCCATCTAGTACGTTGCCATCGTACCTCAACTTCCGTCTTACTAGAATTCATCATATCAAAATTCAAGATGTATCCTACTTCTTGATAATCCCAACCAATCATGAATGAGACTCACCAACTTTCTTTCAAAGTGATCCTTGAATGTTTGGACACCGCAGAACTTTCTGATTAATAAACATCATGTGTGAACCACACGGCGAAAGCCCACAAGCGTAGAATTTGTGGATAGCTACTCATTCTATTTTTAGGAATGTGGGGTCTAGTGCGGGGCAAATCTCACGTCACTTTCTCGGAACCGTTTTTCCTTCTCACATAACTTCATCTCATAACATAAGAACCAGGAACTTACCCTTTCCGTTATGTGAGGCTAAAATCTCAATAACCCCACAATAAGAATACCCGCGACCTACTCAATTGTCTTCCGCCAAGCAATACCCAAGATGGTGTCGAAAAAGACAGTGGCACCTTACGGGACGTGGACCAGCCCCATCACAACAGACGTTGTAGCAGGAAGCAACCTCAGCTTCTCTGAAGTCCACACCGACGTAAGCCCGTTCTTATTCATCTCAATCCCCAGCACTAATACCTTCAGCCCAAAACAGGAGCAATCTACCTTGTCGAAGGCCGCCCCTCAGAAAAAGGACGACAAGCCATCGTCCAGCTCAAAGGAACAGAAAGCATCGACATCCTCCCTGCAAAACACAACGCAAGCGGCAAAATCCACGAGTACGGGGGCGGAGCAGCCGCGATAGCATCAGACGGGAATATTATTTTCACCGACTCGAAAACCGACGCGGTGTTTAGCCTCTCTCCTTCCAGTGGCGAAGTGACGGAGCTCATCAAGGGAGATGCTAAATTGAGATTTGCTAACTTTTGTTCCCATCCAGAAGATCCTGACCTCATTCTTGCTATCCAGGAAGACCATCGTGGGGATGAGGTTATCAATACTGTTGCAGCTATTAATGCGAAGACGAAGGAAGCAAGGACTGTTGTCAAGGGTGCTGATTTCTACAGTCATCCAAAGTTTAGTCCCGATGGGAAGAATATCTCTTGGGTCCAGTGGATGCATCCTGATATGCCTTGGACTGGCAGTGAAGTGTATGTTGCTGACTGGAAAGACGAAAGTTTGGAGAATATCACCAAGATTGCGGGACAGGCAAGGGCTGAGAGTATTGTTCAGCCGAAATGGCTGTTTGATGGGTCTCTTATGTTTGTCAGTGATCGATCCGGATTCTGGCAATTATATCGCTACGATGTGAAGACTCTCCAGGTCGAGCAACTTCTCATTGAGGGATTTCAAAATGCAGACTTGGGAGCAAGAGAAATGGTTCTTGGTTTGTAAGTTGCTTTCCCCTCTGATTTGGATCACAAACTGATTTCTCTAGTTCAACGAATATTCCGTTGAATAAAGATGAAATCATCGTAACATATACCAGGGAGGCAACTAATGGAATCCTCCTTTACAACATCCTAAAGAAGTCGGCGACGGAACTACCTCTTGGCCTTGTCAGCATCTTCAGCGCTGCAATCAGCCGAGTATCTGATACCCAGTTCGCTGTCATAGGTGGAACGAAAACTAGCCCAGTTGGGCTTTACATTGTGGATGTCACAAAACCGACGGAGAAGCAGCTCCTCAAAAGCTGCAGCGGGGTCGAAATATCGCCTTCATATCTCTCTGCCGCCCAAACTATCTCGTTTCCTCGGACCCATGGTAATGCTTTGAGCAGTCCAGCTCACGCCATTTTCATCCCACCCCGCAACGACGACTTCGAAGCCCCTACTGGAACCATCCCACCCCTCATCATCTCCATCCACGGCGGCCCCTCTTCTCACGTCAATCCCGGCCTGACCCTCGGCGCACAATACTTCACATCCCGTGGGTACGCCTACTGCTATGTAAATTACGCAGGCTCAACCGGTTATGGACGGAAGTACCGCGATGCATTAAACTACAACTGGGGCATTAAAGACTGCGAAGACTCCGTCTCGTGCATCGAGTACCTCGCCTCCAAGCACCTAATCGACGGCTCGAAGGTCGGCATCACAGGCGGCAGTGCAGGAGGTTACACAGTCTTGAACGGAATGTGCATGTTCCCTAAAGCCTTCGCAGCAGGAAACAGCCTCTTCGGTATCAGCAACCTGAAGACTTTAGCGGCCGATACACATAAATTCGAATCCCATTACCTCTTCGACCTCATCTTCCCTGACACCGCAACGGAAGAAGAAAGAGAGAAAGTTTATTATGAGAGGAGTCCTTGTTTTCATGCGAGTAAAATTGAGAGGCCGTTATTGATGCTGCAAGGAGATAAAGATAAAGTGGTGCCATTGAATCAAGCGGAGGAGATGGAGAGGGTCCTCAAGGCAAAGGGGGCTGATGTTAACTTGGTTGTTTTTGAGGGGGAAGGACACGGGTTTGCGATGAAGGAGAATATTAAGAGGGCCATTGAAGAGGAGGAGGCGTTATGGAGGAGGACTTTGCTGTGATGCTTGCATGTTCGCTCTGATTGACCACGTGACCAACCCCCCCTTTTCTCAGTTCGCGAGAGTTCGACTAGAGACAAAGATAGATATAGCGCCGCCATGCTAATTACTACAAATGGATCTTCTAGCGTTCACTCTGCAATAGTTTTGTCGAATCATTAGAAACAAGATCATGCGCCACCGCCCATGGCCAGATTCAACAGCCCTCATTGAAATCACATGTGCTTCCAGATACGTCTTCTTCGAACGTACCGGTAAACGAACTATTCAACCCAACACATACACTTACTGAAGGTCTAGCCTCGAATGTATCTATCTATTTTGCTTGAGCGATCGTACAAACGGGATCATGAGGCATGATGTACAGCATCAAATGTTCACAGGATCATGCATCATTCAATCAATTCGTTTTCAAATATGTCGAGAAGTAGATTTTCACCCCTTTTATTAACTAAGTCAGCAAAATTGTTCAGGAGGGAAATTACTGAGTTAAATTTCCATGTTACGAGGCAATCTATTTACTGGACGCTGAGTGTGGCAGTTTAATAAATCCATACGATGGAGATTTATGGATCAGATCCAAATCCTTGTGACGATCTCACGATCCAGACAGACTATCACGAACTTGATTCGGCAAACGCGCTCTCTGGAAATTAGTGGGGATAACATTTGTGTCCATTGGTTCTGAATGATGGAAGCTTCGCTGCGGATTGTTGGCATCCGTTACCCACAGCTTCTGCAGAGGCTGAGCCACTTCCTCATCCTGGCTCGTACTCGGTGTGCTGAAACTTGGAAGCATGAGACCCTGCAACCGTGATCGGGGGGACTGCACTTCCACTCCTTTTCGGACTCAGTTTGACAGATGCGGCGACGTGCGGGCTGCACTTGTCGAGCTCGAAAGAATTGGTGGGTAGCTCATCGCGACTTTTCATGAATCATGCCAGGTTACGGAGATAGGAGTCACTCTTCGAGGCAGCTTACGGACATAAGAAATATTTGGTGTTCTGAGTAATTTACGTACCTTAATCGGAGCCACTTTTTACAAAGTACCTGTGGTCAATACTGCGCCCTCCCTTCCCCACCCTCCAGTCTCTCCCTGTTTACCTGTTCTAGATTTTACTTATTTTGACTTGACCATTTGGTTCAAAGCAATTCACTCCAGTTTCTTAACACAAAAAGACCGGAGGTATCATGTCACTTAATTGTATAACGAATTGAGCCTTCGGTCTCTTGTGAACCGAAAAGGCCATGAAAATCTCGGCTCGCACAAAACAAAATTGACGAAATAGTCCCATAGTCATTGAAAAATGAAAGTCAATTCTCGTCCGTTGCAAGAATCGATCATGATTGAGGTCATTGGACTGCTGCATCTCTTCTTTTCCCCACATTCTAGTGGGGCTTAAGGTTGGGCACTGATCGAGCAAGTCAACAGAACTTTCAGGTCAGATTAAAGTTGGCCACGAAAGCCATTTAAGGAAAAATAACTGCATCGTAAATGATAAGTTTCTGGCCAGTGGAGGAAGAGCACTGGGGTAATGCCATGCTGTGTAGCATCGGTTACAGCTCTGGGCGCGGCTGTGCAATCAATAAATGCGATCCCGGCCCTAAGATATACGAAGAAGCCAATAGGGTCCATCTGCAACACCCAAGGCATTTCCCCAGGCTTTTACTGAATGACAAGGTCAGATCTCGAGCACTGGGACGCTTGGTTAAATTGAGCTATACTTGCCTTGGCAGCAAATATGAATGCATATTAGCTCCAAACCCCCATTCGAACCTCGCATGATTTTGAGAGCGTTTTGTTTTATTGTTTTGGGGAACAGCGACAACAGCCTAATGTCTATCTGAATTAATTAGCACGACTTCCTGACCCAACTCGTGTCGTGACTGGGTGCAGAAAGTGTTTTTCCATCCCCGAGGAAGTTTCAAAATGCAAGACCGGAGGAAGAGTGACGTATCCCTTCCAGGTCAAGAAGAGAGCCCTATAACACGGGCGCGACGGAGCACGAAACGAAGCCGGACAGGCTGTCTCACTTGCAAGTAGGTCTATGACCTCCACGGCGCCCTGGGTTTCTTCCCAAAGCAGCATGGTAACCTCGATTCAGATTCCGAAAAGTCAAATGTGACGAGGCGAAGCCCGAGTGCAATCGTTGCCGAGTCTTTGGTATTGGATGCGATGGCTACGAGAAACAAGTATCAAGCTCGAGTTCCCCCCGGCTGCCTATATTCAAGAATGGAGCATCTTACTATAATTCCCTCCTTGCGCTGTCGCCATCCGAGGCACTGCACTTCGAGTGCGAGGCGGAGCAAAGACACTTCTACACTTTCCAAGCAGAAACCGCCCAAGAGATTTGCGGGATCTTCGAGTCTGTCTTCTGGCAACGACTCGTTCTCCAAGGCTGCTACCAGGAGAGATTCGTTCTTGATGCTGTCATAGCTATCAGTGCCTATAATACCTCGCTGAAGCTACGCAAAGGTGGATGGCAAGATGAAGGGTGCCTTGCGACTGCAGCAGCACAAGCGCAGTTCGCGTTACGAAAGTACCAAGACTCCCTGCAGGTTATGAGAACATCTCTGAGCGAGACACCGAGTCCGCGGAAAGCACTGATGGCATGCCTCCTCGTGTGCAGCTTTGAAGGCCTCTTTGGCAACACCGTCACTGCTCTTACACACGCTAGAAGTGGGCAAACCTTGGTGGAAAACTTTCTGGCGGAGCATCCACATCCGGCCCCCGAAGGAGAAGGCATCACTTCTCCGGCACCTCATATAATCGAAGACAAGCTTCTCCAAGCCGCCTCCTATTTCGAGACTCAGATTATTGGTTTATTCGATGGGAGGTGTCCAGGCGATCATGCCACGTTGAAGATGGAAGGCAAAGAGACGATCGCTCGTATGCCAAAGACTTTCAAGGACCTGGAGGAGGCGTGTGCATACTGGGATCTTGTTGCTAGAAGAAGCATGCATTTCGTCTGCGAATACAGGCCAGACAGCCACAGGGGATTGGATCCATATTCCGATTACGAAAGTGGCGAACTGGTCAGTATAACAAAAGTTATTCCGGATACCAAGGCGATTACCGTTGATAGTCCTCTTGGAAAAGAACTTCTTGATCGCTACCAGTGCGACCGGAAGAAGTACTCAGACGATATTACAAGATGGTCAGCAGCGTTCAGCGACCTCTACTCACGACTCAAACGAACAACCAATAAACGGCAAATCATGGGCGCACACACCCTCTACGTCAAATCAAAGAGTATGGAAATGGGGGTCGGCTCTGCCATGGAAGATGGGATGTGTTCTCACGACAAATACTTCTCCCACTTCCGTGAGATCGTCACTCTCTCCAAAGAAATCGTACGAATCAAAAAAACACTTTCACAGTCGGAATTTGCGGTTGAGCTGGGAATTATTCCGAGTCTTCATATGGCGGCTAAATGGTGTCGGGGAAGGACGATACGGAGAGAGGCAATAGCTCTTTTGTACGGGTATGGCTCAAGAGAGGGACACTGGGATAGCAAGACGATGGCAGAAGTTGACAGATGTGTGATGGAGCTGGAAGAGGAAGATATCGACACGGAGTATATACCCGAATTTGCAAGAGTCAGGGTGCTAAGCATCACTTCTGACAAAGAAGGGGGAGACTGGGCTACTGTGGAGTATGTGAAGGGTTCTCCAAGAACGGGAGAACTGCCTGGAAGGAAGAGAATCAGGTCTCCTGTAGAACAGAAAGCAATATCAGGGAGGGGGAGTGAAGAAAGCGAGACGAGTGTTGCAACTTATGGCGAAGCTCTGATAGTTCCGTATGACTCGGCTGATAATGGGCAAAGGGGCGAAGAGCTATTCAGAAGCTCAGGTGCAACGCCTATAGGATATTTATTTAACCAGCCACCTGTCAGTAAATGATGGATCAGGATTTGTATCAGCACCCAGCTTCACGTATTACTGTAAGGATACCTCAAAACCAGTCCCGGCCCACTTTCGCGAACTGTAGAGTTTTTCACTCACCTGGTTCCTATCTCGCGTGTGGCCGGCAAACACGCTCCTCGTCTCCCGAACCGGGAACTTGAATCTGCTGAACGAAGACCTCCATTTACAAAGGACAGGATTACGATGCGAAATATGCATGTCCTGTGTAACCTATAAAGGACCAAGCAGCCAATAGAAGACTAGAGTGTTAAGTCACAAGAGTTGACGGCCACCTTGAAGTTCCTTCAACGAATCGTTGTCCTCCTAGCCGCCATGATCTAGAAAGATGAAATTCAGTACTCTTTTAGTTCCAAACAGGGGCATGAGCTGTATTTAGATATCTAATGTACCAAGGGTCTTTGATGTCATCGCGTAGTCTGTGTAACCCATTGTCTCAAGCGAGGAGGAAAGGGGGTTCACGTGACTAATTTAAACCATCCTCCCTGGCTCACTTCAACCGGACTGCAATACAGAGTGAACGCCATTTAATTTATACACTAAACTGTTTCCATCATCTTGTAACCATTGGGTCAAATGTCTGAAAAGCCTCCGGAACCTGCACGTCCTTGCTCGTATCGTATCTATCCCCCACAAGCACGTTTCCATTTTTCTAGGTCTCTTATAATATAAGCGGTCCCAATAAAAAGGCACTGGAAAATTAAGATAGACATAAGAAGAGTAATGGAAATAGAGCATCTTAATCTCTATAAGAAATATATCATAGAGAATCTAGTTAAACTGTCAAGTTTTACCTGGCCTAGCCCCACCCCTACAGGCTAAGGTTATAGGCGAAGCCCCGGGGGGTTAGCCAAGCCGACACGCGCTAACAAATCTCATAATCAGCATCTTACTTCCATCCCCCTTCTCCTCGTCGACGTGGTAGTACTGTTATTGCTGTCGAATGGTCAATAATAGTGTGAAATGTCTTGAACCATTTTCATCACAATCAATTCGCGAATCAGTGGGAGTTCTCCGACGACGATTCTCTCTCCACTGACTCATCAAATCCTACATGATTCACACCGACACTCAGGGCTGCGCCACCACAGGCCGATTCCCTTGCCCTCTCTCCAACCCCTCTTGAATTTACAGATGTCAATCAGACAAACCCCAAAGATTTTTGAAAAAACTCATTGCAACCCACTATCTTCAGTCCCCTCGCGTATTGCCCGCAGCAAGTCCAATTTCCCCAAACTTTCGATAAGCCAGAACACAATGGCTTCATCACCCCCCGACTTCAAATTATCGTCCACTCAAACCGCTCTCGCTCTGATCGTCCCTTCACATCTTCAACCTGAGATCAACGCTATCCGTAAGATCCATGACAAAGCATACAGAAAGTGGGAACCACACATCAACATCATGTACCCCTTCGTCGACACCTCTCTCCTCTCCTCTGCCATCACTACGCTCCACGCTCATCTATCCGCGAATCCAATATCCCCGTTCAGCGTAAAGATTGACGATGTGGGAATATTTGAGCATACGAGAAGTGCCACTGTGTTCTTGAAACCGGGGGAGGAAAGTGGGGAGAAGATTTGCGGGCTCAGGAGACAATTGGTGGCTGCGCTTGGGCGGAGTGAGGGCGAAGGAACCCGTGACGGGGTGTTTAGGCCCCATTTGACTGTTGGCCAGGAGGGCTTTATTGGGCCGACTAAGGCTAGGCTGGTACAGAAGGTGGGTAAGTTGGTTGGAGTGGAGTGGGAGGTGGGTGGGTTGGTGGTGTTGAGGCGTGAGGCGTCAGGTGAGATGAGTATTGTTGAAGAGATATCATTGTCGGGTGATGGTAGTGATGAGAGTGAGTTGATGACCAAGAGCGAGTAATATGCTCATGATTGGGTGATACGTTGACATCCTCCGGAAAGTTTGATTGTTTATATAATAGAAGCTGATTGATTTTCCAGCCGAATCTGGGTTCACTGAGACAAAGTGGAGAAAATGCTATCATTTCAGTCCAGGCATTGGATGGAAACAGGAACATAAAAGCAATTACTCCCCTCCCGATGAGTGGGCAAACCCCACGAAGTTCACTATCGCATCATACAATCTGATGTCTGAACCAAACGCACCCAAGTTCTCAACTCGCCTTTTGAACATCGTAGAAGCAATTTCTAAAGCAATGCTGCGAACAACATCTTCTACTCGAGTCCTTTGCCTCCAAGAAGTCGACGAGGAAATGCTACTCCTTCTACTCAGAGATGTGAATCTCCAAGAGCTTCTTCCATTTTCAACACACGGCCCGTCATCTCTCTTGCCAAGCCGGAGAAATCTAGTCACCTTGTCGAACGCGCCGTTCTCTTACTACAGTCTCCAATTCGAAGAACGGCACAAGTTGGCACTCATTGTTTCTTTTCGAGATACTTTAGTCCAGGTCGCGAACGTTCATTTGACGAGAGCCTTGACCGATGAAGCTGTTGCAGCGAAGAAGCGTCAGATGGAAACTTTGACCAATTTCCTCCTAAAGTCCCCAACACCAAACGAGGAGAATATTTTCGCAGCAGGAGATTTCAACCTAACTACCTCTTCGAAAACGATTGAGGTGGCGTTGGCTCGAAAACTCATCACTCCTCAAACAGCGCAATGTGTTCGAGAAGTCATTGATCCTGAAGTCTGGGACGATGCTTTCCTTGTTGCTGGAGATGGTAACGCGGAAATTGATAGCGAAGAGTTCTACGAAGGCGAGCAAGGAGCGACCTTTGATCGATTGACAAATCCTTTAGCTTCGATGTCAAAAGTGGCCATTGATGATCGTCCCCAACGATACGATAGAATTATTTTCCAAAGAGGAAGAGGGATCCATCCTGTGGGCTTCGAAATATTCGGGCGACCCGCTGAAGATGGAACATTTTCCAGCGACCACTACGGTGTCTGCGGTACATTCCAGATTGAGGAGGAAAAAGGTGCAAGTGAAAATCCAGCATCAGTTCAACGCTCCCTGGACAACATCAAAATTGCGGACGACTCTACAGACATCCAACCCCTTATCAAGCCTTACTTGCCAACAGCCGCTGATCGAAAGCAACGAGAAGAAGCTCTCGAACTCCTCCAACGAACTCTATGCGACAGCAAAAGCTTAGCAGATCTTGTTCTTGCACCACTTGGAAGCTATGCGATGGGCACCTACTTCACGGATTCAGATATCGATGTCTTGGGTATCGCTTCAGTTTCCCCAAAACAGTTCTTCAATTTCGCCACTGAACAGCTAAGAACGATTATTTCAGGTGATGGTGAGACGTTCAAGGGCATCCACTTCGTGAACTCTGTTGTTTCGATCATTGAGGTCAGTATTTTGGGGATCAAATTCGACATACAATATTGCCAAGCAGCTGACGTGGTCAAAAGGTAATCTCTTCCTTTTCACCTAAACCTTCTCCTGCCCAATCCTAGCCTACCACCAAATTTCATCTCCTGGCAAGATCTCTAACACGTCCCGAAACAGATACCATTCAAAAACTCCGCTCACCCCACTTGAAATCCTAATCTTCGACACTTCGCTAATCTCAACACTTCCCCCCAGCGCCCTCTGCCCCCTAAATACCTACCGCTCAACCATCTTCCTCCTCACCACTCTCCCATCCCTCGACTCTTACCGCCTCTCCCACCGTTTCCTCGCTCTATACCTAAAACACCACGGCTTATACTCCGCCAAATTCGGGTATCTAGGAGGAATCCACCTTTCCCTCCTCCTAAACAGAGTCATAAAACTAATGTCTCTCACCACCTCAAACTCTCTTACACCAGCAACAATAATACGAACCTTCTTTGAATACTATTCTACGTTTAACTGGGCCGAAAATTCTGTTCTTGATCCAGAACTGGAGGTACGGAAAGGGATAAAGGTTGAGAGAACGGCGAGAGAGGCGATGGTCATTCAAGCTCTGCATCTCCCGGCCGCCAGGCCGAATGTGGCGGCTTCGTGTACACGCCTTTCTGCTCTTTCAATCTCCTCGGAGTTCGCTCGAGCGAAAGCTATGCTGGAGAGGGGGGATTGGGGGGCATGTCTCGGTTCCAATGAAAGTGGGGCGAGTGAATTTCTGACTATTTATGGAGCATATGTGAGGATTAGCGTCGAGGCGTGGGACATTCTTGAGGCTGGTGGGGAGATATTCAGGGAGGTTGTTGGAGCGGTAGAGAGTAGGGTTGTTAGGTTGTTGGTCGAGTTGGGGAGAATTGGAGGTTTGGAGGCGAGGGCTTGGCCTGAAAGATTTTGGGTCGTTGATGAGATTACGAGAGGAAGAGGCGAAGGGTTCAAGGGCTTCTATATGGTTGGGGTGAAAGCTAGGGAGGAAAGTGATGAGAAGAAGAAGCTGGTTAGTGGGAAGGTGATGACAGTTGTAAAGGCATTCGAGACGAGTGTTAGGCAGGCGACGAGTTTAGAGGAAGAGAATATGTGGATTGGTGCCGATGTTACCTCTAGGAAGAAGGTAGCTGGGCTGAGGTTGACGGTTGATCGGCGGGACTGGGTACAAGGGTGTTAGATTTCTATCTTCAATGAAGCACAGCGAGGACTGCGAAGGCATCAACAGGTTTCGAAGACAGCGCAATTGAAATTCAAAACTTGACATCAAATGATCTCGAAACCGAATTAAGCAAATTCGGAAGTTGTCCATCTTGAGGATGGGTTGGCCAACCTTTAATTGACTTAGCCAGGTGGCAAGGGAAATCATGGTAAACAATGAAGCAAGATTTTTTCTTGCTTTCTTGGTATACTACAGCTCCTGTGCTGCAGCTGAACATTGGCTCAACACGAACGCCTTTCACTGATCTCGAAATCGTCGTTATTGTCGCCTTCCCCGTTCCCCCATTTTTTCAGAACAGCTCTCTCAACATGTGCAAATCGAGCGCATTCGATATCAGCATCATCCATACCTGCTCTGGAAGGGCTTTTCTTAGACTGCTGAGAAGCGTGTGTTACATCCGTCATTGTCCTTGTCGTATCGACAAATTCCGTGATATCCTCTACCTCATCCTTGCGCTTGCTTCGAGAGCTCTCGGAATTGATAAACCCTGTAGAGCGATCTGCTCCACCAACAAATTTCACCAGTCGGCTGAGAATAGCAAACTCCAGCTTCAACTTAATTGAATAGCAGACACCCTTTGTTACAGTCTCGAGCAAATAGAGTGAGGCGTACTCGATGCCGAGAAGTGCGGCATCCATGAGAATGATGACAATATTGATGAAAACCAGCTGTTGCATGAGGCGGCGTGTCTGGTCTTGGAGTGATACTCGAAGTATGCGAATAGTTTCAACAATGTAGATCGATGACAAAATGACTTCTTGGATACTAACGCTATGTCAGCAATCTTGCTTCACTCAAACGATTGCCAACTCACAAGAATCCTGTCATCTGAGTTTTCTCAATAATGTTATAGGCCTCGACAAAGGTCGCCGTATCTCGCGTACCATTTGATCCAAACGTGACCACACTCGTCGGAATATGCAAAATAATCGCATCAACGATAATCATCCACTTCGTATACTTCAGAATCTTCCTTCCCCTTTCACCACTAACAATTAAATGCAGCCTGGACCACAACACAATACTCTGCCCCGTGACCATAGGATACCAGCCCACACTTAACAGCACGACTGAGACCCATCGAGCATCACCTTTCAAAACCGTGAAGAACTTTAAACAGAATCCCAACGCATATGGTATGAGGCCCAGGCTGGAGATAAGTAAACTCCAGAAGTACAATCCGCGGTATCGACGAAAGGTCATGAGGACAAGGACGACGAGTTCCAGCGCGTTGTACATTGTCAGCCCCGTCATGAGGCCGATGATGACCTTCAAGGCGAGGCTGTCACCGTCATACCCGCCCAGGACGCCTTGCGCAGCGAAGCGGATCGCAGATGTTGAGTTGGTGGGCATGGTTGCTGAATTTGGGGCACATGATCTCTTCTAGAGCAGTTTGCCCGATGTCCAGTGATGAGGCCGCTCTCCAAAGTTGCATATAGAAATGTGTATAGAATATCGAGGCATTATGATGTCAAGAGCAGGGCTGCCCGCATTTGCGGGGTCCACCCGCTGTCTTGGCTGTCAGGACGGGCTGTGCCGCGCTGATGGTCGATGACGTTCTAGACTTCTTCAGGCGTGAGGGATTCAATAAGAAGCTGCCTTGTATCTAAGCCATATTTCCAAGGAAGAGTCCGAAACGCTGTCCGAGTCACGTGAAACGCATCACGACTTGTGAAAGACGAGCATTTTAGATTCACTAGAACTATACCAAGGAGAATCGATTCTGTAGATTCATATATTATATTTCTACTTATTTCAATCTCGCGGGGAACAGTTTTATCAGCTTTTATCCCCTGCTCAAGTCGGCCGATTACAATTATCCCACAGAGTCAAGCTCCTGATCCGCCAGGTATGTCTCTCAACCCTTTGCAAACCATCATCCTTCATTCGGATGTCTCTGGATATCCATCAACTCTTCTTCGTCATTCTCTCGTCTCGCAACATCAGCCATCTCTTTACCCCCTCCTTTCTCCTCATGCTGATGCAACGTCATATTAATAAACATAGCCCAGAGACCTAAGTCATAAGCAATCCTCAAAGCACCAGCAGCAACAAACGCTATCCAAAATCTATCATTACCAGCAAGAATTCCTGTGACACTGGGCCCTGCAGTTGCAGCCAAAGTCCTCAGCATAGAAGTAATGCCCATCACAGCCGTTCGCTCTTCCGGCTTGACGACCGCCGCAATGAATGCTGAGCGCGGTGCTTGATCCATGTTATTGAGCCCTGTTCGAATAAAGAACAAAGCGACCGTCATGAAAATGCTAGATGGTACCGGGAAGAGGAGAACTGCTGCTGAGGAGGGTAGATGCGTGAAAACCATCGTGTTGATAAGACCAAGGCGTCTGGAAAGCGGACCAGCGAAAATACTCGAGCAAGAGGACAGAACATAGCTGATTGAGGTGATGTCTCCCAGCGTGGATTTCGGGAGGTCGAATTTCTGGTCCATGTAGTAAGTCGTCAAGGAGTAGCCAACCATCCCATCAGCCAGCGAGTCAACGATAAGCAGGAACCAAAGCTTATACATAACTAAACGAGTAGCTTGAGAGATTTGTGCGAATCGGCTTTTCTTTTCGGAGATCGAGGACTCTGAGGTGTCTGTTGGGCTTGGTATCGCGGTTTCCTCCGAGTCCCTCTCATCTTGTTCATCCATCTCATCCAGCAACACTTCGCCCTCCTCACTCTCCATTTTCTCCTGTGCAATTTCACACTTCTTACTCAGCAAGATTGTGAGAACCATATTTACTACTCCCATCGCAGAATAAATCCAAAACACCATATGATAAGCGTCAACAATCGTCCACCCCTCCCTATGCTGCAAATAATGCACCACCCGTCCCGTCAATTCGACTCCCAAGGCAGACCCAATACTAGCGGTCGTAATATACCACGCCAAAACATCAGCTCTTGTCCTTGGCGTTGTAAGGTGAGATAAAGTAGACTCCTCAATCGCGCGGAACGGCCCGAAATCTCCTCCTGTGGCGCTGATGACACCGACTACCGCCGCAAATAAGAGGATCCAGAAGTTCTCGAACAGAGCGAAAGCGATGCCTGAGAGGACCATGAGGAAAGATCCTGCGAACAGGATCTTTCGGCGGCCGAGGCGATCTGCTACGAGGGTAAGGAGCACGGAGAGGAGCACGTCGCCGAGCAGGGTCAAGGTCATGAATAACCCGATGTGGAAATCTGAGAAGTCAAGGGCTGAGAAGAACAATGCCAAGATGAGAGAATTCGTCCCATATGCGAACATGCGGGTGCATCGCGTGAGGATTATGAGCCAGGCGTCCCAGCCGGTGTGGTAGAGGGACTTGATGCCGAATTCGTGGTAGAACCATTTTATTTGCGTGACAAGGAACGCCATGGTTGGATAGATAGGAATGAAGAAGGAAAACGGTGTGAAGTAGAGCCATGCTTGTGAAGATGAGGGGCATGGAGGGGTATGAACTAGTCTTGTTATCGGGGGGCTTCATTGGTTGCCAGATGCCGCCATTCCCGTCGCTGGCCGATGCCGGCCGCTGGTCGAATAAGATCGGGTGAATTTGTTGGCCTTGGAGCTTTAAGTTGATTAGGTGAGGAATTGCGCAATCTTTTTGTGTTGGGGTTGTTATTTGGCACATACTATTGCGAGTTCGTAAAATGAGGTTCTGTATCCTCTTCACTGAGAGGGGTCGTGCTCGCTTGTATGAAAATCCCACCCCAAACACTTCAGGGTAATAGTGTTCAAAGCAACACTTGAGCTTCTAAATCCTGACCCAATCAAAATGCTGATATCTATGTATTTTTATGATTGTTTTGCCTAATTATATCCCTTGTAATTATGTAAGATCTTTCAGATGCGGCAAGTGAGCAGCCGCGTTCGAACTTAGACGCAGGTCAGTTATACTTGGCTAAAAGCCTTTATTACATTATATAATAAAGGCCGGTATCCTTATTATATAATACATCTTTCAGTTTAATAGAGTAATTATATATTATTTAGGAAGCTCGAATACTTTAAGGAATATAGTTCTACTTCTTCTCGTTCTTTTCTTTCTTTTTTTCTTAAAGAATTCTATTTAATTAATTAAACTACTAGTCTTTTTTATATAAAGGCCTAGCCTGTAATATATATATTTATAACTTAAAAAGGCGGTTTAATTATATTATATATATTTAAAAAACTTTAAAAAATATTAGAATCGGGAATAAAAAAGAAAAATTATAATTTATAAAATTATATTTTTTATTTTTAGAATAATAATAATTATTACTTTTAATATAAGTAAAATAAATAATTTTAATAATAAGAATAAATTAAGTCTATAAAAGTATTAGCTAAATAATTAGTAATAAGCTAATAAGAATAAAAAAAAAGTAAAAAAGAATATTAAAAAAGAATTAAAGTATAATGTATATAGGGTCGCACGTGACTTAAAGGCATGTAACGAACCTCGGATATTGCGGGTATTAATTAGGGAGATTAGAGGCCCTTTGACTTTATAACTAACTACTATTTATATTATAAGTATTAGGCTTATAAATTACTAATTATATATATATTATCGGGGCCTCCTATTTAGAGGGGGCTTCCCTAGACCTTATAGGAGGGACAGAGATTAGTTCTATACTAAATTTAATACTATGGTTTTATAACTTACTAATAAATACCTTATAAGCTAATCTTTCTACTCTTAAAAAAAATAGTTTAATAAGTAATTATATCTCGAAATCTGCGAAATATATAACCTCTTACTAAAGCTATTCTTATAGAGAAAGTTAACTAGATTAACCCTAATATAAGTAATAGTAAAGGCTCGTCTAATACTTTTAATAGAGCCCTTTAGGAGCCTCCGAGAGCTAGTAATAATAACAGAAATAATCCCGGCAATAATTAAGACGCCGAGATTAATACCCGAATTACTACTACTCAAGCTATAGAATAGGGCTTATATACTAAAATCAAAGTACTCTAATAAAAGCAAGAATTAATAAATATAATTAACTAATATATCCTATAATTAAAGTAATATAAGAGTACTTTTAGGAATATCTTATGATTTACTATATCTTATAAAAACTCTATTTATAAATCTATTCTATTTTTCTTAGTAATTCTTACTAGGAAACTTCCTAAAATAGGATTAGAACCTATTCTCTTTCCTAATATAATAAGCTTTAAGAATAATCTTAATACTATTTATTAGGAGCTACTATATAATATTCTAAAGATATATTTGGACCGAGAAAAGCTTCTTAAGATCCGGATACCTGACTTATATTATGAAAAGTCTCTTAAGAAATAGAGAATATTTATATCTTTCTAGAAAGTAGTTTTTAGGATCTAACCTTAAACTTATAATAGATACTTTTCTAGAGTTAATTCTACTATAAATACTCTTAGAGACGAACCTTATAATACTTAGGAGGCTATAATAAAGTAAAGCCTACTATTATATAAGGTTTATTAGAAGCGATTTAAGGCCTACTTAGCTAATATACTCCAAGTACCTTAAACCCATTAATGAGACGCTTTTAAGAAACTCCGAGATCTTTATTAGAAAAATAGTAAAATAGTTACCAAGTTATATACTCAGATAATTAGTCTCGAAATTAACCAGGACCTATACCCTAAAAGAAACCGGATCTGAACTCTTAATACTACTTTATCTAACTATAAGACTTATTAGATACTTATATTTATTCTCTCAGAAAATAAGATAGTATTTATTTCCGAATAATTTAAGAAAGCTCAGAAAGCAGAATATACTATTTATTCTAAATTAAAAAAAGTAAAGTTAGAGAAGTCTAATAAGGGTAACTCTATCTCTAAAGACCCTAACTTAGCAAATTCTAATTTATAAGGCTATTAAAAAAGAAAGAATAAGTTCCGAAGATTATATAAGAAATCCTCAGGTAGTACTTTGGCTTTTTTAAGGCCTTAATAAAATACTAGTTCTATTTTAGGTATAGTTTATTAAACTTATAAATAAAAAGAATATTTTTTAGAAAATATAAAGTATTCTAAATATACTAAATAGGCTTAGTAGAACTCTAATAAGGCCAAAACTATAGAAGAGTTAAGGTATTTATAAAAGCAGGTTAATACTATAGCTATAAAAAAGTATTCTAGAAAAGACTTTCTTAAGAAATAGAGAAAAGGAAAGGCCAAATCTTAAATATTAATAGTTTTGGCTATAATAAAAAAGGTATATTATTTTATATAACTATTTAAATAAAATTAATATAGCCAGAAATAGGTATTTTAGAGATATATAGTAGACTTAGTAATACTAAATTAGATTATAACTTTCTTAATAATAATTAGGCTTAAAGCCAGGGCTTTATTACCTTAGTTAAATATAATTAAGGATTTATAACTTTTTATAAGAACTAATTTAAGGTCTATTAAGCCTATAATCTTAAGGTATTTATTATAAATAATTATAATAAGATATATTTTTTTAAGCTCTAGTTTTATAAATATAAGAATATTAGTTCTTATAGCCTTATCTTTAGTATAGAATTTTATAAAATAACTCTTATATAATATATAGATTATATTAAGAAATAATAAATATATATATTTATATGGCCTAATAATATTAAGATCCTAATACTAAAAGAGTTTAGTAAGAAGCTTAACTAGTATCCTAAGCTAGTACCTTAAATCTTATTCTTAACTAAAAGCAAATATAACTATTCTAGATAATAGGCTTTATATATTTATAATAATTACTAGGTCTCTGCTTTATTATATAGTTCTAGTAATACTAAATAGGAGTTTTTAATATAATAAATTAATATTTTCCGGAAAGGGGCCTTAGAAATATCTATTTATTTCTAGAATAATAAATATAAAGGCTTCTTAAAGGTTTTTAACTCTAATAAAGCTTTGGAACTTCCTAATCTTAGCAGTATTAAATACTTTATTAATATAGATAATATAGTTTTATATAGGCCTTTATATAATTTATTAGAAACCTAACTAGAAGTATTATATTTATATTTATAGGATATGCTTTATAAATATTAAATAAGGCCTAATAAAAGCCTAATAAAGATATTTATTTTTTTTATTCCTAAAAAAAATAAAGAACTATATCTTTATATTAATTATTATAGACTTAATTAAATTATAATTAAGAATTAGTATTTGCTTCTTTTTATTAATAAGACCTTTAACTAGCTCTAAGAAGCCAAGATCTTTATAAAGCTAGATCTTAAAAATATATATTATTAGATAAGAATTCATAAAGAATATAAATAGAAAACGGCTTTTAGAACTTATTATAGCTATTTTAAATATCTTATAATACCTTTTAGGCTAGTTAATATACTAGTTATATTTCAAGTATATATTAATACTATATTTATAAGGCTTCTGAATTATTTTATAGTTATTTATTTAGATAATATTCTTATTTATTCCCGAAATAAGAATAAATACTATAATTATATATACTAGATACTTACTAGGCTATATAAAAATAACCTGTTTTATAAACTTAGTAAATACGAGTTTAATATTAAGGAAGTCGAATTTTTAGGCTTCTTTATTAGAATAGAAGATATTTATATAAATCCTAAATAGGTCTATAATATTATTAAATAACTAGAACTAGAATTATTCTATAATATTTAAATATTTCTTGAATTTACTAATTTCTATTATAGGTTTATTTATTATTACTCTCAGATAATTATAGGCTTAATAGATTTCTTAAAGGAAATAGAAAAGGGCCGGAAATCCGGTTTCTTTATATAAATAAATAAAGTAGCTAAAAGCTTTAAGACTTTAAAAAAAGCTTTTACTATAATATTTATTCTAGTCTATTTTAATTCTTTTAAGAAGATTTATATTAAAACTAATATATTGAAATTTATAATTACTAGTATTATTTTATAATAAGTTAATTCTAATAATAGCCTGAAAAAATACTAATATCTAGTAATATTTTAGTTCCGGAAACTTTCCGAAGCCAAATATAACTATAATACCTATAATAGAGAGCTACTTATAATTATTAAAGCCTTTAAGTATTAGTACTATTATTTTAAAAAGTTCAGGTTTATAATTAAGGTTATTATAGACTATAATAACCTCTAATACTTTATAGAAATAAAGTATCTAGAAAGCTATTAAGTATATTAGGTAATATATTTTATAATATATAATTTTAATATTATTTATTATAGAAGTACCTTAAACCTAGTAAATAGATCTAGTAGAAAACCTAATTATAAAGAAGGTCCTATTAATATAATTTGGCTTTTAATTTTTTAGAATAAGCTAAAGAAAGCTTTTATAATTATAATTCAGAAATCCTTATAAATATCTAAAGAATTCCCTCTTTAAAATAAGTATTATTTAATACTTATTATATTTATAATAGCTAAAAAGAAA